AGCAGGAGGTACTACTGGTGCTGGAGGTGCTGGAGGTGCTACTGGAGCTGCTGGCACTTGAGGTGCTGGAGGTACTGCTGGTGCTGGAGGCGCTGGAGCTGGAGCTGGAGGTACTGGAGGTGCTGGAGCTGCGGGTCCTGGAGGTACTCGTACCAGAGGTGCTGGAGCTGCCGGAGCAGGTGGTACTACTGGTGCTGGAGGTGCTCGAGGTGCTACTGGAGCTGCTGGCACTGGAGGTGCTGGAGGTACTGCTGGTGCTAGAGGTGCTGGAGCTGCCGGAGCTAGTGGTGCTGGAGGTGCTGGAGGTGCTGGTGCTGCTCGTGCTGGAGGTACGGGAGCTGCTGGTGCTCTTCGCCACCTTCTCAGTCTTCCGCCAGGTGCTACTGACTTCCCTGTGGCAGGTACTACTCCTCCGTTACTGTTTCCACCGACCGACCAGTCTCAGCCGCCGCTGCTACCGCACTCCCCACTGCCTGCTCCTACTCCTTACACTGCAGTGACACAGTCCCTGTCTGAGCGTCGAGAGCCTGAGACTCGTGCTTCCACCCCTGAGCGTCGTGAGCCTGAGTCTAGCTTTGACATTGAGCCCGAGCCTAGAGCCGATGTCCGTACTCGTGTTCCTCGTGTTCGTCATCAGCGTGCTCCGGCTGTCCCAGGCACTCACGATATGACACTCCGTCCTTCCTCTGTTCCACAGCGTGTTGTCCTCCCGTTACCTCCTGCGTCCTCTCTTCCTGACGTTGCTGACCCTCCGTCTGACCTTGCTCGTGCGTCCAGTCCGACTGTTACTCGCTTTCTTGCTACGGTGGTGACTGACCCTTCGTTCTCGTCTCCTGCTGCGTCTGCCTTAGTCGCTGAGCTAGTTGACTTCGCTGCTGTGTACCGCCTAGACTACCTTGCGAGTCTCGTTTCTGACCTTGACCCTGCCTGTCCTCCGTCCGTCGGGGGTGAGACTGCCCTTGGCTGTACGGCCCTTGGCTGTGACGTCCTTGAGGACAGGCAGGAGGAGCTGGAGTGCCTTGCGGCCGCTGTACCTCATCTCGCTACCATGCTGCTTGCCCCTGAGGGAGACCCGGATGCACTTGACATCCCCACCCCGCGCTCTTACAGAGAGGCGATTTCGGGTGAGTACTCCTCTCAGTGGCAGACAGCCATGGACGCAGAGATGGCTTCCTGGAAGTCCACAGGCACCTACGTCGACGAGGTTCCCCCACCTGGGGCGAACATCGTCAGTGGCATGTGGATTTTCAGGGTGAAGCGGCCGCCGGGTTCTCCGCCTGCCTTCAAGGCACGTTACGTTTCTCGAGGCTTCAGTCAGCGTGAGGGGGTCGACTTCTTTTAGACCTTCTCCCCCACCCCAAAGATGACCACTCTTCGGGTGTTACTACACGTTGCAGCGCAGCGTGACTACGAGCTGCACTCCCTCGACTTCTCGACAGCGTTCTTGCAGGGTAGCCTTCACGAGGCCATCTGGTTGCGCCGTCCACAGGGCTTCACTGGGTCGTTTCCTGCGGGTACCCAGTGGAGCCTACGGCGACCAGTGTACGGCCTGCGTCAGGCACCCCGCGAGTGGCACGACACACTGAGGACGACACTTGCGGCTCTTGGGTTTGCTCCTTCCACTGCTGGCCCGTCATTGTTTCTGCGCACTGACACCACTCTGCCACCGTTCTACATCCTCGTGTACGTCGACGACTTGGTCTTTGCTACTGCTGACACTGAGGCACTTGTCCGCGTGAAGACGGAGCTGCAGGAGAGACACACCTGCACTGACCTGGGTGAGCTGCGGAGCTATCTTGGCTTGCAGATCACCCGGAACAGAGCACGGTGCACCATAACTCTGACTCAGTCACACATGGTGCAGCAGGTCCTTCAGCGCTTTGGCTTCACGTGGTCCTCGCCACAGCCCACTTGTGAGGATCTGGTTCAGGAAAGATGATTCTATTGAATGATTCACCTGGGTACAACACGAGGCTATATATAGCCTCGACACAAGGCCAGTTACCCAGGTGTTACGCGAATGTTCTGAGGGTCGCGAAGCGTCCCGAACAGAACCTTGAGTAGAGGGTTCATCTCCGCCTGGAACGTCGCCGGTGCGTTGCACAGTCCGAACGGCATCACTAAGTACTCGTAGGAGCCGTATCTGGTACGGAACGCCGTCTTGTGGATCGAGTTGTCCGCCATCTTGATCTGCCAGTAACCCGACCGTAGGTCCAGCTTCGAAAAGACTGTTGCACCACGCAGTTGGTCCGGTAGGTCGTCTATGCACGGTATGGGATATTTGTTCTTGACTGTCTGTTTGTTCAGTGCGCGGTAGTCGATGCACATCCGTAAACTACCGTCTGGTTTTGGAGTGAAGAGAACTGGTGCACCATAGGGAGAGGTGGATGGGCGGATCAGTTGTCTGTCCAGTAGATACTCTATCTGCTTCTTCATGTCTGCCAGTTCGGTCGGACTAAGGCGGTATGGTGCACGTGAGACGGGTTTCGCACCTGGTTCCTCCACGATCTCGTGCTCGTGGGTGCGTGCTGGAGGTACGCCTGCAGGTAGGTCGTCGAGCATTATATCCTTGTACTCCTCCAAGACCTCTTTTACTGCTACAGGTAGCTCTGTGTTCGGCTTCTCCTCCTCTGCCGCTGCCATAACCAGTGCGAAGTAACCCGTGTTACTCTCGTTCACCGTCCGTTCGAACCGTGCCAGTGTCGTTTCAGGAACGCTCCCTGTATCCGTCCAGCTCCGCAGCTCCACTCGTTTCCCGTTGTTGTAGATGTACGCCTTCCGGTTGACCCAGTCGATCTCGGGGTTGAACCGCTTCAGAAAATCACGCCCCAAGATGAAATCTAATCCCTTGATGTTCGTGATCGGCAACGTCGGCTTCCACCTTAACGCTCCTATCTGCAGCTGCAGTGTTGACTCGCCGTGGATGGGAAGCTTCGTACCGTCCACCATCGTTGCTGTAATTTGAGTCTCCTCTGAGGATTCTCCAATTTTCTCCAACGTCCCGCGGTCGCACACCGAGTGGGACGCACCACTGTCCACCAGGGCCTGGAGGCGACGCCCGTTGCAGATCACCTCGAGTACTAGTGGTTGCTGCTGCTCCGAGTAGCCGTAGATGGTATCGCTTATAGGATCGTAGGGTACGTCGAATATGTCATCCCTAGATCCTGCGCTCGAAGATGCAGCTTCAATATCAGTTTCCAACTGAGAAATGTTAGAAGGATTTATCCGAGGCCGATTCAGCTTCTCTTGGGCCTGGAACCTTCCCCTACCTTTGCAGCTGAGTAGGCTTCATCTGTGGGGAACAGGGAGCCTTCAAACAGTGCTGCTGGGAGAGAATATTATCTCAACGGAACGCTCGATCCGTATTAGCGCTCTGGAGTAGGGTCCCCATATTACCCGGTACCGGTTTAATTTCTGACTCTCCCTTAATAATGGCTTGAAACCCACGAGAAGTAATATTCTTACTTGTCGGGGTGTACGGCTGGAGTTTCCCGGTCGGTGCAGGGTCTTGTTTCGCGGATCCTCCTTTAGTCTCGGCGATTTCCCCTGGTGCCGGCTGGTCGTGACGTTTTAAATTCGCACCACCATATTCTCTTTTTTTCGCCCTCTCCGAAGTTGCCACGTTGTCCGTTTTCTGCTTCGGGGGTGCCGCACTGTTCTTGTCCCTCAGCTCCGCACGCCTTCTCTTCATTTTCCAACACGCCAAGATACGATGTCCTGTAGCGCCGCAAAATTTGCACGTCTCATTTTTTGCTAGCCGCTGCTCCACATCGCCCTCGTCGTTCTCCATCGGGTCGGCAGTCGTGGGTGGTGCCAATCGCCCCATGCCACTAGTTGGCTTGTTGCGTCGTGTTCAACGTGTCGAACTGTTCGATCTGTGCTGCCCGAAACTGCGCCCACGTCCCCTCGCCTTGGACTATTCTGTTGTTGATCCACTCTAGAGCTGGGCCTCGTAACAGTTTTGCTGCGAGCCGTATGCGCATTGCGTCTTGGTTGAGGGTCGTGCATCCAACGGCTTCGAAGTATATTTCGAGTTCAGCTACAAATCGACGAACGTCGTTCCCTTTAACTGTATGATCGAACGCCTCCGGTAGCCTCAGCTTTACTGCTTCGAGGTTCACTGTAGCTGCTGCCGTTGTCGAAGGTAGAATTGTCGGTGTCGCCGCTGCTGCTGCTGCTGCTGCTGTGGCGGTTGCCGACTGATTCGCAAGGAGTTTTTCGAGTCGTGGGAGCACCGCACGTATTTGCTTATGCTCAGCACGAAACTCCGCGATTTTCTGTACTGAAATATCTCTTTTTCCCTCCATTTGGCGATTTACAGGAAGATGCGCGACGAAACCAATCGAATTCTAGGTGCTGGTCGACTTACTGCGAGTCAAGTTGACTGTAGAATCGACGAGCGCGAATTCTGTAGGTCGCGTAAATCTCCCTAAGTCGAAATTCGCGTTCCATCTCGGCCGTTGAGGAAAAACTCGATCCGACGCCCCAAATTCCAACCTTCTTGGGCGTAATTCTCTGGGCCGTTGAGATGAAAGTCGATCGAACGGTCCAGATTCCAACCTTTTCACCAGTAAATCTGAGGGGTGTTCGAAAACCGGATCGAGGGGACTTAGACAAAATTGCGCGGAACTGGTTTCAAAGGATATAAATAAGAGTACAAGGGAATTCGAAACGACCTAGCTAGCCATGTACTCTAAGGGGTACATTCCCTTATTACAGCGAACAACAACCGTGCGACTCCAGTCAGTTACGAAACTGTTCGGGCAGAATCCTCGTCACTGCTGCTGCTTGATGCTGTCTGCCCGACGGTCCAGATGCTCTTCGTAACCATGTGACTCTTCGTGTCACTTGCGCCCTTTCATCTTCAGTCTCGGTAGTGTGTGCTTCGGTTGCTGCGGTGAGGAGTGCTCAATAGTGTTTTCAATAATCACTATTCGTAACAACTTGCACAATGTCCCATCTCTACGAAGCTATTATATCCCCAAATCGCTGTCAGACTGTCAGCCCCGGCCTTCGGATATAGTGTCCAGCATGGTTCTATATTGCGCCAGGTCCTGGGAATGGCAAGAGAATGGAAAAAAAACAGAGGTATTGAGGGACTAGAACGAGGATATGTTTTGGTAATGACAAACGGGGAAAAAGGGCACAAACTACAACTTGTCGTGCACACATGGTGTGTGGGAAGTGGCGTGTAGGGGGGAAAGTAGCGGCAAGAGGGTAAGAGGCAATGAAAAGTGGAGGAAGGGCCGAACGGCAGGTCATCTCTGCACGTGCTAAGGCACTGAGAGCCCTCTGAGAAACGAATGATCATCTGCAATAGAACTGCTAATGCCTCTCCTTGCATTTTCTCTGATACATCTGTAGGACAAAGGGTCTCACCTCTGTGAGTGCAAAGACACCAATATCATTTGAGCGGAGGGGAGAGCCCCTGCGGAGGAACTTGCTTCCTTGAAAGATGTAGAGCATGGGGACGCCAGTGGACAGCTCCAGCTCTATCACCTGCAGAGTTTCATTTCAAAAGGCAACAGCAGTCAGAATCAGAGGGGTCAGAGAGGTGAATTCGGACTGACTATAAGACGCTTCCTTGGAAAATGAGAGCACAGGGACACCCGTGGAGAGTTCCAGCTCTATCACCTGCAGCGCATCGCGCATCATGTCAAAACGCAACGGCAGTGAAAATAAGAGGGATAAAAACAGTGCGAAATTCCAACGCGGAAGCGTAAATCGAGCAACTCCACTTCCAACCCAGCCTGCTTCTACTCCCTTCCCACACCATCCCTGACAGACTGCGGGCGAGAAATAATTATTGCACAATGAATAAATTTGCTCGTATCCCTCTTCACCAGTTTCCCACACGTACCCACCCTGGCCTACACCTAACCTTGTTACAGACAAGGCCAAAACAGGACATGCTAACGCGATCATAGATCAGAAGTTGCGACGGGTATAACGGAACAATTCACATGGCATATGACATACCTCCATGAGGCGACACTGTCGAGTCGAGGCACATGATGAAGCGAGCATGGAGTAGCCACGAGCGTAATGTAACATCACATTTCACAGTTCACAATTCACCCGAAAAATGACATACCTCCTGCGACGTAAGGCTGTCAAGGTACATGATGATCGCGCGAAGCGAGTTGCCATGCGCAGCAATCATCACATTCTCGCCAGCCGTGAGTCTCGGCTCCACATTTTCCTTGAAATACGCCACAGCGCGCTCCGCGCACATGGCCAGGGACTCGCCGTTGGGAGGAGGGACGTCGTAGGATCGGCGCCAGAGAACGACTTGCTCCATGCCGTACTTGTCTGCCGTCTCCTTCTTGTTCAGACCCTGGAGTTCTCCGTACCTGCACGCCAGGGTTGGGAAAGGTTGGATTGGGGGTGCGCGTATGACTGCTGACTCCCGGTTCAATCCCCGGACTCACACGTTGGATTCGCAAGGCTGGTCGCTGTGTGAGGGTGGAATACATTTATTCCTGGAAATCGTTTCCGGTATCTGATGATACTAACCATGCGGCGAGAACCAAAACGAGAACGAATGGGGCGACTCACATGCGTTCGTTCAGTTCCCACGCAGTGATCACGGGAATGATCTCCTCGTCGGTGTTCTCGCTGAAGATTCGGCTCCAGTCCTTGGCTCTCTGGCTCTCCTCGTGCAGGATGACAGGAACCTGGAAGAGTACGCAATATAAAAGAGACAGGAAAAGCGAGACGGGTGAAGAACGGATAATAGTACCGAGAGTTTGTCTGGGCTGGAGTATGGTCCAAGACCCTTGACATTGCAGTGCAGGGGATGTGTAACCTGTTCCGACTTTAACCTTCATTGGGTGTTCTATCAGGAATGAAAAACCATAGTTCACACGCGCAAAATTAGCTTCAACCGAAGTAGGAAGAAACATTCACTCCTCCTCGTGATGGTTATAAGGCCGTTCTCACCTTGTTACGACGATGCTGCGTCATGGCCAGCATGGCGGTCATTTGAGCGCGGATCAACGCGGAGGTGAAAATGACATCCACGGGAATCTCGGAGATTCTCTTTCCTGCCTCAATGGCCTCATTGACACCCTTCTCCGACAGAGGAACGTCCACGCAGCCTGTGAATAGGTTCTTGGAGTTCCAGAGAGACTCGCCATGGCGGATAAGGATCAGCGCAGCGGCCTCTGCGCAACACAGGTTTGGAGAATAATTAGGAAATGGAGAGTTTAAAGGGCTGTCATGGAGATGCTGACAATGGCGTCAACGTTCCGCGAAACGCAAGGATGAGCGAGCGATTCCCAGGAAAAAATGCTTTGACTCTTTGAGGCTATTATAAGAAATTAATGCAGAAGAATCCAGTATGCAATCACATACTTTCTGTCGCTGCTCCGTTTTGTTGAGCGTCCGAAGCGGCCTCAGCACGAATGGCTCTCCGAACCGAAGTTGATCCTCTGCATATTATCAAACGATCCGTTTATCAATCTTTCCGTGAAGTCCTAAGCCCAATACTCAACATAAAAGAAGTTTTAAACCTTGACTGGTGGTTGGCAAAACGAGCGATACGTACCTTGCCACCTTCGCGTGAAACTTCAGGTTGGCATGGAGGGATGTAGCTGATGCTGATCGGAAGAAGGCAGCATTCACGACAGACTTCTTTGAAACTGGATCAGAAATGCTCTTCAATGAATGACGGCAGTGAACTGCATTTCCAGCTTGAAGGGCCGCCATGTTGTGAGGATAGTGAAATCCGGAGGTCAGCGAGAAGCTACCAGCACCAAGCTGATCGAGACACGAATGTCTGTCTGGATCAAATAGCGAACAGCAGCCACTTAGGCGTTGCTCTATATCGAATAACAGCCGTTTAGAATTAGCTGAGAACAACGGATATTATTCCTCTGGCTTTTTAGCTTGCTTGGACTCCTGATTGGCTTTATCAGAAGCCAGTGAGTATTAGAAACCAGTGAGCCAGCTAAAGCCTTCGCCGCTCCACCACAGGACACGCTAGGGAGTGATTAGAATCAATCACACAACCTCCAATGCAGAGACGGCCAGTCCACAAGCCAACCTCCACTTGACTCACTCAGGTCGCCTTCCTGAGATGGGGCCGAATGGGGGTGCAGCACCATTGGTCCAGCGTGGCAGAATTGATATGGGTCACACCCACCACACGTGCCATGCGACGGGAGTCGATTTGAGCGGAAAAAAATAAAGATTGCTAACGACCCTCAGCTGATTGCTCATGCGACGTCCACATTCATCGCCCACTTCACTGCCATGCCAGTGGCACGTGTTTCGTGCCACGTTGCTGGGGGAACTTCGGATGGGGCCGAATGGGGCCCCATCTCAGGAAGGCGATCTCAACCACTGTCTCAAATCCTTCAGCTCATGCATGATGGTTTATGTTCGGTTTACTGCGTTCCAGAGCGGTGGTAAAATGCACCGTGTTATAGCGCTAAGGACCTATCTGAACCGGCTGCCAGTAAGCCTGACAACAATGCTGGCCATTCCCATGTGACACCACCACGGCATTCGCACAAGCAAAGGCAGTCAGGATCCAAGGCTGAACCAGCAGCCGTTGAACCAACCAGAAAGGAATATACCAAACCAGCATGAGCCAATCATCAACTAGAATTTGAGAACCATTTGCCAGCGAAGCCTAAAATCTCGTGCTCCGTGCCTGTATTCGACGTTCGGAGGGCTTGCGAAGGCCCGCGCATGTCAGCGTCGCCGAGCCGAGGATGCAGCTGGTCAGACCCTCGGAACAGATTCTTCTCGTGAATGTTCGTGGGACATCGTTAGGCCATAGGCGACACTCGTGACAGCTCTTGGAAATCCCGAATTCGGGCGAGGGAAGATTACCGCCGTTCGTCTCGAGGTTCTTGCAGCTGGGAAGGCTCGATCAGCCGCTCGCGCGCCATTGGATGATAAAAACGAGGTGCGCGGAAGTTCGAGGTTATGGGATCCTCCGTGTCCCGTGCCAGGACGAACACTCCCGAACACGTGTCAAGGTGCTGTAGGTTATAAGTTAGCCAATCGAATTCCGCTCCTTAGCCTCCAATCTAGGATTGCCATGCAAAAAAGTAGCTCATCCAATAACGATAATGGAGCGGTAAATGTCACATTCGCGTCATTCCAGATCAGCTGGCCCGGTCGCCACCACAATTCCCTCAAGCTGCTGAACCTCACTGCTGGACATTGTCCTCCGGGAAAATATGCGAATGGTAACATACATGGGGCTCTATAACACGTACGGTAACCATAACAATGAATTTTCACGCGTTTGGTAACTCGATTCACGCATTTGGTAACTATACACTGGCAAGCCATCACGCGAATGGTAACTAGAAGAAACCCTCGTCAAACTTGACCCTGATTCTGGTTTTTCCCGCTCGCGCCAGACTGAAATGACGAGTCCTGAAGGACGAAATTCTGACACACTTTCCGAAATTCTGACACACTTTCCGAAATTCTGACACACTTTCCGAAATTCTGACACACTTTCCGAATTTCGGACTATTTCGTGAAAAGTTGCTGTTTTGAAAACCGTTTATAATATAATGCGGATATTCTGGCGCTCGCGGAAATTTGATTTCACTTAATTCTATCGTACAAACGGGGCAAAAAATATATACCCCTTTCGGATGGCAAATGATTTTGAGAGCATCAACCCTAAACTCCTTGCGACAAGGCGTTCAAGGTTATTTCTACAATAAAGGCATGCCATTCGGAAGGGTATTATTTTCCCACCTCCAAAATTATCCCACGTTGCATTAATTACACATTTTTAAAATAAAATTATTGTCGCCTTTCCGGGGAAATTTTCCCATTTTGCAATTATGCAATCATGCTTGCAAAAATATAATTGTACTTGTTAGTACTATATTTCCGAGCTTAAAATAGATATGAAACTACTCTGAAACTATTTGGTCCGTGGTAATTGAACAAACGCAATCCTTCAAAGTCACGGCGGGAATCGTTCAATATCGATAAAACGGTCCGCGAAATCTTTCAATTTAACAAATTCCTCTTAGTCAGGATCATTTCGGCGGGAGTTTCATCTAGTTACCATTCGCGTGATCATTCGCCTGTGCTAAGTTACCAATTGCGTGAAACGAGTTACCAAACGCGTGAAAATGTACTGTAATAGTTACTGTACGCGTTAAAGAGCCCCATGTATGTTACCATTGGCATACTTTCCCTTGTCCTCCTGGCAGTTCCATGCCTCACGAAGTGACCCATCTGACGAAAACACTATCCAATATCCAACATAATTGGAGAGCACTCTACTGCTAATTGTAGTGGTGTAGCGAAGAACTTCTAAACGTAACAAGAATGTACTCCAACTTTCATGAAGTTCCATGAAATATAAGCGCAGGTTATCAATAGGACAATTGACACCAATTTGGGTGGAACATGTTGAGACCTTCCACCTATGTGCAGTCCAGCACTTTGCCAAACGTGATTCATATTGGTGGAACATGTTGAGACACACCCTATACATACATACACTACAAGCCGTATCGTTGTCTACTTCGCTGGTAACTTAATGCATATATTGCCACAAGTGCCAAGGCTGCTGGCCTCGCCGGCACAACCCCAGGCGCTCCCGATGCTCACACGCCACACAGCCTTTTATTGATACACAAACCAACCCAGGGCGAAAGTGTTGGTAGTGGTGGTGGTGGTGTCGCCGCCTCTGCTGCTGGAGGAGTTGCTGTTGCGTAAGAGTCTCCAAGCACAGAACCTTATACATTCTTTATTATACGCCCCGATTCAGGCTGCGCAAAAGGTCCTCAAACATTTATTGGTCGACTCAAAAAGTTACCTCGTTGCTGTTTCTCTAAGCTGAGAATCTCCTCCAGACTCCTTATAACAAGCCCCAATTCAGGCCGCTGTAACGGGTCCTCATTCACACATTGCTTCGCAAGCATAAGCAGCTTCGTCGCGCCTTCTCTGCTGTACACTCCGGCCAACCTTTTATCCATAACGACGCACAAGTTAAAGGGGACAGATGCGTGCACATCTTCCTGCTCCTGCTGCTCCCGCTGCTGCTGCTCCCGCTGCTGCTGCTCCCGCTGCTGCTGCTGCTGTTGTCTATCGTGTTGCTGCTCCAGCTGCTGATGTTGCTCCTTCTCGTGACGTTCCTCCTCCTCCCACTGATGCTGCTGCGGCTGCTGCTGCTGCTGCTGCTGCTGCTGCTGCTGCTGCTGCTGCTGCTGCTGCTGCTGCTGCTGCTGCTGCTGCTGCTGCTGCTGCTGCTGCTGCTGCTGCTGCTGCTGCTGCTGCTTCTGCTCCTCCTCCTGCTTCTGCTGCTGCTGCTGCTCCTCCTCCTGCTTCTGCTGCTGCTGCTGCTGCTGCTGCTGCTGCTGCTGCTGCTGCTGCTGCTGCTGCTGCTGCTGCTGCTGCTGCTTCTGCTCCTCCTCCTGCTTCTGCTGCTGCTGCTGCTGCTGCTGCTGCTGCTGCTGTACAAGCTGTTCACAGCGATCCAGGTGTGTGAGAGCCCAGGGCAGGAGGCGGTGGGCGTTCTCAGCAGCACCGGGCGACCGGCCTGTTGCCAGCTCCAGCAGCACCACTCCCAGCGAGTAGACGTCACTGCGTGCTGTGAGGTGGCCTGGAGGGGGAAAGGGGGTGGGCGGTATGGGGGAAGGGTGTGCGGACATCTCAGCTCCAGCAGCACCACCCCCAGCGAGTACACGTCACTGCGCGCAGTGAGGTGACCTTGAAGGGGAAAGGGGGGAGGGGAAGGGTGGGTGTGTGTTTGAGGCCCTAGACAACACCAGCTCCAGCAGCACCACCCCCAGCGAGTAGATGTCACTGCGCGCAATGAGGTGGCCTGGGGGGGGAGTGGCGGGTTGGGGGTTGGGTTGGGTTAGGGTTTAAGTATCCCAGCATCCCCGTGATGCCCCAGAGCCTCGTGATGCCCCAGAGCCTCGTGATGCCCCAGAGCCTCGTGATGCCCCAGAGCCTCGTGATGCCCCAGAGCCTCGTGATGCCCCAGAGCCTCGTGATGCCCCAGAGCCTCGTGATGCCCCAGAGCCTCGTGATGCCCCAGAGCCTCGTGATGCCCCAGAGCCTCGTGATGCCCCAGAGCCTCGTGATGCCCCAGAGCCTCGTGATGCCCCAGAGCCTCGTGATGCCCCAGAGCCTCGTGATGCCCCAGAGCCTCGTGATGCCCCAGAGCCTCGTGATGCCCCAGAGCCCCGTGATGCCCCAGAGCCTCGTGATGCCCCAGAGCCTCGTGATGCCCCAGAGCCTCGTGATGCCCCAGAGCCCCGTGATGCCCCAGAGCCTCGTGATGCCCCAGAGCCCCGTGATGCCCCAGAGCCTCGTGATGCCCCAGAGCCCCGTGATGCCCCAGAGCCCCATGATGCCCCAGAGCCTCGTGATGCGTGCGAGTAGACACAAGCGACTTGCTCAGGCACTGCCACTGCCCCACAATCCAGCTCATGTTTCCGCATTGGCACCCATCTCCACCGCACTGAACTGCACTGGACGAAGGGCCCAAGTCCACTGGACCGCACCGCATCGCAGTAATCCGTACTGAATCCGTCCTCACCTGTGTCGATGTACGAAGGGTCCAAGTCCCCATGGTGCGTGTGGACACACGCGACTTGCCTGCCTGAGGCCCTGCTGTGGCCACTCACTACCCCAATCCATGTTTATTCATCTCCACCGCACTGGACCGCACTCAACCCAATTAGATCCCTCTGTGTGTACCTGTGTCGATGTACGAAGGGTCCAAGTATCCCATTGTCCCCATGATGCGAGTAGACACGTGCGACTTGCCTGCCTCAGGCCCTGCAGTGGCCACTCCCTACCCCACAATCCATGTTCATCCACCTCCATCGCACTGGACCGCACTGAACCGCACTCAACCCAATTAGACCCCTCTGTGTGTACCTGTGTCAATATACGAAGGGTCCAAGTACCCCATTGTCCCCATGATGCGCGTAGACACATGCGACTTGCCCACCCACTGCCGCACAGCATAACTAGAGTTTGTCCAGTGTGGGCACCCATCTCCACCGCACTGAACCGCACTGAACCCATCAGTACCTGTGTTGATGTACGAAGGGTCCAAGTACCCCATTGTCCCCATGATGCGAGTTGAGACGTGCGACTTGCCCACCCACTACCCCACCACAATCCATGCTTATCCATCTCCACCGCATTGAACTCCTCCTCACCTGTGTCAATGTACGAAGGGTCCAAGTATCCCATTGTACCCATGATGCGAGTAGACACGTGCGACTTGCCCGCCTCGGGCCCTGCTGTGGCCATTCCGAAATCCGTCAGCTTCGCATTCATGTGCTGTGGGGGGTAAGAGAGGGTGGTGCGAGGGTTGAGAGGGGTTGAGAGGGGTTGAGAGGCCTCTGAGCATCAAGCACTGCACTTGTGCTTTAGTCGACCCATGATGCGAGTAGACACGTGCGACTTGCCCGCCTCGGGCCCTGCTGTGGCCATTCCGAAATCCGTCAGCTTCGCACTCATGTGCTGTGGGGGGTGGAGAAAGGTCGAGAGGGGTGAGAGGGGGTGAGAGGGGGTGAGAGGCCTCTGAGCATCCGGCACTGTGACTTGCCTGCCTCGGGCCTTGTGACCATTCCGAAATCCGTGAGCTTCGCATGTATGTTCTGTGGGAGGGTGGGGGGGGGGAGGGGGGGGAGGGCGAGAAGGATTTGACAACTGATGTCAAGATGGTGCTAAGGGGGCGAAGGCGGGCGAGAAGGAGGGGCGACGGAGGGAGGGTGCGATGGAAGGAGGGCGAGAGGGAGGGTGCGACGGAGAGAGAGAGGGAGGTTGGGATGTTGCGTTTAAGGCCCTGCTGTGGCCATTCCGAAATCTGTTAGCTTCGCACTCATGTGCGGTGGGGGGTGGAGAGGGAGAGGGAGAAAGCGCGAGATGGATATTCGTAAACTGAGAGGGAAAGATGTCAAAATGAAAGTGAGGGTGCGAAGGAGGGCGGAAAAGAGATCCGTCAGTTTTGGCGGGGTGGGAGAAAGAAAGCTCTATCCGACAACTGATATCAAGATGAGATGAGATGACAACTGATATCAAGATGACAACTGATATCAAGATGACAACTGATATCAAGATGACAACTGATATCAATATAAGAATGAGTAGACTCAAAAGTCAGCGGGGGAGAGGGAGAAAGAAAGCTCTATTCGACAACTGCAGATGAGAATCAAGATGAGAATGAGGGTGCGGAAGAAGGCCAAGGACGTCTAAAAAATGACTTCTGAGTTGTCTCGAGTTGTCTCGAGTTGTCTCAAAAGTCACCTCGGAAGAAGGCCAAGGACGTCTAAAAATTCGACTAAGGAACTGCAGATATCGGGCCATGAATAGTTAACCTTTGAATTCCGGATTCGTAGACCAGTATATCGGCGCAGATACACCATGTACGCGTCATTACCTCATCCAGCAGTATGTTGCACTTCAAGATTGCACATCTTGAAGTCCCTGTGAATCACGTTCTGCCCGTGCAGATACTCCAGCCCTCTGTATGCCACTGTAGGTACACCCTGTACGCGTTATTACCTCATCCAGTAGAATATTGCACGTCTTGAAGTCCCTGTGAATCACGTTCTGCCCGTGCAGGTACTCCAGACCTCTCGCCACGTCCACAGCTATGCGCACGCGCTGCTGCCACGTCAGCACAGGCGTGGTGGAGTCAGCGGCACTGGCAGCAGCACCAGACACACCCCTAGCCGCTGCAGCAGCTGTAGCAGCTGTAGCAGCTGTAGCAGCTGTAGCAGCTGTAGCAGCTGTAGCAGCTGTAGCAGCTGTAGCAGCTGTAGCAGCATCTGTGGAAGCGGCTGTAGAAGCAGCAGCATCATCTGTAGCAGCTGTCTCACTCGTACCCCCCCACCTCCGCTTCCTCTGCTCCTCCTCCCCCTCCTGCTCCTCCTGCTGACGTGGATACAGCCACGTGTGCAGATTCCTCCTCTCTATAAGCTCATACACCAGCAACGCCGCAGCGCCCCCCTGGGGCCGATTCAAATCCACGCAGTACCCTAACAGCCGCACCAGGTTAGGGTGGTTTAAACTGCCAAGCATTATAATCTCTGACACGCATTCGTCTACCGCCTTGAAACTCCCGCTGTGTAGCACCTTCACTGCCACGTCACGCTGACGTGGCGTCCCACCCCCACCACCACAACCTGAAGCACCACCACCCACTCTTCCTGCTCTCCCTGCTCTTTCTTCCCCATTCCTATGCGCGTTCCCTCCTCCTCGCTCCTCCCCTGGAACTTTCCCCGCGTCTTCCTCGCCGAGCCAGTCCTCCACCGAGCCTCGGTACACCGTGCCGAAGCTGCCCCGGCCCAGGATCTGGCTCGGGCCGAACCACTGCGTGGCCTGCTGTAGCTCGCGGTAGGTGAACCGGCGGAGTGGTAACGTGGACCAGGTCTCGTCTGTTGTGAATCGGCTGCCTGTCACTGGCAGGGGGGGACGAGAGGCAGGAAAGGAAGAGAGGCAGGAGGAAAAGAGGGGCAGAAGGAAAAGAGGGGCAGAAGGAAAAGAGGGGCAGGGGAGATTGGCCTGCTGTAACCCCCACCACTGCGTGGCCTGCTGTAGCTCGCGGTAGGTGAATCGGCGGAGTGGTAACATGGACCAGGTCTCATCCGTCGTTGTGAATCGGCTACTGCCTGACACTGGCAGGGGGGGATGAGAGGCAGGAAGGGAAGAGGGGCAGGAGAGATTGCGGGAGAAGAAAAGGAAACGAAGAGAATTGGGACAGGGAGGGCCGAACCACTGCGTGGCCTGCTGTAGGTCGCGGTAGGTGAACTGGCAAAGTGCTGACGTGGACCAGGTCTCATCCGTTGTTGTGAATCGGCTGCCTGACACTGGCAGGTAGAAAAGGAGAGGCAGGGCAGGAGGGAACGAGATGAAAAGAAAACGACGGGACTGTAACCAAGGGCGAGATTGCGAAACCAATTGTGACCATGTAACTCACAATCCAACTCATTGAGGTGACTTTTGAGACGACTCAAAAGTCACCTAGATTGCGAAACCAATTGTGACCATGTAACTCACAATCTAACTCATTTCGCCCCAGAGATATACAACTGTGGACAGGGGAGGAACATCAATGAAAAAACAACGGCACATATTGTGAAGCGAAGGGAAGAACAACATATTGAAAGCGGTGCATGTGCCAAACTAGTGCCAAACTAGTGCCAAACTAGTGCCAAACTAGTGCCAAACTAGTGCCAAACTAGTGCCAAACTAGTGCCAAACTAGTGCCAAACTAGTGCCAAACTAGTGCCAAACTAGTGCCAAACTAGTGCCAAACTAGTGCCAAACTCGTGCCAAACTAGTGCCAAACTAGTGCCAAACTAGTGCCAAACTAGTGCCAAACTAGTGCCAAACTAGTGCCAAACTAGTGCCAAACTAGTGCCAAACTAGTGCCAAACTAGTGCCAAACTAGTGCCAAACTAGTGCCAAACTAGTGCCAAACTAGTGCCAAACTAGTGCCAAACTAGTGCCAAACTAGTGCCAAACTAGTGCCAAACTAGTGCCAAACTAGTGCCAAACTAGTGCCAAACTAGTGCCAAACTAGTGCCAAACTAGTGCCAAACTAGTGCCAAACTAGTGCCAAACTAGTGCCAAACTAGTGCCAAACTAGTGCCAAACTAGTGCCAAACTAGTGCCAAACTAGTGCCAAACTAGTGCCAAACTAGTGCCAAACTAGTGCCAAACTAGTGCCAAACTCGTGCCAAACTAGTGCCAAACTCGTGCCAAACTAGTGCCAAACTCGTGCCAAACTAGTGCCAAACTCGTGCCAAACTAGTGCCAAACTCGTGCCAAACTAGTGCCAAACTCGTGCCAAACTAGTGCCAAACTCGTGCCAAACTAGTGCCAAACTCGTGCCAAACTCGTGCCAAACTAGTGCCAAACTCGTGCCAAACTAGTGCCAAACTCGTGCCAAACTAGTGCCAAACTAGTGCCAAACTAGTGCCAAACTAGTGCCAAACTAGTGCCAAACTAGTGCCAAACTAGTGCCAAACTAGTGCCAAACTAGTGCCAAACTAGTGCCAAACTAGTGCCAAACTAGTGCCAAACTAGTGCCAAACTAGTGCCAAACTAGTGCCAAACTAGTGCCAAACTAGTGCCAAACTAGTGCCAAACTAGTGCCAAACTAGTGCCAAACTAGTGCCAAACTCGTGCCAAACTAGTGCCAAACTCGTGCCAAACTCGTGCCAAACTCGTGCCAAACTAGTGCCAAACTCGTGCCAAACTAGTGCCAAACTCGTGCCAAACTAGTGCCAAACTCGTGCCAAACTAGTGCCAAACTCGTGCCAAACTAGTGCCAAACTCGTGCCAAACTAGTGCCAAACTCGTGCCAAACTCGTGCCAAACTAGTGCCAAACTCGTGCCAAACTAGTGCCAAACTCGTGCCAAACTAGTGCCAAACTAGTGCCAAACTAGTGCCAAACTAGTGCCAAACTAGTGCCAAACTAGTGCCAAACTAGTGCCAAACTAGTGCCAAACTAGTGCCAAACTAGTGCCAAACTAGTGCCAAACTAGTGCCAAACTAGTGCCAAACTAGTGCCAAACTAGTGCCAAACTAGTGCCAAACTCGTGCCAAACTAGTGCCAAACTCGTGCCAAACTCGTGCCAAACTCGTGCCAAACTAGTGCCAAACTCGTGCCAAACTAGTGCCAAACTCGTGCCAAACTAGTGCCAAACTCGTGCCAAACTCGTGCCAAACTAGTGCCAAACTCGTGCCAAACTCGTGCCAAACTAGTGCCAAACTCGTGCCAAACTAGTGCCAAACTCGTGCCAAACTAGTGCCAAACTAGTGCCAAACTCGTGCCAAACTAGTGCCAAACTAGTGCCAAACTCGTGCCAAACTAGTGCCAAACTAGTGCCAAACTCGTGCCAAACTCGTGCCAAACTAGTGCCAAACTCGTGCCAAACTAGTGCCAAACTCGTGCCAAACTAGTGCCAAACTCGTGCCAAACTAGTGCCAAACTCGTGCCAAACTAGTGCCAAACTCGTGCCAAACTAGTGCCAAACTCGTGCCAAACTCGTGCCAAACTAGTGCCAAACTCGTGCCAAACTAGTGCCAAACTCGTGCCAAACTAGTGCCAAACTCGTGCCAAACTCGTGCCAAACTCGTGCCAAACTCGTGCCAAACTCGTGCCAAACTCGTGCCAAACTCGTGCCAAACTCGTGCCAAACTAGTGCCAAACTCGTGCCAAACTAGTGCCAAACTCGTGCCAAACTCGTGCCAAACTCGTGCCAAACTCGTGCCAAACTCGTGCCAAACTCGTGCCAAACTCGTGCCAAACTCGTGCCAAACTCGTGCCAAACTCGTGCCAAACTCGTGCCAAACTCGTGCCAAACTCGTGCCAAACTCGTGCCAAACTCGTGCCAAACTCGTGCCAAACTCGTGCCAAACTCGTGCCAGCACCGACCTGAGGAGGCGAGGCTGCAGGCGATGGAGTGGACGGCCGCCAAGCCATGCAAGTGGAAGCCATGGAACCACGATCTTGGACTTTTGAGAATTCTTGAGCATTCTAAAAAATACCATGCATAACCAAGGGCGACATTTCTTAGGCCCCCCAGGGAGGGACTCTCTGGCAGCACGGACCTGACGTGGCGAGGCTGCAGGCGATGGAATGGACGGCCGCCAAGCCGTGGAAGTGGAAGCGGAACCACGATCGTGGTCGGCGCTGGGTAGGAAATGATGGGACTATACTAACCAAGGGCGACAATTTTTAGGCGCCTCACAAGACCAGAATGACAGGGTATTGAGAGCGGTGCACGTGCCACAGACCTGACGTGGCGAAGCTGCAGGCGATGGAGTGGACGGCCGCCCAGCCGTGGAAGTGGAAGTGGAACCACGGTCGTGGTCGGCGGCGCTGGGGCATCAGCGACACGCTTCGCGGACCGCCTTTATTCAGCCTGCTCTCGCAGCAGCCCATGATGGCTTTGCGGTGGCGGCGGACAAAGTTAAGAACTGTTTTTTCTAAGGCGCCTAATAATTACAGCAGCCCATGATGGCACCTAACATAATCAACCCATGGCGGTGTTAAAAAGACTAACGGGGTGGTGTTAACTAAAAAGACAGCACCCAGAAGTGTTGCTTCTGAGTCGACTCAAATGTCGGTGCCACGTCTAATCATGGCGCCCAAGTGCCGTCTCCTCAGCCCATGGCTGGCCGCCAGCGGCGGGCCTCGAGTTGAGCGATGCAGAATAAGGGTCAATTTTTGACGCTAATCTACTAGTCGCTAGCACATAGGAGTTGGACAGATACCTCTAATTCGTCGCGTGCAAATCACTAATTTTCAAGGCGCGTGAAAATGTCCATTGGAGTGCCTTGATTAGCGGTTGTTCGAAGTTTTTTTAGAAAGCTGGCGAGAAACATATCGTGTCCCTTTTACTAGCACTAGTACGCGACGCCAGTGGACGCGTCCTAAAATGGTGGGACTGATTAAAGTGGTACAATATGGTGCACGAGTGCGCGAGAAACAAGCTGAGCGGTTTCAGTGATTTAGTAGGCTGCGGCATTAAAACCCGCGTCTCATATTTCCTCTTTCCAACCAAGAGTAATACGCTCGAAACCGGGTAACCTCACAAGTCAGTCGCAACTTTGTTGGGTTTGGTTGGGAGCACCTGTGATTGGTTGCAACCCCATCAGGTTGGCGAAGGGTGACGCACGACTACCCAACCATATTTGCGAGGAACACACCACCTTGTGCGACGACGGTAGGGAACACAGAGAAGCAAGCGTATTACCACAGCAGAAAAATATGAGACTGCAAACCCAGACAGGTTGTAGGTGGCGGAGCACCGATTTCTCAAGCGACTAAGTCTCATTTCAGCATCTTCTTTTCCCTGATTTTTTTCGAGCGTCAAACGTGACAATACGCAATACTTCTCGTTGGTCACTCCGCGCCTGCTTTTACTTTTACGCACGTACAGTCCGTCCATCGCCAGAGCTGGTCCTCATTATTGCAGTAAGATGCAACACTCTATTTGGACCAAGGTGTACTGCAGTAACGCTCCCCCCTGTCGAATTTGGACGGAAGGGACACGACGGAAAGGCAGCAGTTAGGACGAGGTAGGAAGCGACGCGACGGAAAGGCGAGGGTTAGGACGAGATAGGAAGCGACGCGACGGAAAGGCGAGGGTCAGGACTAGATAAACAGCGACGCGACATTACAGGAAGCGACGCGACATGGCTGGAAGCGAAGAGAAAGGGATTACCTAGGGATTTCCCCATCCGCCTTCCCTTTCCCCATCCCCTTCTCTTTCCCTATCCCCCTTCCCTTCCCCCATCCCCCCTTCCCTTCCCCCACCCCCCTTCTCTTACCACATCCCCGTTCCCTTCCCCACACCCACGCACCCTTCCCCGATCCCCCATTTCCTATCCCTATCCCTCATCCCTTCCCCGCATCCTCCTTTCCCTTCCCCCATCCTTCATCCCTTCCCTCATCCCCCGTTCCCTCCCCCTCTGCTATCACCTTCTTTTCTCTTTCTGCTACCACCTCCCTTCCCCCTCTGCTGTCACCTCTCATCCCGTGCTACCAGCTCCTCCCATGCAGCCAACACTTTGCCAACCCTTCCACCTTTTCCCCCTGCTTTCACACACTATTCCGCCAAGCAATCACGTCCCCCCTTCCTCCCTGCCTCCTTTCTTTCCCCATGTCATGCCTCACCTCGCTTTCCTCCCATGCCTCACCTCGCTTTCCTCCCATGCCTCACCTCGCTTTCCTCCCATGCCTCACCTCGCTTTCCTCCCATGCCTCACCTCGCTTTCCTCCCATGCCTCACCTCGCTTTCCTCCCATGCCTCACCTCTGTTTTCCCACTTGTCTCCCCTCTGCTTTTCCCCTCTCTCCCCCCTGTTGATGTGCTTGTTCCAGCATGGCGCCCAAAGAACCAGTTCATCCTTAGTTTCGTGACTAAGAGCGTATTCCTATCCTCGTATCAAGAGAACCTCATATCAACCTCCCACTGGAAATTCCCCTAAACCCAAAACCTCTCGCTAGTTTTACCAGGCAAAAAGTACAATCTTGATATGAGGTTCTCTTGATACGAGGATAGGAATACGCTCTAATGCGTAGATTCAAAACTCAGTTGTTGGCAAAGTAGGCTTGCCCATCCCACCTGGTCTCTTGTCTTTCATAGCATATTACACTTGATGCTCAAAGTCCTTCAATGTATCCATTCTTGAAGAAGCAACTGCGCACAGCACTGACGTAAAGAAGTTTTTGAAATGTATACACTTGTGTAATATTTTAGAGATACGGGGTACATCTTTCCTCTAGCCCCGGTCTCGCCTTCTAGTATCTGGCCGTGCATCTGCTTCTTGCCTGTCCCTTCCGTTCCGCCAGGCTCGCCTGTGACTAGCTTAGACCTGCTTGTAACTGGAACAAAGGGAGGGGTGACGGGAGGAAGGAAGGCTCCAAGGATGAGAAAAAGGGCAGTTGAGATGTGAAGGAAGAGAACGGTGGTAAAAAGGGGGAACGGGGAGAACAGAAGAGGGTAGGGGTGATGCAAGGAAGGGAGGCTGGCACGCAAGATGGGAAGGATGAGAAGAATGGGAGAGGGGATGAGAAGGGAAGGGACATGAGATGGGATGGCATAGTAGGGGAAAAGAAAAAAAAGGAGGGCAGATGGAGAAGGAAAGGGCTGTCCACTCTCATGGCCGCCACCACAACACTCACCCTCCCCACCTCCACCTCCCACTCCCCTTCCCCTTTCTCTTCCACCCCCCTCTCCCCTCTCTCTAACAGCAAATGCTGCCTCATCCCTGTCCCCAACCCTCACCTTCCCCCGCTACCCTGTCGTTCAAGCGACTGTGGAGGGGAGTGGCAGCGATGGGGAAGGGGAGTGCCAAGTTTGCTTGGGCCATGCCTTGACCTGTTTGCAGCCGGAGCAGAGGGAATTGGCACACGTGCTGACTTGTATGCAAAACGGTAAGAGAAGGGAAGGGCATGGAGGGAAGGGCAGGGATGGGGAGGAAGGGGAGGGGAGTAAGAGGAGGGAAGGATGGGGAGGGAAGGTAGGGAAGAGGGGAGAGGTTCTTGGACGGATGCAAAAAGGGGGGACGGGAAGGCAGAGAGTGGTGGTTGGAGGCATAAAGGGGAGATGAGATGGTGAGGTCGAAACGAGGGAAGAAGAGGTTAATAGGGGACGGATAGGGGTGGAAACGAGGGGAGAAGAGATTAAATGGGGACGGATGGGGGTGGAAACAAGGGGAGAAGAGGAGATGGGGAGGTGGGATGAGAAGATGGGGAGGTGGGATGAGGAGATGGGGAGGTGGGATGGGGCAGCAATTACAGCACAAGGAACATGGAGAAGGTTCCTGGAATGTTACCAGACGGAATGAGAAGAGGGCGAAAGAGGGGTGGCGGGTGCTGGAGGGTGGGAGTCCAAGGAGATGAAGTGTTGGAGAAGTGGGAGGAGTACGAGCATCATCGCTGACGGAAGCGTGTGCGGCAGCAGGGGAGGGGAATGGGTTGGTGGAGGGGTGGGAGAGGAGCGAGCTGCTGATGGCGTGGATGGGCTGACCTGAGAACAACTCCGGACAGGAGGAGGAGAGGGTGAAGGGGAGAGAGGAAGGGGGGAGGGAGAGAGGGAAGGGGAGAGAGGGAAGGGTAGAGAGGGAAGGGGAGAGAGCGTAGGGGAGAGAGGTAAGGGGAGAGAGGGAAGGGGAGAGAAGGGGAGGGGAGAGAGGGAAGGGGAGAGAAGGGGAGGGGAGAGAGGGAAGGGGAGAGAAGGGGAAGGGAGAGAGGGAAGGGGAGAGAAGGGGAGGGGAGAGAGGGAAGGGGAGAGAAGGAAGGGGAGAGAAGGGGAGGGGAGAGAGGGAAGGGGAGAGAAGGAAGAGGAGAGAAGGGGAGGGGAGAGAGGGAAAGGGAGAGAAGGATAAGAATACATACGGGTGCACACCCGCACGCACGCACGCACGCGCACGTGCGCACGCATGCACGCTTGCTCTCACGCACGCGCACGCACGCACGCACGCACGTTCGCACGCACGCACGCACGCATTCGTACGCGCAGGCACGCGCGTGTGCGCACGCACGCACGCACGCACGCGCACGCGCGCACGCGCACGCGCGCGCACGCATAAACGCACGCACGCACGCGCGCGCGCACGCGCGCGCGCACGCACACGCACGCGCATGCACGCACGCGTACGCGCACGCACACGCGCACGCTCGCGCACGCACGCATGCACGCGCACACAAGCGCACGCAACCAAGATTTCACACACACCCCACACATATGCCACTCGCACACAGACCCAGGACGGCAGAACCTTTCACGTACTCGCGCTTGGCGTAGATGGACGACACGAGCGCATTCTGAAATGAGACATCACTTCTCCGGGTTCCACAGCTGTAAATAGCAGAGTAAAAACGCATCTCGGAATGTTACGAACTGGCTACCTCGTAACAAGCGATGGCGTTGCGACGGTTCCCGACATTGGACGATTCCTTACTCGCCAACTAGTGCGTTATCCGCAACTAAAATTCGTTCGCAAGGCCCCCGAAGGGGTCCGAAATGGGCTCTAATAGACTGCTATATCCCTGTTGCTGTGCTAAGGCCAGCATCTTGGTACCTAGGTACATACCTAGGAACCTGCCTAAGCGGAGGTAGTAAGACTGACGGCCGAGAGTTTTGCTCTGCGTTTCCTGGTGGATGTGGGCGACTTGTGTCTTGTCGTTTCAGTCGGTCGCATGGAACTGCCGGATCTGTTTTCTAGGTGTGGGAGCTTTCCATGCCTGAGGGGCTTGTTTGGCTTTTGCGTAGACGAACCGAGGGGTCGTTTGTGTTTTCAAAACTGCTCGTCACAAATCTCGCCTATCGTTACCCAATCACATGCGATGTAGCCCAACCAAGTGTAATACACTAGGAAATATGAGACGCGGGTTTTAAATCGAGTGGCTTCACAGCAGTGGGAGATATGAAAGCCGTCCTGCCCAGGCATCGAATCGAAAGCAACCGTGAGGAATTTATAGTAGAATGATTCACATACAAAGCAGTTCTGTGGGTTGCATTGCGGTTCAGAATGGTAAAACGTCGAAAATCGTTGTCTAATGCTTGGAAACGCACTGAACCGCACTAGAGTATTTGTTTTGTGGAAAACCAGAGGCTACACGAAGACGCAGCAAACCTTGCTGAGCGTCTCGGTAATCAGGACGACGACTTTTTACCGTACGATAAATGAGTATCGGCCGTTCGATTATCAACGCTAACAAGGCATCGTGCCGCCTCAGGCTGGTTTCGTCTGCAGTAACGTTACGTCTGTCGCTGTTGCAGTTTCGCAACAGCCGTGTGCTCGACCTGCTTTGAACGAGACGCTTCCACGTGGCTGTCAAAAGGGATGTTGTGCTAAGGTGCTCTCGATACGGAGATACTTCGATTCTGTGCAGAAAATAGCCTGAATTGAGTTATACAATTATCTGGATCGCGAGTGACATGTTTTGCTTGTGATACCCTTCAAATAGCGCTTCGGCAACTGGTTAGCAGCAGGTCTGACACAATTGCAAGTAACCAATGAATCGTCGCATCCAGTTGGTCCAGGCCAGAGTCAAACCTGCAACTTCTGAACCGAAGCACACAAGTTGGCGGGAAACACCCTCGAACCGAGCTGTATCCAAGCCAAGCCTCACTGTTTTCGCTGAAAGCAAATCACAGAGCAACACATGACTTCCCGCCCCAGCGGGAATTTGGCATGGCGAATCTGGAAGTCTTGGTGATGGTGCCTAACATGGAACTCCAAAATGTTTTGGACGGTGATGGGTCAGACATTCCAGAGGGGCGATACCCATTGTGATTTCTGAAACCACGGTTTGGAATGGTTTGTTCTGGTCAAAAGCGGTTGAGAATAAAACCAATATTTACCGTGCGGTACCATACGAAACCGCACTAGTCTATCAGCAAACAAACTTGCCACCACGCCTTTCTGACGGCAGTTAGCTAGTCAAGCGATCTGCTACCAGCAATGGTTCCATTTTGTGCTTTGGTTGAAGGAATGGAGAACCACATCGAGGATTGCATAACCATGCCACCAACCCATCACCAAGCCAGAGTTCCGTGTTTCTCGATTCTTCAACCCCATTCTGCACGTTAGACTTCGAATTCTGGCAGAAGTGACTCGCAAGGGAATTAGAACAATCATTCTGACAGTAGTGACGACGATAGTTAAACGCTAGCTTATGTAGATGAGGGACGTTTCAGCAACAGAATGACGAAAGCTGGAGATCCGTCTGCCATGGCGGACCAACGAGCAGAAAGGCATGGAATTGCCGAACCGTCAGCCACGCCGCGATCGTCGTCGATTGGTGGTAGTTTCGGTTCATCAATCCCAAGTCCTGTAGTTAAACAACGGTTACTATTCCAATCACCACAAGGAGCATCGGAAGTCCTTATAGCGAAGGAAAACGGTCCAGGTAAGGAGGGAGGCTCTGGTATTCCAGTGTCACCAAGGCCGGGCCTCAAACCTCCAGCAACGGTCACTAGTCTCCGAACCTCGTGGACACCTTCGTCGCGCCTTCCGTCGAACCTGCCGCGTAGGTCAGGCTCGGGTCAAGGGTCGGAGGAACCGGGGGAGCTGAGCCGGACCAGCTCAGCAAGCTCGGATGCCGGAAGCAGGTTCGGGACGGAAACTCCGGGCAGGAGTAGCGCGAGTGACGCCGCGAGTGCTAGTAGAATCCATTGCAATGGCGGAGGGAAGGCGACCGGAGTCCTGCGCCCGAGTAATCATGGTACGTCATACCCGTTAAGGTGTTTTTCATCATCTTGAAGGTCTTGCTCATGGTACCGTATGTTGTCTAGCCGCGGCGTCTGCAGATACCTCAGGTATTGCGTAACTGTAGATATTGCAAGCGACGCCTTTTGAATATTTCTCCCCAGTCTCCTTTTTCATGATCCCCTTCTTCCTTTTTCGTCAGTTTTGTAAATTTTGTAACACCCGTTTCGCACGAATGTTTTTCCTCGTTGTCCTCCGTAACAGCTGGCGAGCAGGTAGCCTCGTTAGCTGCTGACGTCAAGCCTGAAAGGAGATCGAACCCTGGGCAGGAGCAACGGCAGCGTCAGCAGGATTCGATGCAGCAGCAGCATCACCAGCAGCAGCATGAGCAGCAGCACCACCAGCACCAGCAGCAGCAGCATGAGCAGCAGCACCACCAGCACCAGCAGCAGCAGCAGCCGCAGCAGCAGCCGCAGCAGGCGGGTGGTAGGTTCGGCTTCAAATCCCCCTCATTGCAAAACCATCGGCAGCACGAACCGCAGCCAACGCCGCCGCACTCGGCGGCGCAGCAGCCACGGGGTCACATCCAGCCGGAGGAACGAGTGATTGGAAGCTTCTCCGCAGTTACCGACGGGTCGGACAGGAGGCTGAGCTTCGGAAGGGTGGAGTCGCAGCTTCGGGTGAAAGAGATGAGAGGCTCGGAGATGAGAGGCTTGGAGAGAAAAGGTTCGGAAAGGAAAGGTTCGGAGAGGAAAGCCGTTGGGAGAGGTGGGGAGGGGGTTACGCACGCGGGTTACGGGCAGGAAGCGCAGGAGGAGGAGGAGAGGAGGAGGGAGCTTGAGAGGGAGAGAGAGAGGGAGATAGAAAGGGAGATGGAGGTTGCGCGAGAGAGGGAGGAGAAAGAGAGAGCGGAAAGGGAAGAGAGGGAGGAGAGGGAGGAGAGGGAGAGGTTGCTGAAGGAAGAGAGGGAGAAGGAGAGGAAGGAGAAGGAGAGAAGAGTTCAGGAAGAGAAGGCAAGGCGTGAACGAGAAGAGAAAGAGAGGGTTGAGAGGGAGAGAGCAGAGAGGGAATGGAAGGAGAAGGAGAAGGTCGAACGGGAAAAGATGGAGAGGGAAAGGAAGGAGAGGGAGAGGAGGGAGAGAGAGAGGTTTGAGAGGGAGAGGGTGGAGACGGAGGAAAGGGAACGGCGGGAGAGGTTGGAGAGCGAGTTGGAAGAGCGGAAAGAGAAGGAGAGGCAAGAGGAGCTGGCGAAAGTGAGACAGAGGGAGCGAGAACGGTTGAGAGAGATTGAGCGAGAGATGGAGCGGCAGAGGCACGTGCGAATCGCAGAGGAAAGGGAGAGGGAGAAGGAGAGGGCTGAGGAGCGAGAGAAGGAGCGGGGGAGAATGGAAGAGGGGGAGAAGGAGCGGGAGAGGGAGAGGGAGAAGGAGAGGGAGAGAGTGAGAGTGGAGCAGAGGCAGAGAGAGGAGGAGCGGCGGGTGAGGCGCCAGCGGGAACTCCAGAAGCGGAAGGAGAGGCGCGGAGATCAGCTATCAGCAGCTGCTATGGGGGATCCTCTCCGTGTGATCTCCTGGGTTGCGGGAGCTGGAGTAGCCTCTGCTGCTTTCGGCGAGCCGTCCAACTCGTTTGGAACACCATATCAGGTATAAGTTGTGGAATCTTGTTAAGCGGCCATGTGGGGGGGGGGGGTATCCTCTTGGTGTGATCGCCTGGGTTGCGAGAGCAGGAGTGTCGTCTGCTGCTTTCAGCGAGCCTTCCGGCTCGTTTGGTACACCATATAAGGTAAAACTGAAAGAAAAGCAGAGATTTCCTTAATATTTCAGCCAAGGAGACAAGTGCACGCATGCCCGTTGCGTTGCGCTCGTAGGTTGGTTCGGTTTGCCGTATTGAGTGTTTTTGTTGCCGTGATTGTTCCTAATGTGTGATTGGTGATTGATGGTGATTGGTTGCTCATGGTGGTGTGATTGTATGCGATGTGACTATGTATGTGCAATTCGTGTTTTTCCCCAGGCGTCTCCGGATCATTCTCAGGTGCTGCAGCAGTGGGTGCAGCAGTACGTGATGTGTTGATACGATCGTATGTGTGTCCAACTCGTGTTTGTTCTTTCCCAGGCGTCTCCGGATCATTCTCAGGTGCTGCAGCAGTGGGTGCAGCAGTACGTGATGTGTTGATATGATCGTATGTGTGTCCAACTCGTGTTTGTTCTTTCCCAGGCGTCTCCGGACCATTCTCAGGTGCTGCAGCAGTGGGTGCAGCAGTACGTGATGTGTTGATACGATCGTATGTGTGTCCAACTCGTGTTTGTTCTTTCCCAGGCGACTCCGGATCATTCTCAGGTGCTGCAGCAGTGGGTGCAGCGAGCAGCCCACTTCCACAGCAGGCTGGGATCTGACGTGGCTCCAGCTGACGTGGCACCAGCGTCAGCTGTAGCGGACTTTTGGCGGGGTGTTAGGGCAGCGGTGGAGGCGGCAGAGGATGTGGCTATAGCGGGGGGTGACGAGCAGCAGACGGGCGTGACAGTGTCTGTAGGCGCGTGTGATGTAGCTGCAGTGCGACAGCTGCAGGGGAATGCGAGGAAGCGAGGTAAGATGTCACTAGCAACCCATCCACCCTACCTACCAACCACCCTTCCCTTAGCCTTTTCTCCTCAACCCCACCTGGGTGCTATTTTGTCCTTTATGTTCTCATTCTCCCAATCTCTCATTCCCCCAATCTCTCATTCCCCCAATCTCTCATTCCCCCAATCTCTCATTCTCCCAATCTCTCATTCCCCCAATCTCTCATTCCCCCAATCTCTCATTCTCCCAATCTCTCATTCCCCCAATCTCTCATTCCCCCAATCTCTCATTCCCCCAATCTCTCATTCTCCCAATCTCTCATTCCCCCAATCTCTCATTCCCCCAATCTCTCATTCTCCCAATCTCTCCTTCACCCCCCTCTCCATCCCCCAGTGGCAGCAACAGAAGCGATGGCGCAGCAGGTGGGGGCGTTTGAGTCCACGTGTGGGGCAGCAGGGCGGGGGAGCGAGGAGGCACATCTTCCTCTCAGGTTCCCATTTCCCCTTCCCTCCTCACAACCCCCCTCTTCCGCACACTTCCCTCCCACCCCCCTCTCCATCCCCCAGTGGCAGCAACAGAAGCGATGGCGCAGCAGGTGGGGGCGTTTGAGTCCACGTGTGGGGCAGCAGGGCGGGGAAGCGAGGAGGCGGTTAGGGTGGCCATTCAACAGCTGATGGAGTGAGTATGAGTGCTGCTGCTGCGTCCCTGCTGCTGCTTTCCCCCTCCCACTCCTTTCCCCCCTCCCATTCCCTTGCCCCCTCCCATTCCCTTTCCCCCTCCCACTCCCTTTCCTCCTCTCACTCCCTTTCCCCCTCCCATTCCCTTTCCCCCTCCCACTCCCTTTCCCCCTCCCACTTCCTTTCCCCCCTCTCACTCCCATTCCCCCTCCCATTCCCTTTCCCCTCTCCGACTTCCTTTCCGCCCCCCACTCCCTTTCCCCCTCCTACTCCCTTTCCGCCTCCCACACCCTTTCCCCCTCCCACCCCCTTTCCCCCCTCCCACTTCCTTTCCGCCCCCCACTCCCTTTTCCCCTCAAACTCCCTTTTCCCCTCCCACTCCCTTTCCCCCCTCTCACTCCCTTTCCCCCCTCTCACTCCCTTTTCCCCTCCCACTCCCTTTCCCCCTCTCACTCACTTACCCCCTCCCTCTTGCAGGGTCGTCGCCAATCAAGGCCTCACACTCCATAGGCTTTCCGCTACAGCTGCTACAGCTGCTCCCGCTGCTACAGCCGCTACAGCCGCCTCAGTCGCTACAGCCGCTACAGGCGGGGAGGAGGAGCAATGGGAAGATCCCTTGGTGTTGGCCGTGGGAGGGGTGGTGGGAGCAGCGGCTGCGGCACTTAAGAGCTGGCTAAGTGTCGTTGTGGAGGGGAGGAAGGGGAGGAAGGGAGGAGTGGGAGGAGGTGGAGGTGCGGGGAAGGTGGCAACTGGTGCAGGTGCATCTGGTGGGCATGTACTGTTACAGCCGCCCAAGGCTGCTCTAGCTGTAAGTATTTGATTTTGTGAGATTTTGCCTTTTTTCTCTCTTTGTGTGAGTCTTGGCCTCTCTGTCTGTGTGAGACGGTGTCTGAATGAGTACCCGCTTTTGAGGTTCCTCAAAAGCTGGTTACCATGCCATGCCATCTCACTTTCACACCCATTTCTCTGTACCCCTTATAAACACATGTCGAGTCGACCTCTTCCATTCCCTCCCTTCCGATCCCACTGCTTCTCTGCAACTCCCTCTTGATGACTTTCCAGGATTTAAGGGAGGCTCGTGATGTGCTGGACGTGTGGCGGCATGAGCTGGCACGGCTGCACTCGCGCCTAGTCAGCGTCGTCTGCCGCTCCCAGCTGACGTCAGCACACGGCCGCATGACCTGGCAGCCGGCATCGCCAGCTCAGCTCCCGGGCCAGGACCACACGGTGGCCCCGGCTGACGTGGCCATGGCGTCTGCTTGCGCGTTTCTGGATCAAGCCATAGATATCCGACAGCAGGTGAGATTTTCCGGGCAACAGGGTAGATTCTCCGGGCGGCAGGGCATACTCAGGGAGTTGGCAGCGTGAATGTTTCCAGCGGGAATGGCAGGCGGCAGCAGCTGCGCTGGTGTGCGCTGTGACTTTTGAGGCGCCTCAAAAGGATACTCAGGGAGTTGGCAGCGTGAAGTTTCTAGCTGAGGAAGAGGGAATGGAATGGCAGGCGGCAGCAGCTGTGCTGGTGTGCGCTGTGAGAGGCTTACAGTTGCTCCTGCACTGCTGTGACAGTCCATTGTGACAGTCCATTGTGACAGTCCATTGTGACAGTCCATTGTGACAGTCCATTGTCAGCATCAGTATACTTTTGTCCTCTTGTTTATCCTACGTGTCTGAGTATCCTTCCTGCCTGCACTATGTGTCCTCACTTCAGCACGAGGGGTGGGAGGAAGCGATGGCAGCAGCTACTCTCGTGTGCGACGTGGAAGCTTCCTCCTCAGGCAGTAGCAACACTGGCGCTGCTGACGTGGACAGGTGGAGGCGCTTCCTGGAGCCACTCACAGACAGCCACGTGGCAGACATTCTCGAAGGTGCGGAACATAGTCAGTGCTTTACTGGTAAAGCACTATAGTCAGTTCTTCCTAGACTATAGTCAGTGCTTTACTGGTAAAGCACTATAGTCAGTTCTTCCTAGACTATAGTCAGTGCTTTACTGGTAAAGCACTATAGTCAGTTCTTCCTAGACTATAGTCAGTGCTTTACTGGTAAAGCACTATAGTCAGTTCTTCCTAGACTATAGTCAGTGCCTGTGAATGCCTCTTTCAGTGTGGCCCTCCTCCCTTGCCTCGTACCTCAGGTTCCTCCCTTCCTTTTCTCTCTACCTCGTCAGATCCCTCTCAACATCCCCCACCCACTTCCCCCACCCTCCTCTCCGCGCCCACACCCAGGCGACCTTGCCAGCTGGCGGGCGGCGCAGGGCATCTACTGGGCGGCAGTGTCTGCCGAGGTGGAGGCAACGCATCAGCGTCCTCCCCCCACCCTCATCTCTCTCTTCTCCCCCTCCCTCCCCTCCCCCCCACACACAGGCGACCTTGCCAGCTGGCGGGCGGCGCAGGGCATCTACTGGGCGGCAGTGTCTGCCGAGGTGGAGGCAACGCATCAGCGTCCTCCCCCCACCCTCATCTCTCTCTTCTCCCCCTCCCTCCCCTTCCCCCCACACACAGGCGACCTTGCCAGCTGGCGGGCGGCGCAGGGCATCTACTGGGCGGCAGTGGCTGCTGAGGAGGAGGCACTGGCGGGGCTGCTGCAGGCGCGACTGGGGGAGGTGCCATCCGCCATGGGGCGGCTGCAGCTGCTGGCGCAGTGCTCGTCTTTCACTGCACTGCCAAGGGTACGAATTCAGTAGGCTTGTGTTGTGTGTGGGCCTTGAGCCGACTCAATCGACTGTTCACTCCACTAGGAACGTGTTAGAATTTAGAATAGAACGAGAATGGATGAAACTAGGTAGGAGGGGGATACAAGTAGGAAACCCTAACAAAGCTGTACCCCCTAAGGCTAAACCCACTATAGCCTACACAATATGAACATATAATGTTTGACACACCCCCATAGGCTAAGTGGGAGACAACCAGATGGTCACAAGACCAGTCAAAGCAAAGCAAAGCAAGCTCAGGGTGGATCTCAAGGAAACCACACAAATTCTGAGCACAAGCAAGCGGTCACAAGACCAGTTCACATGCAGGTTGATAGTATAACAAGAGATACAGTGATCACAACCTAGCAAGAGTAAACAAGCAGGTATATATATAGAGATCACAGTACAAGCAGAGTCAAGAAGTAAGCAAGTGAGGCCCAGTAGGCACGAGGCCTAGAACAGTACAGAAGCGCTGATGGTCACAAGGCTGAAGCGCCTTGGTGAACACATCAGCAGTGTTGGCCCAAGTGGCCACGTAACGCAGACGAAGCTGACCGCGCTGCTGCAGCTCTCGAGCAAGGAAGTAGCGCAGAGCGATATGCTTCGTTCTGTGCTCCAGTCTGTGCTCCTCACACAAGGCAATGGCAGCCTTGTTGTCGACGTACAGCACTGGAGGAGAACGAGGCCGCTCTCCCAAGTCGGTCAGCAGGTAGGTGAGCCAGCGTAACTCCTGTGCAGCCATGGCTGTGGCGTAGATCTCAGCCTCACAACTGGAGCTGAGAACTGAAGACGAGCGTGTAGAATGCCAAGAAACTGAACCAGAGCCAAGGCTGAAGGTGTAACCCTGAGACGACCGCTGAGTAGCCTGGTCGTCAGCCCAAGACGCGTCTGAGTGCCCAGTGAGTACAACTCCAACTCGGTCTCGTCCTCCAAGCACTAGCCCCATGCCCGACGTACTGCACAAGTAGCGCAACACCCTCTTAGCGGCATCCATGTGCTCCTTCCGGTGACGGCCAGGAGCGACATAGCGTCCAAGGATGCTAAGAGGGTATGCAAGGTCAGGTCGAGTGCAGGTCATCAGGTACATGAGGCAGCCCACAAGCTCTGGATACGGGCCACTCGGCTCTACGGACTCATCCGAAGGCAGAGCTGAGAGCGAGTGACCGGTAGGCAGAGGAGTGGGCTGAGGCGAGGAGTACGTGAAGCGGAAGCGCTGAAGGACCTGCTGCACCATGTGTGACTGAGTCAAGGTGATGGTGCGCCGTGCTCTGTCCCGGGTGATCCGCAAGCCAAGATAGCTTGTCAGTTCACCCAGGTCTGTGCACGTGTGTCTCTTCTGCAGCTCCGACTTCACGTGGGCGAGTGCCGCAGTGTCTGCAGTGGCAAAGACCAAGTCGTCGACGTACACGAGGATGTAGAACGGCGGCAGCGAGGTGTCGGTGCGTAGAAACAGCGACTGGTCAGCAGTAGAAGGAGTGAACCCAAGAGCCGCAAGTGTAGTCCTCAGTGTGTCGTGCCACTCACGTGGCGCCTATCGGAGACCGTAGACTGGCCGCCGGAGGCTCCACTGGGTACCAGGAGGGAACGACCCAGTGAAGCTAGGTGGGCGGCGCAGCCAGATCTCCTCGTGCAGGCTGCCCTGTAGGAAAGCAGTGCTGAAGTCAAGAGAGTGGAGCTCGTAGTCACGCTGAGCGGCGACGTGCAGCAGAACCCGAAGAGTGGTCATCTTCGGGGTCGGGGAGAAGGTCTGGAAGAAGTCAACTCCCTCTCGCTGACTGAAGCCTCGTGCAACGTAACGCGCCTTGAAGACAGGCGGAGAACCCGGCGGCCGCTTCACCCTGAAAATCCACATGCCACTGACGATGTTCGCCCCAGGTGGGGGAACCTCGTCGACGTAGGTGCCTGTGGACTTCCAGGAAGCCATCTCTGCGTCCATGGCTGTCTGCCACTGAGAGGAGTAGGGACCCTCTATCGCCTCTGCGTAAGAGCGCGGAGTCGGGATGTCTGGTGCATCCGGGTCTCCCTCAGGGGCAACTAGCATGGACACGAGATGAGGTAAAGCAGCGGCAAAGCACTCAAACTCCTCCTGCCTGTCCTCAAGGACGTCCGTGCCAAGAGCACACTCACCCCCGACGGACGGAGGACAGACAGACTCAGACTCAGCAACTAGGCTAGCGGCGTAGTCGAGACGACAAGTGGCAGCAAAGTCGACAAGCTCGGCAATTAAAGCAGACGCAGCAGTGGACTCAAAAGAAGGGTCAGTGACAACAGTAGCCAGGAGACGCGTGACAGTAGGACTGGCAGCACGAAGAGAGTCAGACTCAGGGTCAGCAAGAGCAGGAAGAGAGGACGCAGGAGGAGCCGGGAGAGGGACACGCTGGGGAGCAGTGGAAGGACGAAGCGCCATCTGGTGAGTGCCTGGGACAGCAGGAGGACGCTGACGCGGGACACGACGACCAGTGTGAGCAGCACGAACAGGCGACGCTCGACAAGACTCAGGCGATGCAGGACGAGACTCAGGCTCACGACGCTCCGTAAGACCTCCAGTCGGACCAGTGTAAGGAGAAAGACCAGGGAGAGGGGAGGCAGACGGTAACTGTGACTGCGACTGGACAGACGGAGGACACTCTAAGGAGGGAGGAGGACAAGGAGGAGGAGGCTGACCAAGAACCTGCTGAAGGAGCGGAACGAAGTACGGCCGCGGCCGCGCAGCGTCAGGGTCCTCAGCACCAGCAGCAGCTCCAGCAGCCCCAGCACCAGCAGCACCTCCAGCAGCTCCAGCAGCACCAGCAGTACCACCAGCACCAGCAGCACCTCCAGCAGCGTCAGCAGCACCAGCAGCTCCAGCACCAGCAGCACCTCCAGCAGCGCCAGAAGCACCGCCAGCAGCAGAACCTCCAGCAGCTGGGTCCGCGACACTAGGAGCGCCACTCCGAAGACTGCAGCGCCGTGCGTACCACTCTCGGAGCCGTTGGGGAGAGGGCAGCTCCCGCCTAGGAGGGGAAGCACTAGCACCAGCTCCAGCAGTACTCCTGGCTCCAGAAGCACCTCTCCTGAGGCTGCAGTACTGTAAGTACCACTCACGCAGCTGCTGTGAGGAGAGAGCTCCTCCAGGTGTAGCACTCCCAGGCTCAGTACCTCTAGACTCAGCACCCCCAGACTCAGCACCCGCAGGCTCCGCACCCCCAGGCTCAGCACCCCCAGACTCCGCAACCCCAGGCTCCGCACCCCCAGACTCCGCAACCCCAGGCTCCGCACCCCCAGGCTCCGCACCCCCAGGCTCCGCACGCTCAGGCTCAGCACCCTCAGGCTCAGCACCCCTAGCAGGACAAGAGTCGACAGCTACCTCGACAGGCTCAACCGGGTCTACCTGGGACACACCTGAGGGAGCGGCACCCTGAGGGGGGAGGGGGTCTACCACAGCAGCACCTGGCGCGAGGAAGAGAGGCGGGGGGGGGAAGCGGGGCAGTGCGGTAGGGGAAGAGGCGGTAGTAGGGGACGGACTCGTCGAAAGTGACGTCCTGAGAAGGCAGGACACGGCGCGAGGTGGGGTGGTAAAACTGCCAACCAGACGCGTCCGGGACAAAGCCAAGGAAGACACAAGGAACAGCGCGGGAGGAGAGCTTGTCCGCGGACGTATCGCGAACAAAGGCTCGAGATCCCCAGACCCGAAAGCGTGACGCATCGCCAACCTCTCCTGTCCAACGCAGTGTCGGCGAAGTCTCCGGAACGGAGACACGGGGCCAGAGGTTGAGCTGATGCGCAGCGTATCGGACTGCAAACGGCCACAGAAAGTGGGGGGCAGCCGCATGGATCAAGGAGGTACGAGCGACCTCCATGACCAAGCCAATGCGGCGCTCAGCAACCCCATTCTGCTGTGGAGAGGCCGGAAGCGTGAACGACTGCTCAATGCCCTCCCCCTGACAGAAGGCCCTCAAGAGGTCGGAGGAAAACTCCCCACCTCTGTCAGAGTGCAGACGCAAGACAGGAAAGTCCGAGTGGAACCTCTCGCTGAGCTGGAGACGAGAAGCGCTGATCCAAGGGATCAAAACATCAGGGACCTCACCCTTGGTGCGCAAGGGGAAGACCGTGGTGTAGCGCGAGTAGTCGTCAACAACTATCAGGAAGTACCTCTCCTGACCCTGACCACGGACGCGGGCTGGGCCCCACACGTCCATGTGGAGCGTCTGCAAGGGAGCAGTCGTCGGGGGAAACGAGGAGTGAGGAGCGGCGCGCTGCCGCCCCTCGACACAGGGAAGACAGGGAGGAGCAGGCGAGGGTGGGAGGGGAGGGAGAACCCTGGGAAGACCAGAGACAAGGTACCGGGAGTGCATGGCACGAAGGCGCTGCACGGACGGGTGACCAAGTCGGTGGTGCCAGAGGACGGTCTCGTGCGCCAGAGAGCGACACGAGCAGGGGGCCGACAGCTGACCTGACGCAGACGCAGACGCAGCTACCTGAGGGGACTCAGTGGTCAGTGTGTACAGGTCCGACCCCGGCTGCCAAGTGAAGGTAGCCAGGTGACGGCCCGTCCGAGCACACGTGCAGTGTGTCACGCGCTCGTAGGCAGGGGTGAACTGGTGAACACCCCCGTCCTGGAGCGCACAACCCGCCACCAAGTTCGTAGAGAACGAGGGGAGGTGGAGACCTGACAGTGTGCCCGACGGGACCGCAGGACAAGGAAGGACAGTGGAGGAGGTCGCAGTGACCGGACCCCCAGAGGGGTCAGCGAGGGAGACAGCAACTGGCCGAGCAAGCGGTTCAAGGGCAGTGCGGTCACGAAAGAAACAGCGAGAAGCACCTGAGTCCAGAGTGAAGGTGTGCAGTGCCTCAGTCGACTCAGTACCAGGGGGCGCAGACTCACTAGCACCTAGAGCAGCAGCCTCACCAGCACCTGGGGTAGCAGACACACTAGCACCTAGAGCGGCAGCCTCACTCACAGGACACGGCAGCTGCACCTGTCCACTACCAGAAGCTCCCGAACGACGCACTCCAGAGCGACTACCACTACGGCCACCCCGACAGCCCCAACCGGCGTACCACGCACGAAGCTGCTGGGGCGAAAGAGGACACGACAGCTGCACCTGTCCACTACCAGAAGCTCCCGACCGACCCACTCCAGAGCGACTACCACTACGGCCACCCCGACAGCCCCAACTAGCGTACCACTCACGAAGCTGCTGGGGCGTGAGGGACTCACGCGCACGGCCCTGGAGCTGCATCTGGCTACGCCAGAAGCAGCAGTAGTAGCAGTAGCGGCAGTAACAGCAGTAACAGCAGGAGCAGTAGCAGTGGGAGTAGAAAAGGCAGTAGCAGCAGTAGCAGCGGTAGCAGTGCTGGCAGGGCAATGCTCACCAGTGGTCGGCGCGGCAGGCGCAAGACGGTGGCGACAGCGGGGCCGCTACAACTGCAGGGCGGGGCCGGGCCGCGGCAGGGAGCTCCGCGGCAGCTGCTGCACGGCGAGGCCGGGCCGCGACGGCAGCTGCTCCAGGTGCCAGGGGCGGCTGCTGCAGTGGCGGCTGCTCCAGGGGCCAGGGGCGGCTGCTGCAGCGGTGGTTGCTCCAGGGGCCAGGGGCGGCTGCTGCAAGGGCGGCTGCTCCAGGGGCGAGGGCGGCTCCTGCAGTGGCGGCTGCTCCAGTGGCCAGGGGCGGCTGCTGCAGGGGCGGCTGCTCCAGAGGCCAGGCGCGGATTAGGTCAGGGCGACGCGGCGAGCAGGGCGACGCGGCGGGCAGGTGGCGACGCCGCGGGCAGGGCGACGTGGCGGGAAGGTGACGACGCCGCGGGCAGGGCGACGCGGCGAGCAGGTGACGACGCCGCGAGCAGGGCGACGCGGCGGGCAGGGCGACGCGGCGAGCAGGTGACGACGCCACAAGCAGGGCGACGCCGCGAGCAGGTGGCGACGCCGCGGGCAGGGCGACGCGGCGAGCAGGTGACGACGCCGCGGGCAGGCGACGACGCCGCGGGAAGGCGACGACGTCGCGGGCAGGCGACGACGTCGCGGGCAGGGGCTACGTCGCGGGCAGGCGACGACGCCGCAGGCAGGCGACGACGCCGCGGGCAGGCGACGACGCCGCGGGCAGGCGACGACGCCGCGGGCAGGGGCTACGTCGCGGGCAGGTGACGACGCCGCGGGCAGGCGGCGACGCCGCGGGCAGGCGGCGACGCCGCGGGCAGGGCGACGCGGCGGGCGGCGAGAGCCTGCAGGGGCGGCGCGCGGTCGGGCAGAGGCTGCGCGCGGGCCTGACGAGTCTGCAGGGGCGGCTCTCGGGCCTGACGGGCCTGCAGAGGCGGCTCGGGGGGGGCCTGACGGGTCTGCAGAGGCGGCTCGGGGGCCTGACGGATCTGCAGGGGCTGCTCGAGGGCGCACGAGGGCGCTCGAGGGCGCACGAGGGCGCACGAGGGCGCACGAGGGCGCACGAGGGCGCACGAGGGCGCACGAGGGCGCACGAGGGCGCACGAAGGCGCACGAGGGCGCACGAGGGCGCACGAAGGCGCACGAAGGCGCACTAGCAGAGAAAGGCGCACGAGGGCGCACGAGGGCGCACGAAGGCGCACTAGCAGAGAAAGGCGCACGAGGGCGCACGTAAGGTAGGGCGCACGAGGGCGCTGCTAGCGGAATAGTGGGCCCATAGTAGAAAGCGGTCCTAGGTAGCAACCTAGGCTCGTGATACCATGTTAGAATCTAGAATAGAACGAGAATGGATGAAACTAGGTAGGAGGGGGATACAAGTAGGAAACCCTAACAAATCTGTACCCCCTAAGGCTAAACCCACTATAGCCTACACAATATGAACATATAATGTTTGACAGAACGCTCTTACTTGTCCAAAGAGGGTTGTTTGTTCACTTCAACCTTCAAGGATGGTTGCTCTCAGTTGTTCATACAGTCGTCCCACTTTTTCCCTTGCCGCTCCTCTGCCTTCCCTCCCTCTCCGTCCTCCTCCCTCCTCCCCACCACCACGGCAGGTGTCAGCACGCCTGCAGCACGACTTGCAGCAAATGCTTCATGAGGTGGCAGCAGGTACGAGGGAGAGAGGTGTAAACCAAATCTCACCCTTTTCCCTCGCCCCTCTTTTCCTGTGTCCCCTATCCCCACCACGGCAGGTGTCAGCACGCCTGCAGCACGACTTGCAGCAAATGCTGCACGAGGTGGCGGCAGGTGAGAGGGGCGTGTGACGCTTTTGAATGCCACCAGTCGAGGTGTATGATAGTTGCGAAGCAGATGCTGCACGATAGCTGCTGCTTTCTGAAAGAATGGTGGGAGAGGTGTCTGCAACCCTTTTGAGAGTTCCCAAAAAACACATTCTGTCTGCAACCTTTTGAATGTGTTGCTTCCCTCTGCCCTTACCACCCTTCCACCGCCCCCCTTCCGTTTCTTCCTTCCTCCCCCATCCATTTCCCATCCCCTTTCCCCCTCTGCTCTCCCGTCCCCATTCCCCAACTCCTTCACCTTTCCTCCCCATTCCCCATTCCCCAACTTCCGTTTCCTCTCCGCCTCCCCATTCCCCCTCCCCCACTCTCCTTCCCATCCGCCCTCCCCATTCCCCTTCCCCATCCCCTTTCCCATCTCCCCCTCCCCATCCCCCACCCCCTCCCCACTCCCCGTCCCCCCTTCGCCAGACGTGCGAGCACTGGAGGAGCAGCTATGGCACCCAACCGCAGCCTGCCACGTGTCCTCCCTCGCCCAGCTCAGGGGCGTGCCACGTGTCGCCTCCTCAGTGGCCCGCGCCAAAGCCATTCACGGGAAGCTGAGGGCGCTAGATGCGGCCCTGCACGCTCTGCTGGGTGACAGCTGGCGCAGCGGGATTGGCAGGGCAGGGAGGGGAGGCCGTAGGAGGGGAAGAGGGGCGGGGGGAGCGGTGGGGATGGGTGGAGATGGGGAGGCGGGGGTTGATTGCGGTGGGGCTGGGCGGGGAGCGGTGACGGATGGTGGGCTCCGGAGGTCGATTGCTCGGCTGCTGGAGGAGGCTTTGCAGCAGACAGATCCTCAGAAGGTGTGTGTGAGTTGCGGACACGGAATGTTGTGATATGACAGATTAGCAGTGGAGTGCAATCTAGTGCCTTTGCAAAGGCAGTAGATTGCTCGGCTGCTGGAGGAGGCTTTGCAGCAGACAGATCCTCAGAAGGTATGTGTGAGTTGCGGACACGGAATGTTGTGATATGACAGATTAGCAGTGGAGTGCAATCTAGTGCCTTTGCAAAGGCAGTAGATTGCTCGGCTGCTGGAGGAGGCTTTGCAGCAGACAGATCCTCAGAAAGTGTGTGTGAGTTGCGGACACGGAATGTTGTGATATGACAGATTAGCAGTGGAGTGCAATCTAGTGCCTTTGCAAAGGCAGTAGATTGCTCGGCTGCTGGAGGAGGCTTTGCAGCAGACAGATCCTCAGAAGGTGTGTATGCATGAGTGCGGAGGAGACAGAGGAGGCTCTGAGGGGCCCTGTGCTCGGCCCCTGCTCGTTCCATCCGTTTATATATTGTCCCTCCTTCTCCCTCACCCGTCCATCCATCCACTCCCCCTTTCAGACCGTCAACCAATGGTTGCAAGAAAAGCTCTCTCCCACTGCCGGCAGCATCAACAATGGCAACACCAACAGCAGCAGCATGAGCGCGGGGGAGGCAGAGGAGGCAGAGGAGGCCCTGAGAGGCCCTGTGCTCGCCCCCTGCTCAGTGCTCGAGTTTCCCCCTCTCCCACTTTTGCCCTCTTCCCCGTTTTCCCTCGCAGACCGTCAACCAGTGGCTGCAAGAGAAGCTTGCTCCAATCAGCAACACTGGCAACGCCAACAGCATCAGCATGAGTGCGGAGGAGGCGGAGGAGGCCCTCAGGGGCCCTGTGCTCGCCTGCTGCTTATCCTGCCTGCCTGCTGGTAATGAGTGTTTCCCACTCTCTTCCGTCCACTGCTCCCTCCACTCTCCCTTCCAGACCGTCAACCAGTGGCTGCAAGAAAAGCTCTCTCCCACATCTGGCAGCACCAACAGCAGCAGCATGAGCGCGGAGGAAGCAGAGGAGGCACTGAGGGGCCCTGTGCTCGCCCCCTGCTCGTCCCTCCCACCCCTAACAACTGTCTCCCTCTCCCCCCCCTCGTCCACCCATTCATTTTCATCCACTCTCCCTTCCAGACCGTCAACCAGTGGCTGCAAGAGAAGCTCGCTCCAATCAGCAACACGGGCAACAGCAGCACCAGCAGCAGCATGAGCGCGGAGGAGGCAGAGGAGGCCCTCAGAGGCCCTGTGCTCGTCTGACCCGTTCATATATTGTGCCTCCTTCACCCTCACCCGTCCACCCACCCGCTCTCCCTGTCAGACCGTTAACCAGTGGCTGCAAGAGAAGCTCGCTCCCATCACCACCAACGCCACCAACAACAGCAGCATGAGTGTAGAGGAGGCAGAGGAGGCCCTACGAGGCCCTGTGCTCACCCCCTGCTCGTCCCGGCCCCCCTAACAACTGTCTCCCTCTCCTCCCCATCTACCCATCCATTTTCATCCACTCTCCCTTCCAGACCGTCAACCAGTGGCTGCAAGAAAAGCTCGCTCCAATCAGCAACACTAACAGCAGCATGAGTGCGGAGGAGGCAGAGGAGGCCCTACGAGGCCCTGTGCTCACCCCCTGCTCGTCCCGGCCCCCCTAACAACTGTCTCCCTCTCCTCCCCATCTACCCATCCATTTTCATCCACTCTCCTTCCAGACCGTCAACCAGTGGCTGCAAGAGAAGCTCGCTCCCACATCTGGCAGCAGCAACAGCAGCAGCATGAGTGCAGAGGAGGCAGAGGAGGCACTGAGGGGCCCTGTGCTCGCCCCCTGCTCGTCCCGCCCGCCCCTGGCTGATGTCAGCAACAGCAGCGCGGCTACAGCCGGGGAGGAGGAGCAGGCAGAGCCGCTGCTACAGCTGCAGGTGAGGGAGAGAGAGATGAGGGGCGGAAGATTAGGGGTGGGACACTGGCAGGACGGGGAGATGAGGCACGCGCGCCTTGTGTATGGGGAGGAGGAGCAGGCAGAGCCGCTGCTACAGCTGCAGGTGAGGGAGAGAGAGATGAGGGGCGGAAGATTAGGGGTGGGACACTGGCAGGACGGGGAGATGAGGCACGCGCGCCTTGTGTATGGGGAGGAGGAGCAGACGGAGCCGCTGCTACAGCTGCAGGTGAGGGAGAGAGAGATGAGGGGCGGAAGATTAGGGGTGGGACACTGGCAGGACGGGGAGACGAGGCACGCGCGCCTTGTGTATGGGGAGGAGGAGCAGGCAGAGCCGCTGCTACAGCTGCAGGTGAGGGAGAGAGTGATGAGGGGCGGAAGGTTATGGTTGGGAAACCGGTTGCAAGGGGAAAGCAGGCCGGGATGTTGTGTGCACGGAGAGGGGGAGTAGGCAGAGCCGACGTGGCAGTTGCTTGGTGAGAAAGTCGGCTGCCATCTCAGTGGTCGGGCAGTACGTCAGGTCAACCTTGCCCTGGTCAATTTCGTCCTTGACGAAAAAGTATCGCAGTGCGATGTGCTTTGTTCGGTTGACGAAGCCAGGCTTGTTCGCAATCCTGATTGCGTTCTGGTTGTCGCAGTGGAGGCGAAATGTTGGCGATGTTGGGATTTTTGCCTCCTGCAACAGTTCTTGCAGATAGAGCCCTTCGCGAACTGCAGCAGTTGTGGTGATGTACTCTGCGTCGGCTGACGATAGGGCAACCATCTCATGCTTCTGGGAATTCCAGGAGATTGGGCCCGTTGGCTCGAGGCGGAAGACAAACTCTACTACTGCTGCAGGTGAGGGTGAGAGACGAGGGGAGAGGTGCGTTCTCTTATTCGCTCTCTGATCCCCTCCCGCCCCCCCTCTCCCCTGTGAAACCCTAATCAATGCTGTCTCTCCCCCCACCAGGTGCAGTACAAGGCGAGCCTCCTCCATCTTATCCCCTCCCACTCGAATGGTCCTTTTATTGAAAATACGTCCCACTCCCCCTCACTCTGCCCCATGAAACCCCAATCCATGTCGCCTCTCTCCCCCTCAGGTGCAGTACAAGGCGAGCCTCCTCCATCTTATCCCCTCCCACTCGAATGGTCCTTTTATTGAAAATACGTCCCACTCCCCCTCACTCTGCCCCATGAAACCCCAATCCATGTCGCCTCTCTCCCCCTCAGGTGCAGTACAAGGCGAGCCTCCTCCATTTGAGTGAGGAGGTCCGTTCCCTTCGAGCATCCGGATTCCACATCCCCCACCACCTGCTCGCCTGCGCCCTCTCCCCCTCTGCTGCCGCCTCCTCCGCCTCCACCGTCTCTCCTCCTGCACCTCTGCTCCTACCTGACCCCCTGCCCGCTGCACCTTGCCCCTCTGCCCTGCCTGTCTGCTCCTTATGCCGCCTCTCCCCCCACCAGGTGCAGTACAAGACAAGCCTCCTGCATCTAAGCGAGGAGGTGCGCTCCCTTCGAGCATCCGGATTCCACATCCCGCACCACCTGCTCGCCTGCGCCCTCTCCGCCTCTGCTGCCGCCTCCTCCGCCTCCACCATCTCACGAGCGCTCGAGAGCTTTGCTGACGTCAGCGCTGGCGTCAGCAAGGGCGTGCTGCCGCTGGTGGCGGCTTCGCGAGAAGCAGTGCTGGGGTTAATGCAGAGCGGTGAGTCATGATTGAGGGGTGTGAGTGATTGAGAAAGAGTTTTGAGGCACCTCACAAGAAGCAGTGCTGGGGTTAATGCAGAGCGGTGAGTCATGATTGTAGAGCGGTAAGGGGGGGTTGGGGATAATGCGGAGCGGTGAGTCATGATTGTGGAGTGGTAAGGGGGTTCGGGTTAATTCAGAGCGGTGAGTCATTGTTATGGAGTGGTAAGGGTGGATTGGGGATCATGCGGCAAGGGGTGGTTGGGGATCATGCAGAGCGGTAAGGGGTGGTTGGGGATCATGCAGAGCGGTAAGTGGTGGTTTGGGATAGTACAAAGCGGCGAGTCATCATTTAAAGGTGTGGGTAGGGAAGAGGGACGGTGGAAGATATATCTAGTCCCTCTAGTGAGGAAGAAAGAAGAATAGAGAATGGGTTGTGGTGTAGGAGGAGGAAGAGGAGGACGAGTTTGGCTGTGTGCCTGTGGGGTGCTGTCGTGCCGAGGAGGGAACTTGGTGTGTTTGAGTCAGCCACCCATCTCAACCACTCCGTTGTCCCCTGACTTCCCCTCATGTTTCCCCTTGCTTTCCCCCATTTCACCTCACCATTGCCCTCCGCTGCAGGCCAGAGCGTGGTGTGGGAGGAGGAGGACGAGGTGGGCGAGTTGGCAGTGTGCCTGTGGGATGCCGCTATGCTAACTATTCATTTCAACCACTCCTTTGTCCCATTGCTTCCTCCCCTCCCCTCCACCCTTACAGGCCAGGGCGTGGTGTGGGAGGAGGAAGATGAGGTGGACGAGTTTGCTGTGTGCCTGTGGGATGCAGTAGAGGCGTTTTCAGCCGCTGCTGCTGCGGCCACGGAGAGGCACGAGGCAGCGTGGCAGTGCCTTGAACGTGTCAGATCGTGTGCCTATAAGGTGAGTGTATGCTTGTAAGGCGTGTGTGCCTGTGGGATGCAGTGGAGGCGTTTTCAGCCGCTGCTGCTGCCGGCAAGGAGAGGCACGAGGCGGCATGGCAGTGCGTTGAGCGTGTCCGATCGTGTGCTTACAAGGTGAGAGCTTCCATCTAAGTCTATAAGGTGAGAGCCTCTAAGCCTGCTCTGCTGCTGCTGCTGCTGCTGCTGCTGCTGCTAAGGTCAAGGAGAGGCATGACAATTCATGGCATTGCCGAAACCATGAGCTTGTTCTAAAGAGTTTTGTCGAAAGGCACAAAGCGCCTAACCTTATGTTTTCTCCATCCTTTTTTTCTCTCTTCCATCCCCTCTCGCCGGATCAGGACTTGCCAACTCATCTCCGCCAGCTGGCGCACGCGGTGATCGCAGCGATCTCCCGGCCGCCTTACCCTGCTGCCACGTCAGCTTCCACGTCAGCAGCGTGGCAGCGTGAGGTGGCTGCCACGTGGGCGGGCCCGCTGCTGATGCAAGCACAGGCTGTGCTGCAGCAGAAGCTGACGTCAGCCCTCTGCTGCTGGCTGAAGAAATGGAAGGACCTGATTGGAGGAGACTCTCCTGCTGCTACAGCTGCTGCTTCAGCCGCCGGGGGTGCCAAATCTGCTACAGCTTCTGCTGCTGCTGCGGCGGCGGCGGCTGCAAGGGTTAATGAGGCTTCTAAGGGATCTCCTGAGAAGGTTGGTGGTCTGCAGGTGGTGGTGAGAGAGATTGAGGCTGTGCTTTCACTGCATCAGCCCTCTGGTGTAGGGAAGGAACGAGCAGGTGGAGGAGCCGACGCAGCAGGGGCGGCAGGAGCGGCAGGAGCGGCAGGGGCGGCAGGGGTTGTGGGAGGAGATTCGAAGGGGGAAGATGGGAGTGAGACTGAGTTGTTTGTGTTGCAGCTGCTGCAGGAGCAGATGGGGATGCTGACGCACCGAGTGGCTGTGAGGGGGTCAGACGCAGGGGCGGTGAGAGTGGAAGGAGGAGGAGCGAGCAGCAGGATGGAGGTGGAGGTACAGCCTCCCCTCTGCGAGTCTCAGCAGCGGCTGCATGACTGTGTTCAGCTGTTGCTGGCTCCCGCACTTTCTGCTGCTGCAGAGGCAAATAGCGTCCTCTCCTCCGCCTCTGCTGCTTTCTCGCTCTCTCCCACTCCCTCGAATAGTCTCTCTGCTGCTGCTGAAGCCAGCAGCATGCATTCATCCGCCTCTGCCGCCCTTCATCATCCCGAGGCTGCCGGTAACTTCAGTGACGTCAGCAGCAGCGACAGCATGGGTAGCTATCACAGCACCGCGAGGGGTGGGGCTAGTGTGGGGAGTCTGTTAGTAGTGAGCTGTGTGGTTCCGGCTCGGCTTGAGGCGTGTGCGTATGGGGTGGTGGATGCAGTGGTAGGGGCGGCTGAGGGATGGGTGGGCGAGTGGAGGGTGAGAGTGGCGCAGGCTGAGGGGAAGCTGGAGAGGTGCGCTCGTGCTGCTGCCCCAGCTGCTGTTAGCGAAAGTTCCAACACCTCCCTTCCCCCGTCTTCGACTGAACTCTGGCGTTCCCTTATGAACGAAGTTCAGCAGGTTCGGAACCAGCTGGCTGCCAAACCTGCGGTGGTTAGGTTCGGCGCAGCTGACCGAACCTCGCTCCTAGCCTTGGACGCAGGCTCGGTGAGGGAGGCACTGGTGGGTCGGTGTGAGGCTTGGATACGGGCGGCTGAGGAGGATATAGAAGGCAGGGCGGTTCTGGGTTGTAGGGAGGCGATTAAAGAGGTATTTGAGCTGAAGAAACTATTAGAAGGGATTAAGAGGGAGGCAGAGGGGGAAGTTATGGGGAGAGATAGGGAGCAGAGGCTTGGGCGAGTGAGAGAGGGAGAGGAGGGTGAGGAGGGGGAGCAGGGGGAGCAGGGAGAGGAGGAACAGGAGGGAGAGGAGGGAGAGGAGAACAAGGCAGCTATGGGTAATGGTGGTGCTGGTAAGGGTGGGGGGCTGTGTGGGGATGTGCGGAGGCTGATAGAGCATCTAGAGAGAGTGAGGGAGGCGGAGAGGAGGGTAGTAGAGGTGAGTGAGGGAGTGGAGAAAATCAGGCCGTTAGTAGAGGCGGCGGTTGCTAGGGGAGGGGGAAGTGGCAAGGGGAAAAGGAGCACTAGCAGCAGCAGCAGCGGTGGTAGGAGCAGTAGTGCTGGCGTTGGGGTGGCGCTGGTACAGGCAAGCTGGAAAGAGCTGGAGAAGGAGTGGGGAGGGTTGGAATGGGCAAGAAATGCTGTTTCGGGAGGGAGAAAAGCAGCAGCAGAAGCAGCACGGAAGGGAGTAGAAGCTGCAGCAGGAGAATACCCCAGCGGGATAGTTTTCCTCCAGGGGCTTGTGAGCGTGCAGGTGTTAAGTGCGGTGCAGGTGCATGTGGGGGAGGTGGGAAGGTGTATGGAGGAAATTGAGACGTGGTGGGACGCTGCTGCTCCTACCAGTGCGGATTGCTCTAGAGGCAGGGCTGCTGGGGCGCTGGTGCAGTGCGCACGCTTAGTGGGGCAGCTTAAAACGAGGATAGAGCTCGTGAGGAAAGCGATTGGGCTGGTGGGAGGGGCGGGCGGGGAGGAGGAAGAGGAGGTGGGGAGAGTGGAGGGGAGGTTAGAGAGGGTGGTTGCAGAGGGGGAGGAGATGCAGCGTATGTGGCTGTTGATTAATAATCTTTTGGATGTTATTGCCTCTGTGGAGGGGATTAGGGTTGCGGATTTCAACCCTGAATCGGACCTAACCCCTCTGCACTCCGCCTTGAGCGATGTGGACCAGGAGGAGGAGGTTTTCGGGCAGCACGGTGCGTTCTGGGCAGTTCAATCCACTGCCCGGAAACTAATCGCGAGCCTAGGTCTGGTGTCGAAGCTAGTTAAAGCCTCGCTGCAAGAGGCCCATTGGAGGGCCCTCGCCCGAGCCTTGGGATTCCAAGCCAAGGGCGGGCTCGGCGCCGGAGGTACCCTGCAGGTTCGGGATCTGGTCCAGGCGCTGGGAGGCTTGGAGGGCCGGGCGGCAGCGGAGCAGGTGTTATCTGCCGTCCAGGGGGAGGTGGCATTGAGACAGTTTATGGATAAGGTTGAAAAGGAGTGGGGCGAGCAGGAGTGGGCTTTTAAGGGGTTTAGAGACAAGTGGAAAATCGTGGGGAATTTGGGGGTGGTTGGGGAAATGGTGCTAGAGCATTTGAGTATGCTTGGAGCAATGAAGCAGTCTCCCTTCTTTCCTCCGTTTAGAGAGGCTGTGAGGGAGTGGGAGGGGCGGCTTGGGCGGCTGAGTGAGCTGGTGGATGCACTAGCAGACGCGCAGTCCAAGTGGGTCCGTTTGGAAGCACTCATGACGTCACCTGCCGTCCGGTCGATGCTACCCGACACGCACCGCGCCTTCCACGAAGCTTCCCTCCCGTTCACGGAGTTCCTGGGATCGCTCGCCGCCCGCCCTCTCGCGATCGACCTGGAGGGACTTGCGGAAGAGGACGACGGAGCTGGGCGGCAGGTTTTGGCGGTTTGTGCGGAGGTGTTTGGGCGGGTGCTTTTGGAGGTTCAGGCACATCTGGACAAGCAGAGGCGGATGCTGCCAAGGCTGTACTTCCTGGGGGATGACGACCTGCTGCAGCTCATTTCTGCTTCGCCCTCTGATTTATCTGCGGTATGTTTCTGTGTGGGCACGAAAATATGTGTACGTGTATGTGTGTGTGATCTGGTGTATGTCAAGTGAGTGTGCGAGTTGCCGCATCTGGACAATCTGGACAAGCAGAGGCGGATGCTCCCAAGGCTGTACTTTCTGGGCGATGATGATTTGCTGCAGCTCATATCTGCTTCACCCTCTGATCTCTCTGCTGTACGTATAAGTGTGCGGTTTCACGTATATGTGTATGTGTATGTGTGTATGTGTGTATGTGTGTATGTGTGTATGTGTGTATGTGTGTATGTGTGTATGTGTGTATGTGTGTATGTGTGTATGTGTGTATGTGTGTATGTGTGTATGTGTGTATGTGTATGTGTGTATGATACTTCTGTGTGTGCGGATGCTGCCAAGGCTTTACTTTCTGGGCGATGACGATCTGCTGCAGCTCATCTCTGCTTCACCCTCAGATCTCTCCGCTGTGCGTTTGAGTTAAAATTCTGATGTGAATGATGAGTGGTGCGAGAGGCTGTACTTTCTGGGCGATGATGATCTGCTGCAGCTCATATCTGCATCGCCCTCTGATCGCTCTGCGGTATGCTGTGGCGTGTGCTTTTTTTTTGTATTCTAAAAAAACACACGCTCTGCGGTGTATGCTCTGGTTAAGTATGAGTATGTGCATATTGGAACGGTTGTGCTTTCTAGGGGATGATGATCCGTGCGCCCCTCCCATCCTCCCTCCACTCCCCCTTCCCCCTGGTCACCCCTTTCAGGTGCACGTGCACATTCGGAAGCTCTTCACAGCAGTCCCATTGCCCCCCTCCCATCCTCATTCTACTCCCTCTTTTCCCCTCTCTCCCCTCCCCCCGTCAGGTACACGTGCACATTCGCAAGCTTTTCACCGCAGTCTCGGGCATTGAAGTATCGGCAGTCTCTGATACCATTTTTCCAGAAAAGAGTACAGCAGAGGATGTAGTGAAGTTTGCACCTTCAGGGGACGCAGGGAAGAGAGTATTTATCATGGCAGCTCTTTCCGACGGGGAGCGGCTCGTGCTGCACCAACCAGTGGAGCTTGCGGAAGGTGCTGCCACGTCAGCGAGTGCCACGTCAGCGGATGCCACGTCAGCGGGTGCCACGTCAGCGGAAGGACAGAAGCCAGCAGGAGCCACCAAGTGGCTGCTGGATCTCGACATGGCGCTGCGGACGACTCTGAGCGACCTGGTTGTGTCAGCGGTCGCTGAGCTGGCGGCGTGTGATTGGCTGTCGACTGCTGCGGCTGGGAAGAGGGAGAAGAGCAAATGCAGTGGGAAGAATGGAAGTGGCGGCGGAGTGAGGAGGAGTGGAGTGAGGATGGGCGGTAGCAGCAGGAGGAACGGAGGAAGGTTCCTCGAGTGGCTGGGGAAGCTGCCTTTGCAGCCGGCGCTGCTGGCTCTGCAGGTGAGCTGGACGGCACTAGTTGAAGGGATTCTGGCAGGCGAGGGAGGAGAAGGAGGAGGAGAAGGAGGAAAGGAGGCCGGAGAAGGGGAGAGCGGAGGGGAAGGGCTGCAAGGGAAGGGAGGGAAGGAAGCGGGGCTAGAGGCGCTGGTGGTGGGGCTGGAGGGGCTTCTGCAGTGGCTGGCTCGCGCTGTGCGGGAGCGGAGAGAGCTGGCTGGGAGAGCAGCAGGAAGAGCAGCAGGCGAAGCAGGGGGACTAGCAGGAGGAGCAGGGGGGCCAGGGGGAGCAGCAAGGGCAGTGGCAGGGGGGGCAGGTGGCGAGGAGGGGAGGTTGATGGAGGCCAAGTGTGAGGCAGTGATCACGGTGCTGGTTCACCTGCTGGAGAGCAGTAAGGCGCTGCTGGTGGAGCAGCGGGAGGAGCAGGCACGGGCAGAGAAGGAGGAGGAGGATAAGGAGAATTTGGGGTGTGCAGGGCTTCAGCAGAAGCAGAAGCAGAAGCGGAAGGAGAAGAAGCAACACGGGCTCTCTCTCTCCTCCTTTGCCTGGAGGAAATGCCTCCGATACTACCTCGACCCGTCCCTCCCTCCCCTCCACCGCCTCTCAGTTCAAATCGCCGATGCTTCATTCACCTACGGATTTGAATACTCTGGCTGCTCCCCCTCTCTCGTCCGCACCTCCCTCACCGACCGCTGCTTCCTCGCACTTTCCCAGGCGCTCTGGCACGGGCAGGGCAGCGCTCTGATTGGTCCAGCCGGCACGGGGAAGACGGAGACTGTCAAGGCGCTCGGGCGGCAGCTCGGGCGGCCGGTTTTGGCGCTATCTTGTGATAGGAGTTTTGATAGCGCGGCGGTGGGGCGGGTTTTGGAGGGAGTGGCGAGGCTGGGCGCGTGGGGGTGCATGGATGAGTTCAACAGGTTGGACGAGAGTACTATGTCTGCGATTTCGCAACATTTGGTGGCGATTCAGGGCGCGCTGAGGGAAGGAAGGAGGGAAGCCGTGCTGGCTGGGACTACCGTGCCCGTGCACCCTGCCACTGGTGAGTGGGTGTGCGTGGGTGTATGTGTGTGCTCCCTTCCACTGGTGTGCAGGTAGTGGGTGGGTAGTTGGATTGGAAGGAGTAGCGAGGCTGGGCGCGTGGGGGTGCATGGATGAGTTGAACAGGTTGGACGAGAGTACAATGTCTGCGATTTCGCAGCACCTGGTGGCGATTCAGGGCGCGCTGAGGGAGGGACGGAGAGAGGCCGTGCTGGCTGGGACTGCTGTGCCCGTGCACCCTGCCACTGGTGAGTGGGTGTGTGTGGGTGTGCGCTGCTGTGTGTGCACTGTGGGATGTGAGCTTGCACTGGCTGAGGGAAGGCAGGAGGGAGGCCGTGCTGGCTGGGACTACCGTGCCCGTGCACCCTGCCACTGGTGAGTGGGCGTGAGTGGGGGGTTGAGCGGGCACCTGGGTGCAAGTGGGGTGGGTAGTTGGAGGGAGTGGCAAGGCTGGGCGCGTGGGGGTGCATGGATGAGTTCAACCGGTTGGACGAGAGTACAATGTCTGCGATCTCGCAGCATCTGGTGGCCATTCAGGGCGCGCTGAGGGAGGGACGGAGGGAAGCCGTGCTGGCTGGGACTGCTGTGCCCGTGCACCCTGCCACGGGTGAGTGGGCGTGGGGGGGGGTGAGCGGGCACCTGAGTGCCAGTGGGGGTGTATGGTTGAGTTCAACAGGTTGGACGAGAGTACTATGTCTGCGATCTCGCAGCACCTGGTGGCGATTCAGGGCGCGCTGAGAGAGGGACGGAGGGAGGCCGTGTTGGCTGGGACTGCCGTGCCCGTGCACCCTGCTACTGGTGAGTGGGATGCGGGGATGGGGGGAGTAGAGTGGGGGGAACAGGGTGGGGGGAACCGCGTGGGGGTGCATGGATGAGTTCAACCGGTTGGACGAGAGTACGATGTCTGCGATTTCGCAGCATCTGGTGGCGATTCAGGGCGCGCTGAGGGAGGGACGGAGGGAGGCTGTGTTGGCTGGGACTGCTGTGCCCGTGCACCCTGCCACTGGTGAGTGGGCGTGGGGGGGGATGGGGGGAACAGGGTGGGGGGAACAGGGTGGGGGGAACAGGGTGGGGGGAACAGGGTGGGGGGAACAGGGTGGGGGGAACAGGGTGGGGGGAACAGGGTGGGGGGAACAGGGTGGGGGTGCATGGATGAGTTCAATCGGTTGGACGAGAGTACAATGTCTGCTATCTCGCAACACCTGGTGGCGATTCAGGGCGCGCTGAGGGAGGGACGGAGGGAGGCCGTGCTGGCTGGGACTGCCGTGCCCGTGCACCCTGCCACGGGTGAGTGGGCGTGGGTGGGTGTGTGTGTGTGCACCCTACCCTGCTACTGGTGAGTGGGTGTGGGGTGTTCTTCCTTGGTTGTTGTTGCTCTATGATGCCGTGTGTGTGCTGTGATGTGTGCTTGGATGAGGGAAGGCAGGAGGGAGGCGGTGCTGGCTGGGACTGCTGTGCTCGTGCACCCTGCCACTGGTGAGTGCGCGGATATTCTTCTGCTGTTGTGTGTGGACTGCTGAGTGTGCTCTGTGAGACTGTGGCGATTTGCACTCATCCTTCCACTTTACCCCATTCCCTTACTTGCCCGCGCCTTTTCGACTCCCTCCCAGGCATATTCGTGACGCTCAACCCGCGCTATGCAGGCAGGGACCACCTGCCTGAGAGCCTCTCTGCTCTGCTGCGACTTCTCACCATCAGCACCCCTGACCCCTTTCCCTTGCCTCCCCACCCACCCACTATCCCTCCCCCACCTGTCACTGCCTCCCCCTCTCCCAGGTATATTCGTGACGCTCAACCCGCGCTATGCAGGCAGGGACCATCTGCCTGCTGCGCCCTCTCACAGTCGCCACCCCTCATGCACCTTCTTCCCTCCTAACCCACCCCCTTTCCCTCCCCCTCCTGCATCTGTCTCCCCGTTCCCAGGTATATTCGTGACGCTCAACCCGCGCTATGCAGGCAGGGACCATCTGCCCGAGAGCCTGTCCGCCCTCCTGCGTCCTCTGACAGTCGCCGTCCCTGATGCATGCGCCATCGCCCATGTGACTCTGCTGTCGTGTGGGTTCTCGCATGCTGAGAGGCTGGCTGACGCTGCCACCCGCATATTCCAGGTATGGCTCGTGTGGGTGTGTGCATACACATGTACAAGCACAGGAATGCACAGAAAGTGAACGTCCCTGGTGCATGCGCCATCACCCGTGTGACTCTGCTGTCGTGTGGATTCTCGCATGCTGAAAGGCTGGCTGATTCTTCTGCCACTCGAATCTTCCAGGTGAGTGTGAATGCACAAGTGCACGCACTCTGACAAGCACGTGAACGCACACATACATACAGAGTCTCCCTCTTGTGATGCATGCGCCATCACCCATGTGACTCCGCGGTCGTGCGGGTTTCTACAGGCAGAGAGGTAGCTGATGCTGCAACTCGAATCTTCCAGGTATAGTTTGTGCCTTGATGCAGTGGCAGACGCACAGGCATGCATGTATCACAAAACACATGCGTACATTGACAGTCTTTGACAGTCTCTCGCCATCGCCCGTGTGACTCTGCTGTCGTGCGGATTCTCGCATGCTCAGAGGCTGGCTGATGCTGCCACTCGCATCCTCCAGGTATGGCTGGTGCTGGTGCTGGTGCTGGTGCTGGTGCTGGTGCTGGTGGTTGTGTGTCCATGCTTCGCCCCCATTTCCTTCCTCCTGGACCCCCAGCCTCAGTACGACTTCAGTCTGAGAGCGCTCAAAGCAGCTTTCAAACCGGCTAGGTCCGCCATGCCTGCTCTCTCATTCCCTCATTTCCTTCCTTCCTCTTCATCCCTTTTGTCCACCTTGCCCCGCAGGAGTCCGAGGAATGCCTGAACCCCCAGCCCCAGTACGACTTCAGTCTGAGAGCGCTCAAAGCAGCTCTTCCGTGGTGCTTGCTCCCTCACAACCTCCCTCCCTTCCCCCTTCCTCCCCCCTTTCCCAGGAGTCAGAGCAGTGCTTGGACCCCTAGCCTCAGTACAATTTCAGTCTGAGAGCGCTCAAAGCAGCTCTTCCGTGGTGCTTGCTCCCTCACAACCTCCCTCCCTTCCCCTTTCCTCCCCCCTTTTTTTTCCCTGCCCTCACCTTACCGCCCTCAGGAGTCAGAACAGTGCTTAGACCCCCAACCTCAGTACGACTTCAGCCTGAGGGCGCTGAAAGCAGCTCTGAAATCTGCTAGGTCTGTTATGCTGGCGCAGACAGAATTGGAAGGGGGTGCGAGTGAGAATGAGGGTAAGGAGAGGAAAGAGGAAGTGGAAGAAGGTGCGATTGAGGTTGAGAGCAAGGGGATGAGCGAGGTAGTGGAAGGGGGTGCGATTGAGGGTGAAAAGGAAGGGAGGGAAAGTGGTATGGAGGAGGTGTGTGAGGGAGAGATGGAGGTGAAGGGTGAGGAGGGTAGGGAGGAGGGATGTGTGGAAGAGGAGGAGGGGGGGAGTGTGAGATCAGAGGAGAAAGAGGAGTTTTACGAGGCAGAGGATGGGGAGCAAGGGGGGGATGAAGAGGGGAAGGAGGATGGGAGGCAGGAAGAGGAGGAGGAGGAGGAGGAGAAGGAGGAGGAGAAGGAGGAAGGGGAGGAGCCGGAGGTGAGAGAGGAGGTGTTGCAGGTGGAAGAAACAGAGGAGGGAGAAGGGGACGGAGAAGAGGACATAGTAGAGGAGGTAAAGGAGGAGGTAGGGGCGGAAGAGGAGGTAGAGGAGGAGGAGGAAGAGGACGAAGAGGCCCACCGTGTGTCGAGATGGCCGTTGGAGTCCCGATCCCTAGTCCAGGGCATTTTTGGCCAGCTGGCAGCCAAGCTGGCACCTGCTGACGTGGCAACCTTCCGGGAGGTGGTTTCCCGGAACCTTCCGGACGTGGCTGTGGAGGAGACGGGCGACGCTGAGCTGGCAGCGGCGGTGGAGGTGGTGTGTGAGAGGGAGGGGTACGTGGCGAGCTGTGATTGGACGAGGAAGGTGCTGCAGATGGCGAGGTTGATGGGGCTGCATCAGGGGATCATGCTGGTGGGGCCGCCTGCTGGGAAGACCACGGCCTGGAGAGGTGAGAAGGGGTGAAGATGGGTGGAGATGGGTTGGGAGGGGTGATGATGGGACGGCGATGGGTGGTAAGGGGTGAGGAGGGATGATGAGAGGTGAGGACGAGAGGGATGGGTCTGCATTAGGGGATCATGCTGGTGGGGCCGCCTGCTCGGAAGACCACTGCTTGGAGAGGTGAGGATGGGTGAAGAGCGGTGATGCGGGATGAAGGTGGGTTAGGTAGGGGAATAATAGGTTGAGGATGGGTAGAAAGGGATGAGGAGGGATGGTGATGGCGAGGCTGGTGGTGAGGCTGATGGGGCTGCATCAGGGGATCATGCTGGTGGGGCCGCCTTCTGGGAAGACCACTGCTTGGAGAGGTGAGGAGCGGTGAAGAAGCATGGAGATGGGTGATGACGTTGCGGGGATGAGTGGAAAGGGGTGTCTGTGACAGTGGTGGATCCCAGAGAGTCTGTCCAAGGCACCACCCTCTCCCAAGCAGGCGCTCTTTGGGGGCGTTGAGGCAACCACCCTCTCCTTCTTCTCCCCCATTCTCTCCTCCCCGCCTCCAGTGCTGCACAAGGCCCTGGAGGCAACGAAAGGGTCGCAGGTGTCGGTGACAGTGGTGGATCCTAAGAGTCTGTCGCTCCCATTCCCGCCTCCCCTTCTTGCAGTGCTGCGCAAGGCCTTGGAGGCATCGCAAGGAGTGCAAGTATCAGTGACAGTGGTGGACCCAAAGAGTCTCTCCAAGGAGGCGCTGTTTGGGAGCGTGGAGGCCACCACGCGGGAGTGGCAGGATGGGGTGTTCACGCGGGCTTTAAGGGCCGTTGTGCGGGAGTATGAGGAGGAGAGGGAACGGGCGACTGGAAGAGAGGGGGTGGCGGAGGGGGTGGAAGAGGAGGAAGAGGAGGGCGAGAGGGAGAGGAGGGAAGGGATGGAAGGGGAAGGGGAGGAGGGCGATGGGGTGGGGGGGATGCAACAAGGAACAGGAGGGAATGCAGGGAGGGGCGTGGAGTGGCAGCGGCGGCACTGGTTTGTGTTTGACGGGGAGGTGGACCCCATTTGGATCGAGACGCTCAACTCCCTGCTGGACGATAACAAGGTGAGCGGAGGATAGGTGGGGTGGGGGGAGGATGGGGTAAGCCGTGGGGGGGCAATGCACAAAGGGGGCGAAGGAGGGAGGCTGCCACTGGTTTGTGTTCGACGGGGAGGTGGATCCCATTTGGATCGAGACGTTCAACTCCTTACTCGAGACGCTCAACTTGTGAAGGGGACATTGCCTACAGGCGAGCGCCTTTCACTTCTTCCCCCCCCCATGCCGAGCTTGTGTTTGAGGGCGAGGTGGATCCCATTTGGATCGAGACGCTCAACTCGCTGCTGGACGATAACAAGGTGAGCAAGGGAAGGCGGCAGCACACAAAACAAATGCGCTCACTCACTGCTGGACAAGGGGTGGCACTGGTTTGTGTTTGATGGAGAGGTGGACCCCATCTGGATCGAAACGCTCAACTCGCTGCTGGACGATGACAAGGTGAGAAAGGGAAGGCGGCAGCACACAAAACAAATGCGCTCACTCACTGCTGGACAAGGGGTGGCACTGGTTTGTGTTTGATGGAGAGGTGGACCCCATCTGGATCGAAACGCTCAACTCGCTGCTGGACGATGACAAGGTGAGAAGGTCGTGGGATGTAGGAGCGAGGTGGGGAAAGGGCAATGCGAGGATGGGGCAGTGCAGGGAGGGACTAAGGGCGGGGAGGTGGACCCCATCTGGATCGAAACGCTCAACTCGCTGCTGGATGACAATAAGGTGAGACAGCGAGGATGGGGAATGGGGTAGGGCGAGCATGGGTTGAGGCGCGAGGGAAAGAAAGTGGAGGGGGCGTGGAATGGAGTCTGATAGACAGGTTTGTGTTTGACGGGGAGGTGGACCCAATCTGGATTGAGACGCTCAACTCGCTGCTGGATGATAACAAGGTGAGAAGGGGGGCAGTGCACAGAGGGGGTAACGTGAGGAGGGACAAACAAGGTGAGGAGGCAGTGGAGCAAGGTGTGGTTTGTGTTTGACGGGGAGGTGGACCCAATCTGGATTGAGACGCTCAACTCGCTGCTGGATGATAACAAGGTGAGGCGAGGATAGGTAGAATGGGGCGAGCGTGGGGTGGGAAGGGAAATGCTTTGTATGGTCTAATGCCCCACCGCATTCCACTCTACCTCTTTGCCGTTTCTTTGCTCCCCTTTTATCCGTCTCCCCTTTGCCTCTCCCCTGCGGCCCACCAGGTTATGACTCTACCAACAGGGGAGCGCCTGCCCCTCCTCCCCCACATGCATTGCATATTCGAATGCCCCTCCCTCGCCCACGCCACTCCTGCCACCATCTCTCGCCTCGGAGTGGTCTGCTTCCCCCCTCCCTCCTCACCGTTCCACCTACTTCTCCCCTTCGCCCCCTCCCTCCCCTGCCACCCAACAGGTTATGACGTTGCCAACAGGGGAGCGCCTGCCTCTCCTCCCTCACATGCACTGCATCTTCGAATGCCCCTCTCTCGCCCACGCCACTCCCGCCACCATCTCTCGTCTCGGAGTAGTCTGCTTCCCCCCCTCCCTCCTCTCCCTCCCCATGCTCCTTCACCGCTTCCGCTTCCTCCTCCCCCCCATGCCCTTCCCCCCACCCTCCTCCTCCCCGTCCTCTTCCTCTCTTTCCCCTCTCCCTCCCTCTCTCTCAACCACAACAACACCTGCACCGGCTACCCCGGCTACCACCACCACCACTACTATCTCTTCTTCCCACTCCTCCCACTCCTCCCACTCCTCCTCACTCGCCTCCTCGCTCTTCTCCGCGCCTCTCTTCCTCCCCTCGCGCCTCTCCCTCGGGATTGACGCGCCAGACGAGCATCTGGAGCTGCTGCCGCCCGGCCTGCCACAGCCGCTGCTACAGCCGGTGCTGGCTGTGGCTCTGGCGGCGCTACAGCCGGGCGGGCTGCTGCAGCAGGCTCTAGAGGCTGCTGCTGGTGTCAGTGGCGCTGGTACTGCTGCTACAGCTGTCACTGCTACAGCCGCTACAGCTGCTACAGATGCTACAGGTGCTGCAGCAGTTGCAAGAGTGGGTCCTGCTGCTGGTTCGGCCGAGGGAGATTCCATTCCTTTTGATTCCATGCGTGCCCTTCGCTCGGTATTCCTCTACTACTGCTACCGAACCTCGGACCTCTGCCGAACCTCCGCACGAGCCACGCCTCCCAAGAGTGACGCTCTTGAAACAGCAGGTGTGCGGAGCGGTGAAGGGGGGGTGAAGGGAGGTGCGAATGGGTCTATTGCGGTGGTGGGGAGATTTACTAGGAAAGCAATGGTAGAGGCGATTATGGCAGGGGTTGCAGGAGGAATGGATGTTACCTCTCGCTCTGCCTTTGCAGACCGATTAGCTGGTATTTTGGCGTCGGACGGTGAGGGAAAGAATGAAATGGCGTGCCGTGCCACGTCAGAGCAGCTGCTGAGCTGTTTTGCTGACGTGGCGAGCGGGCATTGGAAGCCGTGGGAGGCTGCTCTGCCTGGATTGGCTGATGCTGATGCTGCTGTTGGGGGGTGTTTCGGGGATGAGGAGGAGGTGGAGGAGGGAGAGGAGGAAAGTGTGGAGGAAGAGGAGAGGAGTATGAGCTACAGAAGGGGGAGTTCTGTGTCTGGTCGGAGCAATGGCAGTATGGGTGTTACAAAGCAGGGTGGTAGACAGACAAAGGGTGCAGCTGGAAAGGCAGGAAGAGAAGGACGAGGAGGATCAGGAGGGTTAAGGAAAGCGGCAACAGGAGCAGCAGAAGCAGGATTAGCAGCAGGAGCAGGAGGGGGAGGAGTAGACTCAACCACGGTTATCCCCACAGCAGAGACAGAACGGTTGGGTGCGGTGATCAGGGCCAGTCTCGCCCAATCACAGCCCATCTTGCTCTGTGGGCCGCCTGGGAGTGGGAAGACTCTCGCGCTGACAGCTGTCGCGCAGGCATTGGCTGCTGCTGGCGCTGACGAGGCACAGGCTGCTGCTGCCGCTGCTGCTGCTGCAGCTGGTGCTGCTGGTGGTTTGGGTGCTGGTGCTGCTGGTAGTGTTGGTGCTGCTGGTGCTGGTGGTAGTGTTGGTAGTGGGAGTGGGATGGGGATGCAGCAGCGAAAGGGGAAGCTTTCGCAGCAGCAGCAACAAGGGAAGCAATCGGCAGAGGCCGAGGCGGTGGCAGCGGCAGGGCCAAAGCTCCACGTGGCAGCCTTCAATTTGTCGCTGTCGACATCCCCTGAGTCGTTTATCGCTGAGCTGGAGCAGCACTGTCGGTATGTCAAGCTCCCTGCTGGCGGCTCTCGTGGTGCTGGTGCTGCTGCCGCTGGTAGCGCTGGTGCTTGTGTTGCTGGTGGGTCACACGAATCAGCAGCAGCAGGAGTGATTTCAACATCAGCATCAGCATCAGCAGTGGCAGCAGCATCAGCCACTTCCAGTGTCAACTGGGCACTAGAGCCTAAGAATCCAGTGCCTGCTGACGGTCGTCTGCTGCTATTGTTAGATGAGGTGAATCTCCCCGCCCCTGACGCTTTCGGCACCATCCGCATGGCCGGCCTGCTTCGGCAGCTAGCGGAGCCGCAGCTGATTCCGCAGGCAGCGGGCGGGGTGGGCGGCGGTGGTAGCGGGGAAAGCAGCAGGAATGGCGATACGCACAGCAGCAGCAGCAGTAACGGTGGCAGTGGTGGTGGTAGTGGTGCTAGCAGTGGTAGTAGTAGCAGCAGTGGAGGGAGCGGTGGGTATGCCTATGGGTTCTGGCACCCCAAGAGGCGCGTTTGGGTGCAACTGAGGCGGGTGTCATTTGCAGCGACCTGCAATCCGGCTTCAGACGTGGGCAGGCACGAACTACCTGTACGCCTTACAAGGCATCTCACTGTTGCACATGTGCCGTTCCCGTCTGGTGCGGCTCTTACGAGGATATACAGCACGTTTATAAGGGGGATATTGGCCCGGTATGGCCCTGGGGTGGCAGTGTACGCGCAGGGGGATTCTCAGGGGGATTCTCAGGTGGCTTCTCAGATGGATTCTCAGGTGGTTTCTCAGGTGGGTGCGACCCTGGCAGCGGCGATGGTGGAGGTGTATGAGGCGTGTGGGGCGAGGTTCACCCGGGCAGTGCAGCAGCACTACGTGTGCAGTCCCAGGGAACTTACCAGATGGACTAGAGGCATCCGATTCGCTCTGGTGCATGGGCAGAAAGCGGTTAAGAGGGGTACAGGGGGAACGGGAGGCGAGCGGACGGAGAAAGGGGCGGTTGAGAGGGGTGACAAGGGTGGAGTTAGTGGTAAGAGTGGTAAGGGGTGTGTGGGCGCTAGTAGTGCTGGTGGCGGTGCGAGATTGGGCGGTGGTGGGGGGCTGATTGGAGCAACAAGTGCAAATATAGGCTCTGGGGTTGCTGCTATAGGTGGTGACGGGGAGAGCAGCTGGGCGGCCAGGCTTGTCCTGACGTGGCTGCATGAGGGGATGCGGATCTGGTATGACAGGCTGGTGGGGGAGGAGGAGAGGGAGTGGACGGCGAAGCTGCTTTTGCGGGTGGCAACAGAAAAGATACTCCCGATGCTCGTGCCTCTTGTAGGGAACACTCTTGTAACGAGTACAAGGAATCCTGTTGCTTTCGCTGATGGTGTTGCGGATGGTGTTTCTGCCGCGCCTTTCTCGCTACCTGCCGACCCGAGCCGGTTGGTGTTTTCGTCTCTTCTGACGGGGCGGTACGAGCCGTGCGCGGTGAGCCACCTGAAAAAGCACCTGAGGTGGGCCCTGACAGGGGAGGTCCCGGATGCTGCAGGAGGGGCAGGTGCCGGCCAGGTGAAACCAGGTGTTTCTTCAGGTGCTGGGGCGGCAGAAAAGGGCGGGGACAGGAGAGGAGGAGCAGGAAAGAGGGCAGCAGGCAGCAGAACAGGGGAGGTGGAGGAGGAAATGGGGAGGAAGGTTTTGGAAGAATCAGAAGAACTGGGGATGGAGAAGGGGGAGGAGGATGCAGGGGAGGTGCAAGCAGGGGAGGTGGTATTGACTGATGAGTTTGTGTGTGCGGTGGTGAGAGCAGCGTCTGTGCTGCAGCAGCCGATGGGACACCTACTGCTGCTTGGTCCTCCTGCGACTGGAAAGTCTACTGTTGCCAGGTGGGTGTGAGGCATTCCTGTTTGCTTGTGTGTGTGTGTGATCGCTGCGATGGGATTGGTGGAGGGGCGGGTGCCACTCCCTCCATGTGCTTCCTTGGTTGCCCTCTGCTCTTACCCACTGTGCCTTCCCAATTCTGCATGCAGATGTGCGATTGCTGCGACGGGATTGGTGGAGGTGCGGGTGGCGTTCCCTCCTTGTGCTTCCTTGGTTGCCCTCTCCTCTTACCCACTGTGCCTTCCCAATTCTGCATGCAGATGTGCAATTGCTGCGACGGGATTGGTAGAGCTGCGCATGGGGCTGCATGCAGGATTCGGGGTGCTTCCGTGGCTCCAACCTTGAACCCTAAATGCATCCCTCTCCTCTCCTCCTCATAACCCTTGCTGGCCAATCACATGCTTGCAGATCCGCAATCGCTGCGACGGGATTGGTGGAGGTGCGGGTGGCGCTACACGCAGGATTCGAGGAGCGCGAGCTGGACGGCCCGCTGGAGGAGGCGCTGCGGGCGGCGGGGTGCGACGGGCGGCGCGTTTGTCTTGTTCTGGAGGAGGCGCATCTGGTGGAGAGCGCTGTCTTGGAAAGGCTCAACTCGCTGCTGACAGGGGGAGACGTCCTTGGGCTGTTTGGAGCGGAAAAGCAGCAGGTGAGAGGGGGGGGTTGGTGATGGTGGTAAATATTCTACTTGCAGCAGTTGTGATTTCATTCAGATGGCAACACAACAAGCATGGCATCTGGTGGAGAGCGCCGACTTGGAAAGACTCAACTCGCTTCTCACAGGGGGGGATGTTCTCGGGCTGTTTGGAGCAGAGAAGCAGCAGGTGAGACAGGGTGTTGGGCCGGCAGTAGCATCATAAAACCTCTTTGTCTTCTTCTGGGGGAGGCGCATCTGGTGGAGAGGGCTGTCTTGGAAAGGCTCAACTCGCTGCTGACTGGGGGGGACGTTCTTGGGCTGTTTGGAGTGGAAAAGCAACAGGTGAGGATTTTGAGAAGCCGTAAGAGCAGTGCTTGAGAGTCGGTTGCTGGGGTGGTTGGGGCAGAGAAGCAGCAGGTGAAACGGCTGAGACGCCTTTTGAGGCGCCTCAAAAGAAGTCGTAAGAGCAGTGCTTGAGAGTCGGTTGCTGGGGTGGTTGGGGCAGAGAAGCAGCAGGTGAAACGGCTGAGACGCCCCACCCTGAACCACCAACCCAACCCCTCTGTTTCCTGCAGGAGCTGCTTGAAGCCCTCCGGCTGGGAGGGGAGGCGGAGGGAAGCGAGGAGGCAGTGTGGGCAGGGTTCAGGAGGAGGGTGCAAGGCAACCTGACTAAACCTTATACCCGTATCCTGTACCCTGAACCTTGTACCCAACCCCTCTTTCCCCTGCAGGAGCTGCTGGAAGCCCTCCGGCAGCGAGGGGAGGGAGAGGGAAGCGAGGAGGCAGCATGGGCGGGGTTCAGGAGGAGGATCCAAGGCAACCTGCACGTGGTGCTGGCGATGACCAGCCAGGGCAGCGCTCACATGCGCCAGAGCATGCTGGCGTCGCCGGCTCTCTTCAACCGCTGCACCGTGCTCTGGCTGCCGCCCTGGGGGGACACGGGGCTCGCTCCCCTAAACCCTGAATCCTGAACCCTGAACCCTGAACCCTCCATACCCCGAACCCCCCTTTCCCTTGGAGGAGCTGCTTGAATCCCTTTGCGTGGCTTCTGAGCCTGAGGAGGAGGTGTGGGCGGGGTTCAGGAGGAGGATCCAATCCAACCTGCACGTGGTGCTGACGATGACCAGCCAGGGCAGCGCTCACATTCGGCAGAGCATGCTGGCGTCCCTGCAGACCCTAAACCCTAAACCTTAAACCCCTACCCTCTCACCTTCAACCCCAACCCCTGTACCACATAACCCCTATTTTTCTGCAGGAGCTGCTTGAATCCCTTCGCGTGGCTTCTGAGCCTGAGGAGGAGGTGTGGACGGGGTTCCCCTAAACCCTTATATCTTGCCCCAAGCCCTAAACCCCTTTGTTTCCTGCAGGAGCTGCTTGATTCCCTCCGCGTGGCTTCTGAGCCTGAGGAGGAGGTGTGGGCGGGGTTCAGGAGGAGGGTCCAATCCAATCTGCACGTGGTGCTGACGATGACCAGCCAGGGCAGCGCTCACATGCGCCAGAGCATGCTGGCGTCCCCGGCTCTCTTCAACCGCTGCACCGTGCTCTGGCTGCCGCCCTGGGGGGACACGGGGCTCGCTCCGCTTGCTCAGAGTCGCCTCGCCGGTGTTTCGCTGGTTCACCCTGTCTCAGCCGCAGCTGCTGCAGCAGCAGGAGGAGCAGGAGGAGGAGTAGGAGGAGGAGCAGGAGGGGCAGGAGGAAGAGGAGACTCCAAGCAGATTGATATGCCGGCTGATGCTGCGGGTGGTGCTGCTGGTGGGGCTGGGGAAGCGAAGGAGAGGCAGCTGCTGGCGGAGGTTCTGGTGGCAATTCATGGCTGCGCTGTTAGTGCTGTTAGCGAGTCGCTCAATAACAGAGCTTTCGGGAAGGCTGGGCTGGGAGGGGAGCAGCAGCAGGAGGGAATCTTGCAGCATTCCTTCTCTCCAGACTCTCTCATCTCCCTCCGCTCCTTCTCAGACCTTCTCACCCACTTCCACTCCTCCGTATCCCACTCGCACCGCCGCGCACACCGCACCTTCCAGCACCTCTCCCTGGGCCTCACAAAGGTCACAGCCGCAGAGCACCGCGTGGTACTCCTCCGAAAACATTTAGAACTCAAATCGAAAGAGCTGCAAGTGAAAGAGGCTGCTGCGAACGGGAAGTTACAGCAGATTGCAGCGGAGCAGGCGCTAGGAGAGAGGCAGAGGGCGGAAGCGCAGGGGCTGATTGCGAGGTTGGACGAGCAGGCGAGGAGTGTGGAAAGGCATAGGAGGGAGGCGCAGGAGAATCTGGAGCGCGTTGAGCCGGCGGTTGATGCGGCGAAGACGGCGGTGAAATCGATCAGGAAATCCCAGCTGGATGATCTCAAGGCCATGCCCAACCCGCCCAGTGCCATCAAACTCGTGAGTGCTTGATAGCATGTGTGGGCCTGAACTGGACTAAGCCTGGGGGGGTAGTGGCAGCCAAAACGGCGGTGAAGTCGATCAGGAAATCGCAGCTGGATGATCTCAAGGCCATGCCGAATCCACCGAGCGCGATCAAACTGGTGAGTGCCTGTGTGTGTGTGTAAGCATGTGTCTGCTTGTGTCTCCTCCACTACACGGAAATCGCAGCTGGATGATCTCAAGGCCATGCCGAATCCACCGAGCGCGATTAAGCTGGTGAGTGCTTGCAGGTGTGCTTGCTATGCCATAGGGTGGCAGGGTGTTCTCTCCGTGGTGCGCCTTTTGAGGCGCCTCAAAAGTCTATGCCATAGGGTGGCAGGGTGTTCTCTGCCACCCTAGGGAGTGTTCTCTCCGTGGTGCGCCAAAATGGCCTCATCCGCTCCACTCCCTTTCCCTTCTTCCCCACCCCACCCTGCCCTCTTCAACCAGACGCTGGAAGGAGTGTGTCTGCTCCTGACGGGTTTAAAGCCCTCCACGTGGCAGGGCATTCTCTCTGTGGTGCGCCGAAACGACTTCATCCCCAATATACTGGGATGCGATATGGAGGCCATAGACCCCGTGCTGGTGCTGCGCGTAAAGCGGGAATACCTGGACGCGCGAGTCATTTCCTTTGACGCTGTGAACAGGTGAGCATGCGATATGGAGGTGAAGATGTGAGGTGAATCCTAGGTACTCACCACAAGAAGCATCCAATCTATACTCTCATACGATGCGACATGGAGGCCATAGACCCTGTGCTGGTGCTGCGTGTGAAGCGGGAATACCTGGAGGCACGAGTGATCTCATTTGACGCTGTTAATAGGTAAGAGAGAGAGCGAATGTGTGGTAAGGTGTAGAGCATAGAACCCCGCCCTGGTACTGCGTGTGAAGAGAGGGAGTACCTGGACGAGCGGGTGATCTCATTTGATGCCGTCAACAGGTGAGCATGGCGGTGAGGGTGTGCAGGTGAACCGTAGAGAGTCAGTGTGCATGTGGGCCTTTGTTCTCGTGGTTAGAGGCAGCGGTGCAGTACGGGGAGATCATCCGGGCTGTGCAGCCCAGGACGGGACGAGATGCTCTCCTTCCCCTCTACTCCCCTTGCCTCCCCTATTCACCCCTATTCACTGTGTGTTATCATCAACAGGGCCAGCAAGGCGTGCGGTCCGCTGTGCTGTTCTCGTGGTTAGAAGCAGCGGTGCAGTATGGGGAGATCATCCGGGCTGTGCAGCCCATGGGGGCCGAGAGTGCTGACTTTCTTACTCCCCTTGTCTTCCCTTGTCTCCCCTTGCCTCCCCTATTCACCCCTATTCACTGCGCGCCATCACTCTCAGGGCAAGCAAGGCATGCGGCCCTCTCTTCTCGTGGCTGGAAGCAGCAGTGCAGTACGGTGAGATCATTCGCGCAGTGCAGCCCAGGAGGGCCGAGATGCTCACTCACCTCCCTGCTTCTTATACAATCTAACCCCTGTAACTTGCCATTTCAGAGCGAGCAAGGCGTGTGGGCCGTTGTTCTCATGGCTGGAGGCAGCGGTGCAGTATGGGGAGATCATTCGAGCAGTGCAGCCCATGAGGGACGAGATGGAGCAGCTGGAGGGGGAGGCGGGCAGCATGGCGGAGGAGCTGCAGCACGTGCAGGTGAGGTTTCAGTCTCTGGTTACCACTTCCTGGTTACCACTCTATGGTTACCACAATCAGGTACCACTGAGTGTGGCATGAGAGGGCCGTGCAGCCCATGAGGGACGAGACGGGGCAGCTGGAGGGGGAGGCGGGGAGCATGGCGGAGGAGATTCAGCACGTGCAGGTGGGTGTGTGTGGGTGTGTGTGGGTGTGTGTGGGTGTGTGTGGGTGTGTGTGGGTGTGGTGGGTGTGTGTGGGTGTGGTGGGTGTGTGTGGGTGTGGTGGGTGTGGTGGGTGTGGTGGGTGTGGTGGGTGTGGTGGGTGTGGTGGGTGTGGTGGGTGTGGTGGGTGTGGTGGGTGTGGTGGGTGTGTGTGGGTGTGGTGGGTGTGTGTGGGTGTGGTGGGTGTGTGTGGGTGTGGTGGGTGTGGTGGGTGTGGTGGGTGTGGTGGGTGTGGTGGGTGTGGTGGGTGTGGTGGGTGTGGTGGTGTGGTGGGTGTGGTGGGTGTGGTGGGTGTGGTGGGTGTGGTGGGTGTGGTGGGTGTGGTGGGTGTGGTGGGTGTGGTGGGTGTGGTGGGTGTGGTGGGTGTGGTGGGTGTGGTGGGTGTGGTGGGTGTGGTGGGTGTGGTGGGTGTGGTGGGTGTGGTGGGTGTGGTGGGTGTGGTGGGTGTGGTGGGTGTGGTGGGTGTGGTGGGTGTGGTGGGTGTGGTGGGTGTGGTGGGTGTGGTGGGTGTGGTGGGTGTGGTGGGTGTGGTGGGTGTGGTGGGTGTGGTGGGTGTGGTGGGTGTGGTGGGTGTGGTGGGTGTGGTGGGTGTGGTGGGTGTGGTGGGTGTGGTGGGTGTGGTGGGTGTGGTGGGTGTGGTGGGTGTGGTGGGTGTGGTGGGTGTGGTGGGTGTGGTGGGTGTGGTGGGTGTGGTGGGTGTGGTGGGTGTGGTGGGTGTGGTGGGTGTGGTGGGTGTGGTGGGTGTGGTGGGTGTGGTGGGTGTGGTGGGTGTGGTGGGTGTGGTGGGTGTGGTGGGTGTGGTGGGTGTGGTGGGTGTGGTGGGGTGGTGGGTGTGGTGGGTGTGGTGGGTGTGGTGGGTGTGGTGGGTGTGGTGGGTGTGGTGGGTGTGGTGGGTGTGGTGGGTGTGGTGGGTGTGGTGGGTGTGGTGGGTGTGGTGGGTGTGTGTGTGGGTGTGGTGGGTGTGGTGGGTGTGGTGGGTGTGGTGGGTGTGGTGGGTGTGGTGGGTGTGGTGGGTGTGGTGGGTGTGGTGGGTGTGGTGGGTGTGGTGGGTGTGTGTGGGTGTGGTGGGTGTGGTGGGTGTGGTGGGTGTGGTGGGTGTGGTGGGTGTGGTGGGTGTGGTGGGTGTGTGTGGGTGTGGTGGGTGTGGTGGGTGTGGTGGGTGTGGTGGGTGTGGTGGGTGTGGTGGGTGTGTGTGGGTGTGGTGGGTGTGGTGGGTGTGTGTGGGTGTGGTGTCACGAGTCTGCTTTCTGAGTGGCAAGCTTACACCACTCTGCACCGCTCATCACTGCTCTTCACCTTCCACACCACCCCTCACCGCACTGCACCACCCTTCATTTCTTTCAGGAGTCTATTGGATCTCTAGAGGAGCGCATGGAAGCGTGCCGCGACGAACACTCCCTCCTGCTCTCCGCATGTGAAGCCATGCGAGACCAACTTTCTCTAAATCTCCCTTTCTTACTCCCTGTTGTCCTTCCCCCACACCAGCCTGCATCACCCTTCACCGCTCTGCACCCATCAGGAGTCCATTGGTTCTCTAGAGGAGCGCATGGAAGCATGCCGGGACGAACACTCCCTCATGCTCTCCGCCTGTGAAGCCATGCGAGCCGACATCCCTAACCCTCCCTTTCTCCCTGTGTCACTTCCCCTCTCCACCACCCTGCACCACCCTGCACCGCACTGCACCATTGTTTCCTGCACTGCACCACTCTATATTGTGCTGCACCCATCAGGAGTCCATTGGCAATCTGAAGGAGCGCATGGAAGCATGTCGCGACGAGCATTCCCTCCTCCTCTCCGCCTGTGAAGCCATGCGAGCCGACATCCACCAATCAAAGCTCGCCATGCAGCGAGCCGCCAGCCTGGTCAAAGATCTAACGTACGAGCGTGACCGTTGGATGAAGCAGCGCGAGATGCTCAAGAGCCGGGCGGCAGCGTGCTTAGGCGACGCTTTGCTAAGAGCCGCTAGTTTGGCGTACCTGGGACCGCTGGAGCTCGCGGAAAGGCAGCGGCTTTTAGCTAAGTGGCAGGAGGTGGTGGGTTCCCGCGGGTTGAAGTTCTCGAAGGGGGGTGTGCTGAGGGGTGAGGTGGGGTTGGATGGGGTTGGGGAGAGGGGAGGGGAGGGGGGTGAGGAGGGGTGGGGAGGGGTGGAGGAGGATGAGGAGGTGGAGGAGGAGCGGGCAAAATGGGAGGCGATGGGGTTACCACAGGACGAGTATGCGTTACAGAATGCGGAATCGGTGCTTAAGTGCCGGAGGGTGCCGCTACTTGTGGACCCGTCTGGAAGAATGGTTGAATTCCTTCGGAAGGTTCTCTCCTGCTCCGCCCCTGCTGCTACAGCCGATTCGGCTACAGCCGGAAGCACCGAATCCGCTGCAGCCGATTCTGTTACATTTGATTCTGGTGCTACAGCCGGCAATGCTCCTGGTTTGAGTGATAGCCAGGGATCCGCGGAAGTGAAGCAGGAAGGGGGAGTGGTCTGTGTGAGCGCACAGGAAGAGGAGAGTGTGTTGGCACGAGCAGCGGAAAAGGCAGTCAGATTCGGCCTCCCATTGATCATCAGAGACGTTTCACAAATGAGCTCTATTCTCTCCTCCCTCCTCCTCTCCTCCCCCTCCTCCTCCTCATCCTCCTCTCACTCCCTCCTCTCCTCTCCGCCCTCCTCGCTCTCCTCACCCACTCTCTCCCTCACTCCCTCCCTGTCCAAAATCCGCCTGCTGAACCGAGAAATCGACGTTTCTCCCTCCTTCCGCCTCTTCCTGACAACCGAGTCCCTCCTCCCTCCTCTCTCCCCCTCTCTCTTATCCAAAACCGCGGTGGTAACCACCGGAATCTCGCCCTCCTGGCTGCGTCAGCACCTGCTGAGCCGCGTGATTGGCCGGGAGCGCGCTGACGTGGCGCAGCAGCGGGACCGGGCGGCGGCGCTGCAGGAGAGATGCCGAAGGAGATTGCGCCAGCTGGAAGGGAGATTGCTTGAGGTGCTGACGTCACCAGAGGAGGACGGGAAGGATGCAGGAGGTGTGGTAACAGGGAGCGTGGCTGTGACTCCTGCTCGTGGTGCTGGGAGTGGTGGTGGTAGTGTCAGCAGCACCCCTCCTCCTACTTTCAGCATGTTTAGCGGATTAAAACGACCGGCAGGCGTGGCAGCAACACCAACACCAACAGCAGCACACACAGCAGCAGCAGCAGCAGCAGCAGCAGCAGCAGCAGCAGCAGCAGCAGCAGCAGCAGCAGCACAAACGCCAGTGGGAGTTTCTCTGTCTTCCCGAGCCCTCGAATCCCCAATCCCCACACCAGCCCCTCTCCCTCCTGTAATGGACGACTCTACAGTCTCAAAAACCCTCGCTCAAATAAAAAAGGACGCTGCAGCAGTCAAGGCGAAGGCGAGAGAGGTGCGACTGGTAATGAGACAAGTCGACGCCGTCCGGACGCTGTATGCCCCGCTGGCGGACGTCGGCGCGGCGGCGTTTTTCGTCCTTTCTGGGGCGGCTGCCGCCCTGCAGCAGCCTCTGTACAGATTCTCGCTGGATTTCTTCCTGCGGGCGTTTGACGATGCAATTTCGGCTGCTAGTGGTGAATCAGGTGGAAAATCAGCAGCAGAAGTAACAGTAGCGTTAACAGCAGAAGCACAGGCAGATAATACTGTAACTGTGAAGCCAAGAGTGAGACAGCTGGTTGCAGCGGTACTGAGTGAGCTTATAACGAGGACAGCAGAGGCAACAGAGTACCGGCACCACCTGCCTGTGGCCCTTGCCCTATCCCGCTGCGCCAGGCTGGCAGATGACGTGGACTGGGTAGGCTTGGCTACAACCGTCTCTGCAAAATATGCTACAGGGCTGGCTATTGAAAGTGATGCTTCATCTGATGCTACAGCCTCTGCTAGAGCTGCAGAAACAGGCAGAGCAGCAGGGGAGATTGAAGCTGCTGTGAAAGAGGAGCTGCAGTGTACGACTTCTGGGGCAGCTTATAGCGAGTATGAGGGCAGGAGGAGTGCTGCAGTGGAAGCAGTGGTTGGGTTTGTCGAGTCAATGGCAGTCAACGCTGGTCAAACGGACATTGCTGGGCGGCGACTGGTGGAGGCTGTAATCAGTCAGGGGGGTAGCTGTTCTGCTGGCGGTGCTACTGGCAGTGCTGCTGCCGGTACTGCTGCCAGTGCTGCTGGCGGTGCTGCTGGCGGTGCTGCTGCTGGCAGTGCTTCTGATGCTGTTAGCAGACCAAGAGCAGCAGGGGGGAAGTTTGGAATGGCACTAGAGCATCCCATGGAGCATCCTGCTTCTGCGGCTCGGTTCATGCAGGCTCGGGCCGAGCCTGCCCGCCCGATCCTGGTGGCCTGCGTCGGCAGCTGCGACCCAACCGCCATGCTCACCGCTGCTGCTGCTACAAGTGCTGCTACAGCCACTGGTGCCGCTGCTACAGCCGCAGGTGCTGACAAAATTGCTGTTGCTGCCTCTGCTGCTACAGCTGCTGCAGGCCCTAGGGTTGTAGCAGTAGCAATGGGATCAGACGACGCAGTGGCAGCAGCACAGAGGGCGGTGGAGGGAGGGGCGAGGGAGGGCCGGTGGGTGGTGCTGTGTAACGCCCACCTGGCCCTATCGGTGCCCAGGCACGCTGCATGGCTGCAGCTGCTGCTCAACTCGTTACAGTCACGCGCTCTGTCGGTGCCAGTGCATCGGGATTTCTGGCTGGTGTCGACGGTGGAAGGAGGACGATCGACGGTGGAAGGAGGACGATCGACGGTGGAGGCAGCGCGATCGGTGCCAGTGCATCAGGATTTCCGGCTGGTGTTGACGGTGGAAGCAGCGGGGGCGGCTGTGAGGCTGATGCCACCCAAGCTGGTGGAGGCGTGTGACGTGCTGGTGATGGAGGCACCGGCAGGGGTGAAAGGCAGCATGCAGGTGAGACATGCCCTCCTCGTCCCTTCCTCCCTTACTGCTCTCCTCCCTCCTGATGCCGCCCAAGCTGGTGGAGGCGTGTGACGTGCTGGTGATGGAGGCACCGGCAGGGGTGAAAGGCAGCATGCAGGTGAGACTGCTTCTTCCTTCTTCCCGTACTGATCTCCTCTCCTCCTCATTCCACTCTCGGGTCTATCCTCAGCACGTCAAAGCACCCCCAAGCTGGTGGAGGCGTGTGACGTGCTGGTCATGGAAGCACCGGCAGGGGTGAAGGGCAGCGTGCAGGTGAGACATGCTCTCCTCCTCCTCCCTGCAGAGATCTCTGGATTCCATTCTCTCTCTTTCGGCCAGAGGCTGCGCAGCAGCCAGTGGAACGAGCAGCAGAGAGGGAGAAACCACACCTGATTAAGTGGCCCAAGGAGGGAAACTGCGAATCCCAAGCACTCAATTCCTTCTTCTCACACACACGCCCCACGCTCCCCCTCTGTCCTCCCCCCCACAGAGATCTCTGGAAGCCATTCTCTCTCTTTCGGCCAGAGGCCGCGCAGCCGCCAGTGGAACGAGCAGCAGAGAGGGAGAAAAGCGGCGGAGGAAAGGAGCAGCGAATGCAAATGACTTTTGAGCCGTCTGAAAAATGAGTGGCAGAGAGGAGAAACGCGGCGGAGGAAAGGAGCAAGGAATGCAAATGCTCACCCCTTCCTCCCACACCCACACCCCACACTCCCCCTCTTTCATCCCCCCTACAGAGATCTCTGGATTCGATTCTCTCTCTCTCCGCCAGAGGCAGCAGCCAATTGAACGAGCAACAGAGAGGGAGAAATGCGGCAGAGGAAAGGAACAGCGAATGCAAATGCTCACCCCTTCCTCTCACACCCCTCGCATGCCCTCTCCCCCTCTACAGAGATCGCAGGATTCCATTATCTCTCTCTCCGCCAGAGGCAGCAGCCTATGGAACGAGCAGCAGAGAGGGAGAAACCAGGCAGAGGAAAGGAGCAGCGAATGCAAACGCTCACACCCACCCCTCTCACGCCCCTCTCACGCCCTCTCCTAATACAGAGATCTTTGGATTCGATTCTCTCTCTCTTGGCTCGAGGCAGCAGCCAGTGGAACGAGCAGCAGAGAGTTAGAAACTCAGCGGAGGAAGCAGAGAGGGGCAGCAGCAAACCGAGTGGGGTTACAGTGGAGAAGCGGCGACAGGGGAAGCAGCTGCAGATGCTGCGAGTGCGAGGGGGTGATGAGGAGGAGGAGAGGAGGAGGCGGCAGATGCTGCGAGTGCGAGTGGGAATGGCATGGGTGCATGCGGTGTTGCAGGAGCGAGTGCACTACGTGCCCAGGGGATGGCTGTGCCCTTACACCTTCATGGACCATGTGAGTTGTTTGGTGGGGTACCTCAAGTGGGGCACCAGGTAGTGGGTGCATGCAGTGATGCAGGAGCGGGTTCACTATGTGCCCCGGGGATGGCTGTGCCCTTACACCTTCATGGATCACGTGAGTTGCTAGGTGGGGGTATTGGTGTGACTGTAACTGCAAGGGAATGGCACGGGTGCATGTGGTGCTGCTTAGGGTGGGGTGGCGTGGGTTCATGCAGTGTTGCAGGAGCGAGTGCACTACGTGCCCCGGGGGTGGCTGTGCCCCTACACGTTCATGGATCATGTGCGTGTGGAATGGAATGCTGGGTGTGGGTGTTGTTGTTGACACTAGTCTGAGTGTGATGTGGGTGTGCTAGTGCGAGTGGGCAAGAGCGGATGTTGCAAGAGCTGACTGCACTACGTGCCCAGGGGGTGGCTGTGCCCTTCACCCTTTGTCACCCTTTGTCATCCCCTCCCACCCCTTCCCACCCCTTCCCACCCCTTCAAGGATCTCACCTGGGCGCTCTCCCTGCTCCAAGCCTGGCAAGCAGACAGCCCTGTCCACCTGACGCCCCTCAACTCCCTGCTGCAGGAGCGAGTGCACTATGTGCCCCGGGGGTGGCTGTGCCCCTACACGTTCATGGATCATGTGCGTGTGGAATGGAATGCTGGGTGTGGGTGTTGTTGTTGACACTAGTCTGAGTGTGATGTGGGTGTGCTAGTGCGAGTGGGCAAGAGCGGCTGTTGCAAGAGCTGACTGCACTACGTGCCCAGGGGGTGGCGGTGCCCTTCACCCTTTGTCACCCTTTGTCATCCCCTCCCACCCCTTCCCACCCCTTCCCACCCCTTCAAGGATCTCACCTGGGCGCTCTCCCTGCTCCAAGCCTGGCAAGCAGACAGCCCTGTCCACCTGACGCCCCTCAACTCCCTGTCACACCTTGTCACCCCATCCTGTCCCTTCCCACCCCTTATCAGCTCTATCCCTCCTGCACGCATGGCAAGCAGACAGCCCTGTCCACCTGACGCCCCTCAACTGCTTACCAGCAGTGCGAACCCTGCTACTCGACATAGCCTATGGGCTCAAGATGGAATCCCCTGCAGACCACCACACCCCTTGTCACCCCGTGTCACCCATTATCACCCTTTCTAACCATTTCCCACCACTTCCCACCTTTTTTTTCCTCTTTACAGGACCTCACCTGGGCGCTCTCCCTTCTACAGGCATGGCAGGCAGACAGCCCTGTCAACCTGACGCCTATAAACTGCCTACCAGCAGTGCGAACCCTGCTACTCGACATAGCCTATGTACTGAAGATGGAGTCCCCTGCAGACCACCACTTGATTTTACCCCTTGTCACCGATTCTCACCTCTTCTCGCCGTTTCCCACCCCTTTCCACCCTTTTCCACACCTACAGGACCTCACTTGGGCTCTATCCCTGCTGCAGGCGTGGCAAGCAGACAGCCCCACCAGCCTAACACCCGTCAACTGCCTGCCAGCAGTGCGAACGCTCCTCCTGGACATTGCCTACGGGCTCAAGATGGAGTCCCCTGCAGACCATGACACCCTCTCCCGCATCGTCTCGCACGTGTTTGGAGATCCCAAGGCGTTTTTCGCGCCACGATTCGCCCTCTCTCTCGCTCCTGCTGCTACTGGTGTTGGTGCTGCTGCTGGTGCTGCTGGTGCTGCTGGTGCTGGTGATGCGGTTACCAGCGTGCCGGCGTTACTGAACTTACCGGATGAAGACACTGAGGAGGCATATACCAGCTGGGTCCAATCGTTGCCCGCCACATGTCCACCTGAGTGGCTGGGGCTGAAGGCTGGGGAGGATAGTGTTAGGTATGCAAAGGAAAGTGCGCAGGTGCTCAAAGCTACCCTCGGATTGATGATGGGCACGTCAACTCATTAGGGATGATGGTTTGTTAGGAAGAACACTTTCTGATTTGATAGATTCGATTCGATAGATTAACCATAGGTTCCTTATCATCCCAACCTAAACCCTATACATTGTTGTCCCTTAGTAAGAATGCACATTGTAAAAGCCATGTTGCCAGCTTTGGTGATTTTCTGGGCTAAGCAACGCCATTCCTGTCAGAAACCCTGAAGAATATTTCCCTCCTGATGCACATCGTTCCCCCACTATCTGCACAAAGCCTTGACTTCTTGAGGGAGGGAGAGCCATCCGCAAATTGAGGAAGCGTGTGAGTATGGTCACAAGCAGATGCCAGCTAACCAAACTGCTACGGTAATTGCATATTCTAGAAGCAGATGCGGCAGGCTCAGGAGAAAAACAAAACTGCTAATTGCATATTCTAGAAGCAGATGAAGCAGATGCGGCAGGCTCAGGAGAAAAACAAAACTGCTAATTGCATATTCTAGAAGCAGATGAAGCAGATGAAGCAGATGAAGCAGATGCGGCAGCCTCAGGAGAAAAAACAAAACTGCTAATTGGATATTCTAGAAGCAGATGAAGCAGATGCGGCAGTCTCAGGAGAAAAAACAAAACTGCTAATTGCATATTCTAGAAGCAGATGAAGCAGATGCGGCAGTCTCAGAGTAAAAACAAAACTATGTCTGGAGAAGTGGGGTATCGATCCCCATACCTCTCGCATGCTAAGCGAGCGCTCTACCATCTGAGCTACATCCCCATGTCCCTGCTGTTACATATTAAAATCAACCTTTGTTTTCAACTGTGTGTGGCTGGTTCACCCACCAGATAGTTGTTGGTCGCACCGACATGCCGTTTCTCTCATCTGGCGGTATTTCCAAGGCGAAACGTCAAAGTCAGTCATGAAGAGTTTCGTGATTTCACCATCCTTTCCCTGATTGCAACGTATTATATAGAATTCCGTGGTCAGCAGGTAAGCGAAAAACCAGTAAGGTTCATGTCAGGCCTGGCTGCCGCTCTTCCCAAGGTTGTTGTGACCCGTGATTATCGCGAGCGTTCGTTTCACGTCACGTCTGCATCCGGGAACGAGAATCGTGCACGGGAGCACGATTCGCTGAGGAGTAGGAGATAGTCACCATAGGCGTAAGAGAATGCGGAGAATACGGAGAATTCGGAGATCGTAGGGAATGCATTTAGTGCATTGAATGCTCTGTTTCTGAAATTTGATTTTCCCGTTGACGATTCCGTTGATCTCACTTTCAAAGTTTGCCGTCCAGCTTCCAAACGGCTAACCGTCAAGCGCTTAACGACTCACCGTCATGCGACTCGTGACGGTCCTATAGTCGGAGTACTAAGGCTCTTAATATCTGCCCATCCACTCTGTTACTCCACGCCGCGTCGTAGCGAAGGCTGGGATGACGTCGGCGCGGCGCATAATGACGTCATCGACCACGATCAGCGTTCTCCTTATCGTTCTTCACTTGACCTCCCTCGCTCCTTGCCGTGTAAGCCACTCCTTTCCTTCTCTCTCACCTCTCTGTTTTCGTTTTGTCTCGCCTCGCTTTCAATTCTCCTTCTCATTCTTCACTTGTCCTCCGTTGCATATTTTCCCCCTTCCTTCTCTCGCCATCTCTCTCTCTCTCTCTGTCTCGCCTTCCTTTGTGTTTTACGTTGCGGGTTTGACTCTCTGTTCCTCGAACCTAGCGACCTTCCATTCAAGTTCAAGAGACATCGTCTTTCTCCTTTTCCTAAACTCGAGCTTTCCCTCGTGCATTGGTTGTTTTCTTTTCGTGTGTCAAATTTCAGGCGCTATGTCCACTATTGTATGGCCTTCAATCGGGGACAGCCGTCCCTTCGCATGTCCTTGCAACTCTCACTTCATCAGCTGATGTTGCTGATCCATTCATTCTCAAACCCAGGCTTGAAACCACTCTTTCCGCAACATCCGAGTCTGCTTCGAGCCGTCTCGTAACTCTTCCCATGGCAACCGAATCTGCTGCTTCAGCTTTTTCTCAATCTCTCCCCTCCCTCGTGGCTGGACTTTCCGAACCTAGAGGTTCGGGTGCTACAACTGGAGGTGCAACTTTCGGACCTAGCGATTTGGAAGGTACAGCAGCATCTGTACCGGTTGTGCCAAACCGCCGCCTTCTCGCAGGCTTACATGGTCCCCGAGCCTTTGTCCGAGGCAAAAAACCAGGCTCGGTCGTGTCCGCCGAACCTAGAAATCCTGCAGGCTCTGGTACAGCTCGTACAGCATCTGCCGAGCCTGCCTCTCCCGCCGAGCCTGGATCAGAGCAAGCAGAGGAAGGAGAGAAGGGGGAGGAAGAGAAGAAGGATCTGCATGCGAAAACTACTTCTGGTGTTAGTGCAGCAGAGGGAGGGGAGAAAAGGGAGGAAGAGAACAAGGGTTCAGATTCAAAGGCTGCTTCAAGAGGTGTGACTGCAACTGAGGGAGGAAAGGAGGGACGGGAGGAGGGGGGGGAGGAGCAGGAGGAAGAGGAGGAGGAGAATGGGGGGAATGTAGCTACTGCTGCTGCTGCCACTGCTGCTGCTTCTACTGCTTCTACTGCTGCTGGATTGCTAGGCACCAAGTCTGCTGCTGTGAACGCTGCAGATAGGGAAGCTGCCACTGTCACTTCTGAAGGTACTGGTGCTGCTGCTGCCGCTGGCGCTGCTGATGCTGAAACCTCTGCCTCTCGTGCTGCTGTTGCTGCCAGTGCTTCTGGAAGGCCGGAAGGTGGCAAGTCTGCTGCTGTGGATGCTGCAGTAGACAGAGAAGCTTCCACTGCCACTCCGGCAGGCACTGATGCTGCTGCTGCTACTGGTGCTGCTGCTTCTGCTACGGTTTCTGGGGTGGATGCTTCGGTTGCTCGTGGTGGTGCTGGTAGGGTGCGTCCACCTGCTACCACTGATGGTGCTGCTGCTGCTACCACTGACGGTGCCGCTGCTGCTACTACTGGAGGTGCCGCTGCTGCTACTACTGGAGGTGCCACTGCTGCCACCACCAGGGATATCGCTGCTGCCACTACTGCCACTGCTGCTGGTACCACTGCACCTTCTACCACTGACGATACCACTGCTGCCACTGCACCTGCTACCACTGACAATACCACTGCTGCCACTGCACCTGCTACCACTGACGATACCACTGCTGCCACTGCACCTGCTGCTACCATTGATGGCACTGCTCCCAGCACTAGGGATGCTGCTTCTGCCAAAGCAGCCACTGTTGCCACTGCTGCTGGTACCACTGACGATGCTGCAGCAGCAGCAGCTGGTGCTACTTCCGCTGTTGCTGAAGCCAATCGCAGCGAAGTTACTGGGGCGGGCAAGGAGGAGGAAAAGGGAGAGATTGGTGTAGGGAGCGCAGACGAGGAGGGTGCAAGGTCGGTCGGTGGGGCTGCAGAGAATGAGAAGGTGACTGGTGGGGAAGCAAAGGATGCGAAAACGGATGGTGAGGATGGAGAGGTCGAAGAGGAGGAGGAGGCGGAGGAGGAGAAAGAGATGGGTACGGAAAAGACGAGGGAGGTGGGGATGCGCGAGGGGAATCAGGCGACGAAGGGAGGGAAGGAGGAGGGAAGAGAGGAGGCCGTGAGCGGTGAGCGGCAGAAGGGGGAGGGCGTGAGTGGGCAGCAGCAGAGGGGTGAGGGCGTGGAGCAGAAGGAAAGGGAGGAGGAGGGTGAGCTGAAGGGAGGGGAAATGAAGGGAGAGGAGGTGAAGGGAGAAGAAGCGGAGGAGGATGAAGAAGTGAAGGTTGGGCCAGCGGATTTGGGGATGGAAAAGGTTGATGAGGCATTGGCAGCAGCAGAAGAGGCAATCATGCCGAAAGTTAAAGGCTCTGATGCTGCTGCTGCTGCTGCTGGTTCTGGTGCTGGCGCTGGTGGTAGGAATGTTACTAGTATTGTGGCGAATGTTACAAGTAACGTGGGAGAGAAGAGAGGAGGAGAGGAGGAATTGGTGGATGCAAATGGTACAAGCAAGATGGGAGGTAATAAGGGAGTTGAGAAAGAAGCGGAAATGGTGGGGAAGAGAGGGGGTGAGGGGGGGACCAAAGAGGAGGCAGGATTGGCTGGGGACGACGAGGAGGAGGAGGTGGAGGAGGAGAAGAAGGAGGAGGGGGAAGTGGCAGAGGAGACGGAAGAGGGAAAAGCAGAGGATGCAGCTGCAGCAGAGGAGGTTGAAGAGCTAGCGACAGAGACGAAGGAGGGTGCAACTAAAGACAGCTGGAGGGTTAGCAAAGCAGGTAGTGAGGCAGGTGGAAAGGCAGGTGGAAAGGCTAGTGGCGAAGGCTCAACAGCAGCAGAGGAGGTTGAAGAATTAGCGACAGAGACAAAGGAGGGTGCAGCTAAAGGCAGCTGGAGGGTTAGCAAAGCAGGTAGTGAGGCAGGTGGAAAGGCAGGTGGAAAGGCTAGTGGCGAAGGCTCAACAGCAGCAGAGGAGGTTGAAGAATTAGCGACAGAGACAAAGGAGGGTGCAGAATTGGATACATCTTTGGTCACTGGGGAAAACGGTACAGCCACAGGCAGGTGGAGGGTTAACAAAGCAGCTAGCAAGGCAGGTGGCAAGGCAGGTGGCGAAGGCTCAACAGCAGCAGCTGCAACAGCAGCAGGAGAAACGGAAACGGATGTCACTGTGGTTGATTTAGCTGCTGCAAACACCACTGATGGAGAGGGTGTGTCAGGAAGGGATGGGCTTACAGGAGCAGAGCTGACAGGGGATAGTCTGTTGAGAGGAGACGAGGAGACTCGTGGGTCAACTCAAAGGTCGAAGGTCCCTGCTGGAAAGGGCATGTCTGAAAAGGATACTCTTACAGGAGCAGAGCTTACAGGGGGTGGTATGATGAGAGGAGACGAGGAGACTCGTGGGTCAACTCAAAGGTCGAAGGTCCCTGCTGGAAAGGGCATGTCTGAAAAGGATACTCTTACAGGAGCAGAGCTTACAGGGGGTGGTATGATGAGAGGAGACGAGGAGACTCGTGGGTCAACTCAAAGGTCGAAGGTCCCTGCTGGAAAGGGCATGTCTGAAAAGGATACTCTTACAGGAGCAGAGCTTACAGGGGGTGGTATGATGAGAGGAGACGAGGAGACTCGTGGGTCAACTCAAAGGTCGAAGGTCCCTGCTGGAAAGGGCACGTTCGGGAAGGGTACTCTTACAGGAGCAGATCTTAAAGGGGATAGTGTGATGAGAGAGGGAGAAAGGGGAGGGGACGAAGAGGAGAGGGAGGGGGAGAGGGAGGAGCAGGCGGAAGGGGAGGAGCAGGCCGAGGGCGGATTGGGTGAGGTTATTGCTGTTACTGAGCGGCAGGGGAAGAAGGGAGGTGGCACAAAAGCGGTGAGAATGGGAGAGGGAGAAAGGGGAGAGGAAGAGGAGAGGGAGGAGGAGAGGGAGGAGCAGGGGGAGGGGGGTTTGGGCGACGATATTGCTGTTACTGAGCGGCAGGGAAAGAAGGGGGGTGGCACAAAGGGGGTGAGAGTGGGAGAGGGAGGGGAGGGAGGAGGAATGGATGGGGTAAGGGGAGAGGAGGAGGTGGAAAGGGAAGAAGAGGAGGGAGAGGAGGAGGCGGAGATGGGAGCAGAGGAGGGAGGAGAGGAAGGGCTTTTGCACAGCAGGACTTCGGGTAAAAAAGGGGAGGGCGCTGCAGCTGAGGATAGGGTTAAGAGTGGTGCTGAGGGTAGGGTTAAGGGTGGTGCTGAGGGTAGGGTTAAGAGTGGTGCTGAGGGTAGGGTTAAGAGTGGTGCTGAGGGTAGGGTTAAGGGTGGTGCTGAGGGTAGGGTTAAGGGTGGTGCTGAGGGTAGGGTTAAGAGTGGTGCTGAGGGTGGGGTTAAGAGTGGTGCTGAGGGTGGGGCTGAGAGTGGGGCATTGGATGCAGAAGCAGCAACAGAGGAGGGAGGAGAGGAAGGGCTTTTGCACAGCAGGTCTCGGGGTAAAACTGGGAAGGGTTTTGGAGGTGACAGTGGGGTTGAGGGTGGCGCTGAGAGTGGGTTTGAGACTGGGACATTGGATGCAGAAGCAGCAGCAGAGGAGGGAGGAGAGGAAGGGCGTTTGCACAGCAGGTCTCGGGGTAAAACTGGGAAGGGTTTTGGAGGTGACAGTGGGGTTGAGGGTGGCGCTGAGAGTGGGTTTGAGACTGGGACATTGGATGCAGAAGCAGCAGCAGAGGAAGAAGACTCAGTGGCAGGTGGAAGGGTAGATGGAAGGCCAGCAGCAGCAGACGCAGCAGCTTCGAAGAAGGAGGCTGGGGGGAAGAGAGGACAAGAAGGTGCTGCTGGTGATAATAGGAAGGGAACAGGTGGAGAGGAGGAGGACTATCCTGGTCCAGCAGGGGCGAGAGAGGGGGAGAGAGAGGATGGGAGCGAGGAGGCTGAGGAGAAGAGAGGAAAAGGATTCGGCGGAAGTGATGCTAGGAAAGGAGCAGGTGGAGAGGAGGAGAGGGGACAAGAATTTGGTGGTAGTGATACCAGGAAAGGACCAGATGAGGAGGGAGAGTACGCTGCAGGAGAGGAGACGAGAGGTGGGGAGGGGGAGAGAGAGAGTGAGGGAGGCAGGGAGGAGGGAGGTGAGTGGGCGATGCCTGGAGACGATTTCGCTGCTGAAGAAACACCTGAAGATTCACCTGAAAATTCACCTGAAGATGCACTTGAGGGTTCAGCTGAGGAAGACGAGTATCCTGCAGAAGGGTCGAGTAGGGGGCGGGTTTCAGGTGGTAAGAACGCAGACGCAATGACAGGTGAAAGAGGAGCAGGAGGGGTTGAGACGTCTGAGAGTAAAGGGAAAGGCAGTTTGCCGAGTGGAGAAGGAGCAGGGGCAGGGAGGCTTGGTGGGGGGGGGTGCTGGTGGTGGGGGTGGTGGTGGTGGTGGTGGTGGTGGGGTGTCTCCGTATGGAGGAGAGGAGGATGAGTATGGAACACAGGATTTTGGACCGTCCAATCCAAAAGCAGCAACAGGAGCAGGGGCAGGAAAGCTTGGTGGTGGTGGTGGTGGTGGGGATGGTGGCAGGGAGTCTCCGTATGGGGGAGAGGAGGATGAGTATGAAACTCTTAAGGATTCCGCTCCTTCCAACCCAAAAGCAGCAGCAGGAGCAGCAGCAGGAGCACGAGAAAGAGAAGGAGAAGGAGCAGGAGGAGGGGCAGCAGCAAGAGCGGAGACTGCTGCAGCAGCAGCAACAGAGGAAGAGGAAGAAGGAGAAGGGTTAAGCTCTAAAGCAAATTTGCCTTTAGATAAAGACCTCCCCCCACCCACCTCTTCCTCTTCGCCTTCCTCCTCTGCCTCTTCTCCCTCTCTCTCCTCCCCCTCCTCTCCCTCCTCTCCCTCCTCTCCCTCCTCCCAGCCCTCGCTCTCTTCTCTTCTTGCCTCAACCCTTGAACCTATTCTTGCTCCTCTGGCAACACTTCTCAGCACCTTCCTCCCTTATGCCGAGGCCCAAACAGCGGCCTTCTATCTCCTGCTGGGCCTTCTCGCCGCTCTCGCACTCTCCCTCTGCGTCTGCTGCCTCTGCTGCTGCCGAACCAGCGAGGCCGGGGGCAGGTTCGGCGGGCTCGGAGGTCCGGCGTACGCGAAGGTTCCAGGAAAAGAGGTGGATTTGTCGCTGGCATTGGGGCAGGGGCCGAGCGGGAGGGGGAGGGGGAGTGGGGGAGGGGAAGGGTGGGAGAACTGGGATGATGAGGAGGGCTGGGACGAGGAGAAGGGTAGTGGAGGGGGAGGAGGAGGAGGGGGGGGGGAGGAGGAGGAGACAAGTTGGCACAAGTACTGGGCAAGGCTTTAGATACTGCTACTGCTGGTGCTGCTACTGCTGGTGCGACTGTTGCAGGTGCCACTGGTGCAGGTGCTACTGGTGCAGGTGCTACTGGTGCTGGTGCTACTGCAGGGAAAAAGAACATTCTTGGGTCGATAGGCCGAAGCAGCGGAACAGGCTCGGGGAGAAACGGGAGTGGCAGCAACGGCGGTGATGCAGGTGGTTTGGGTGCTGCTGGTGCTGCTGCTGGGGGAGGAGGGGCAAGGAAGAAAGCAGGGGGGAAACTGGTAGTGAGCAAAGGGAAGGGGCTTGTGAAGCAGTAGTATCAGTGCTACTGACGATGCTGGTGCTCCTGCTGGTGGTGCTGCTGGTGCTGCTGCTGGGGGAGGAGGGGCGAGGAAGAAAGCAGGAGGAAAGCTGGTGGTGAGCGAGGGCTTGTGAAACAGTAGTATCTGGCTTGAAAATAGAGGAGCAGAAGCAATGGGGTTGATGCAAGTTGCTCAAGGTGGTGAAACGTCTCCTGGTGGTGCTGCCGGTAATGCTGCTGGTGCTGTTGCTGTTTTCTATGCTACTGGTGTTGATCCTGGTGCTCCTGCTGCTGCTGGTTCGGGCAGTGCTGCTCAAGTCAGAGGTTTAAGGAAGAAAACAGATGGAAGGCTGGTTGTTCACTAAGGGAAGGGTCTTGTGAAGCAGAAGGGGGAACAGGAGGGAATGCTACGGTGCTCCTGGTGGTGCTCCTGCTGCTGCTGGTTCTAGCAGTGCTGCTAAAGTCAGAGGTTTACGGTAAGGACGCAATTTGGCGGAAAGCTGGTTGTTTGCTAAGGGAAGGAGCTTGTGAAGCAGGAGGGACGAAAACAGGGGGGAAGCTGGTTGTTTGCTAGGGGGCTTCAGCTGTTAGCCATGCGTGGCTGTGACTTCAGTTGCATTCATTGCATGGCTTTGAATAGATTACTGCTGTGTGCAAAGCAGTGCATTCCAGAACACTACATTGTGTCAGTGTGTACACAAACTTTAATTGCAAAGAAACAGCTGATACGGTAGTACCAGGGACGGGTGAGTATGGTGGTTCAGGGCGTTTCTCTGCTTTATGGGGGAAGGCACTAGACTAGTGCCATGCCTCCTGCCTTGGCACAAGGCGCAACAGGAACCTCCTACTCATTGTTCTCCTTACCAAGGAGGCCAACCTGTGCTTCCGCCTCATCTGACAGGTGTTGAATGTGAGTGGTGGTTCAGGGTGTTGCGCTGCTCCATGGGGGAATGTACTAGACTAGTGCCATGCCTCCTGCCTTGGCACACAGCGCAACAGGAACCTCCTACTCATTGGTCTCCTTACCAAGGAGGCCAACCTGTGCTTCCGCCTCATCTGACAGGTGTTGAATATGTGAGTGGTGGTTCAGGGCGTTGCGCTGCTGCACGGGGGAAGGCACTTGTGCCATGCGGAGCAACAGGTGTTGAATGTGAGTGGTGGTTCAGGGCGTATCTCTGCTGCACGGGGGAAGGCACTTGTGCCATGCCTTGTGCCTTGACACAAGGCACAACAGGTGTTGAATATGTGTGTGGTGGTTCAGGGCGTAGCTCTGCTGCACGGGGGAACGCACTGGTGCCATGGGGGTAGTGGGGGGAGGGCACTGGTGCATTCAGTGTGAGTGTGGTGGCTCAGGGCGTAGCTCTGCTGCACGGGGGAAGGCACTTGTGCCATGCCTCCTGCCTTGGCACAAGGCACAACAGGTGATGAATGGGGGTGTGGTGGTTCAGGGCGTAGCTCTGGTGCACGGAGGAACGCACTGGTGCCATGCCTCCCGTTTCTAGGAGGGAGGGGAGAAGGAAGGGGCAGGGGAGCGAGTAAGGGGGGATGTGGAGCGGGGAGAGGTGCAAGTGCGGGGAGAATGTACGGGATAACTGGGGGGAAGGGTTGGGGGTGGAGACGAGGGATTGAGGGGAGAAGGAAGGGGCATTGGAGCGAGTAAGGGGAAATGTGAGACGGCAAGAGGCGTACGCGCGGGGAGAATGGAAGGGGCAAGTGTGGGGGGCAGGAGAGGGGGGATTTTTGAGTCGACTAAAAAATCGTCTCATCACACGAGAATGGAAGGGGCAAGTGTGGGGGGCAGGAGAGGGGGGATTTTTGAGTCGACTAAAAAATCGTCTCATCACACGAGAATGTAAGGGGCAAGTGTGGGGGGCAGGAGAGGGGGGAGATGAGGAAGGGAGGGGAGAAGGGGCAGGGGAGCGAGCAAGGAAGGATGTGCGGGGTGACTTGGGGGAGAGGTGCAAGTGGGGGGAGAATGTAAAGCGGGGGATGAGGAAGCGAGGGGAGAAGTACGCGGCAGGGGAGAGGTCAAGGGGTGAGAGGGGGAAGAAAGGGGTGGGGATGAGGGATGAGGATGAGGGGTGAGGGATGAGTGGCGCTTGAGACAAAGGGGGGACTAAGGGTCGGTGGGGGGGAAATGAGGGGTGAGCAGGAGGGCGGGTGGAGGGATGAGGGGTGAGCAGTGGGAAGGAGAAATATGATTTGGTGGGTGGTGGGGGAGGGGAGAACGAAGGGGCAGGGGAGAACGAAGGGGCAGGGGAGCGAGTAAGGGTGGAAAGAAGTGTGGTTGGGAGAGGTGCAAGTGAGGGGAGAAAGCAAGGGCAGGACTTTTGAGGCGCCTCAAAAGTAAGGGTGGAAAGAAGTGGGGCTGGGATAGGTGTAAGTGAGGGGAGAAAGCAAGGGCAGGAAAGAGGGGTGAGCGGGGTTTGAGACGAGTGGGATGAGGGGTGGGTGGGGGGAAAATGGGGGGTGAGCGGGTGGCGGGAGGAAATGATGTGGGTGGTGAGGGGAGGGAGGGATGAGGGGTGAGGGGTGAATGGAGAGGGGGAGGGGAGGGAAGCAGAGGGATGCGCGGGAGAAAGACGAGGGGTGAGAGCATGGAGCGTAAGGGGTGCGGCGGGGATATGAGGGGTGAGTGGGGGGGAAATGAAGGGAGGGCAGCAGGTTATGAGGTTAAATGAAAGGAGTCGAGGGGAATGGGGGGGCGGTGGGGGATAAGGGGAGAGTGCTGGAGAGATGAAGAAAAAAGGGGGGGGGGGAGATGGAGGGGAGGATGGGGGAGTTCAGAGACGAGCGGAGAAAGAGGGGAAGGATGGGGGATGCCAACAGGGGAAGGGCGAAGGAAAGGGGATGAGGGTAAGGGGATGAGGGGAAGGGGAGGGGGGGAGGATGAGGGATGGCCCACAGGGCGAAGGGGGAGGGGAAGGCGATGAGCGTGACTCGTCTAGGGCTTGCTCAGGGTGAGGGAAAGGGGAAGGACAGGGGGATGAGGGTAGGGGGGATGAGGGGGAGGGGAGAGGGGGATGAGGGATGCCCAACAGGGCAAATGGGGAAGGAAAGGGGATGAGCGTGACGTTCCCAGGGCTTGCTCAGAGTGGGGAAAAGGGGACGGAGGGGGGGATGAGGGTAGGGGGGATTAGGGGGAGGGGAGAGGGGGATGAGGGATGCCCAACAGGGCAAATGGGGAGGGGAAGGAGATGAGCGTGACGTTTCCAGGGCTTGCTCAGAGTGGGGAAAAGGGGACGGAGGGGGGGATGAGGGTAGGGGGGATTAGGGGGAGGGGAGAGGGGGATGAGGGATGCCCAACAGGGCAAATGGGGAGGGAAAGGGGATGAGCGTGATGTTCCCAGGGCTTGCTCAGGGTGGGGGAAAGGGGAAGGACAGGGGGATGAGGGTAAAGAGGATGAGGGGAGGGGGAGAGGGAGATGAGGGATGGCCCACAGGGCGAAGGGGGAGGGGAAGGGGATGAGCGTGACGTTTCCAGGACTTGCTCAGAGTGGGGGAAAGGGGACGGAGGGGGGTGAGGGTTAAGGGGATGAGGGGAAGGGGAGAGGGGGAGGATGAGGGATGGCCTACAGGCGAAGGGGGAGGAAAAGGGGATGAGCGCGACTGGTCTAGGGCTTGCTCAGGGTGGGGGAAATGGGAAGGACAGGGGGATGAGGGTAAAGAGGATGAGGGGAAGGGGAGAGGGAGATGAGGGATGGCCAAAAGGGCGAAGGGGGAAGGAAAGGGGATGAGCGTGACTCGTCTAGGGCTTGCTCAGAGTGGGGGAAAGGGGACGGAGGGGGGGATGAGGGGTCGAGGGGGAGGGGGTGGGGGGGAGGGGAAAGAGGGAAGGGGCGGAAAGGGTGGTGGGGAAGGGGATGAGGGGTCGGCGGGAAGGGAAGGGGAGAAATGAGCAGTGGGGAAGGAGGGGGGGGCGAGGGTTTGGGGCAAATCTACTCCAACAGAGGCTTCTCTCTGTGTCAGCATAAAAATACCTGCCCATCAGAGGGTTCTCGTCGCTTTTCATTAGGGTTCAATTCAATCCGCCTCGTCGGCTCTAGACAAGACAATTATCCGCCCAAGAACCGCCCTCTTCCCCCCATTCCTTTCCTTTCCGTTTTCTAGTGCTCCGTCGAACTTAGTCGACGCCAATCATGCGCCCACAAATCGAAGATACAAATGCGACCGCATGAGAAATGCTTACGGATCGTCACCGCCCACTTTTCAAGGTTAATACGTTGCAAAAAAAATCGTACGAAGATCTGAAGCGCGCAAGAGCTATATTTACTGACATTAGTAGTAATTACGGACGGTACTGACTTCGGTACGTGCAGTGGCTACTACTGAAATGTCTGACAGCGTGAGGACACGAGCTACTATGGTAACAGAATACAAGGCTACCCCTGCAGCTGGAACGCCTTAGATCGGACGGAAACGACGGTAACGTCTTAGATCTGACGGAAGCGACGGTAACGTCTTAGATCTGACGGAAGCGACGGACTAAGTGTTAAGAAGCGAGGTAACGTCTCAGACCTGACGGAATAAAGTGCTAGGACCTGATGTATTGAATATCAAGAAGTGATGGTGACGAAATGAATCGCGGAACTGAAGGTCGGAAATGAAAGTCGGTGCGAGATGCTGGTGGATATGGTGTGGTGCTTGTGCCATTGTGACCAAAACACCCTCGATTTCTATTGGCTCGCGCGATTTTCTCCAACCATCCCTCGCTATTTCAGCTGCCCTAATCTGGTTCACAGGGGACAAAGGGAGTTGCGAGGGCAGCTAAACTTCGCGACAGTTCAGCCAAAGCATAAAACATTTTGCCCATTCCCGCCCCAACCATCCCGCACCTCACGCAGAGCTCACTGGAAAACTCAAGTTATGTCTTTAAAAGGAAGTGCCACGTCAGCCTCCACTTATGTTTCTGCCTGCCCCGGCTGCGAACTTTCAGTCCCATCACCCTAGCCCCAACTTTTTCAAGAGCAATACGCACCTTGAGCAGATTCGTTTGCAATTGAACAATGCAAATCAATGAACATGGTAACAACCAGCCTTCATACTGTAAATTTGTTGATCGTACAGTGCAGGGTGTCATGCCACGATCGAGTGTGCATTTCATTCCAGCCGCTTCCAACTTTCCCCAAGATTCCCTGACACCTCTGGGCGGAAAATTCATTTGCGCCACGAGTCCCCACGCAAGCCGCCGCGCGAGTGCAGCTCCATCTTATCCATTATCGACCAGATCTCCACCGTTGACGGCAGCTACGGTACGTCATCACCATCCATTCAAACTGTTTCCGGCAACCCAACCAATGCCATCTCTTCCCCCACTTTAGCACAAAGAATTGCCGCGCCGTGTCGCACTCTATCACATTTGATTTCAAGCCGCGGTACGCCGCTCTGCGGCGGCCTGCGCCCAACACCAAGTTTGGGAGAGTGATAATCCATTTCGGCACGGCATTCTCTGATTACGTCAGCATTCTCTTGCTCGGGACTCTCTTCGTTCGATCATCCCGTTCTTTCCTTCAGCAGCACCTACATAGTCCCATCGGCTGAGTTCATTTCCGTTTTCTTCCTTCACAACATTATTGAAGGGTCTTGAGAGTAGCTTCTTCTCAATAAGCTTTCTAATACGGACTTCAGGCTTCAAGCTCCACGGAGCAGACTAGTCCACGCTGAATGAAGCCACCCGGCTAGTACAAGTGGAAGTACCAGGCATAAGGCAGCGTTGAGTTAGGCCGCGTAGATTAGGTCGAGTAGATTTAGAGTCTAGTGGGTGGGGTGGGTTGGGTAGAGTCTAGAGAGTCTTAGCGAGCTGCTGCATGCCTGGTCCGAAACTTGTACGACGCCTTGGGTTTCGCGGCAACACCTTCGCCGCGAGAACCCTTCCCGTGAAATCTCCACCGCAAGCACGAACGGCGAGATCTTCACATCGAGATCCTCATCGCGAGATATGAACGGCGGGATCTTCACGGGAAAAACTTCGCGCCTGGATCTTCACATCATGGCGACATAATGACGGAGGAAATGTTCACGCCAGAAACTTCGGCGAGAACTTTACGATAACGGCGAGACCATCACCACGCCAAGATCTTCAACATCGAAATCGCTGGTGGCTCTTCATTGCAGCATCTTCGAGGGAAGAGCTTCAAGAGCTGAAGCCTCGTATAGCACCTCCCCGGTTGGTGGCGCCTCAAGCCTTCACATTTCCGAATTGAAGACGCTCGAGTGAGGTAAGTTCAGTTTCTGCTAAACTTTGTCTTCCTTATTCTCTAACACGCCTTTTTTCTAATTCATTTTTTTCCCCAGAAAAGTAACTAACACGTTTGGCGTTTTCCATGCAGGCCGAGTTTCAGCCGTGCCTTTGGACGTTGGACGACTGGGAGCCCAAGCCAAGACCGGAGCCGTCAGCCGTCACCCTGAACACTTCTCGCCGTCGACCCTTCAATCATCCGAGCTCGCCGTTTGAGGATTGGGAAGATTGGGAGCCCAATTCAAGACCGGAGAGGATATTCAGCCGGGTTTTGATGAACCTTCTCGCCGTTCGAAGATTGGGAAAATTGAGAGCCAAGTCAAGTCCGGCAAAAAGCTTCAGCCGTGTCTTGGATAACCCTTCTCGTCGTCGACCCTTCTCCGTCATGGCGCGGCGCTCCGTCGACGCACGTATCCCGTCCGGCATGGAGCCGCTTTCGCCAAGTGCACCGGCTGCTTTGCCCGTCTCAGCCGCAGCCTGGCGTCGCTTGGCGACGATGGCGACGTTTGACTCGAACCTTCAAGCCGTTGGTGACGTTTCAAACTCACCGCGATGAAGGTAAGTGCAGATTCGTTAAAAATCTCTAAAACTGGTTCTATCTTTCTGTTTGGTAAACAATATTTCAAAAGTTTTCAATAATTTGACTGACACGTTTGGCGTTTTCCCTTCAGGCGTACATTATGGCGTTTGGCGTCCCCTGCCGCCTTAGAGTTGGAGCTTTGGATGGAGTTGAAGACCCTTCTCGCCGTTTCAACGGTGCGTCACGGAGATTCTTCGCCCGGCGGACGGCGGCGATTCCCGTTACATGGCGCTGGCGGCTGCTTCGCTCGTCGCACCTGCCGTTTGGCGTCGCTTGACGTCGCCTGGCAACACAAGATTCGAGTCTTCAAGCCGCGATGAAGGTAGTTGCAGTTTCGTCCATAATTTATTTCCATTTATTCTGTAGAAATGATCTAACTCGTTTGTCGTTCTCATTGCAGATTGGAGGACTTGGAGAGTATGCCGAGAGCTTCTCCCAGCGCGTAGCTCTTCGGACGACGTTGACGACGCGAGGCGATTCCTACGGGGCTTGGGCGACGCTTCCTCCCGGTCGTGCGGCTTCTCTGCCCATCGCACGGAGATGCTTGGCGATGACGCGTGGCGACAGTCGCCTTCAAGACGTTGGTGAAGTTGATGGAGGTAACTGCAGCTTCGTTGAAGAAGCTCTTTCCTTTTTCAATTTTAATATGGGATCTAACTCGTTCGTCGTTATCCTGCAGGTTTGGAGCAACGTTGCAACGTTGCGCATTGCGCGGCGACGGGGACGCTTCTCTCGTGGCGCTTCGGACGACCTCGTCTCCCGTCGCGTTTCGCTTCGTCGCGTGGCGCTTCCGACGACGTTGGCGACGCTTCTCCCGTCGCCCGCGGCGCTTCCCACGGTGCTTGGTGATGCTTCTCCGTTCCGTCATAGTTTTCTTATTTCGTTTCGTGGTTTCCGTTTCGTTTTTCTTTCCGTTTCGTTTTCCGTTTTATAAGGGGATCTAACTCGTTCGTCGTTCTCCTGCAGGTTTCGAGGAATTTCGTCGCGCGGCGGCTTGGAGAGCTTGGCGCATGGCGCGGCGCTTCGGACGACTCGCCTTCCGTCGCGTTTCGCTTCGTCGCGTGGCGCTTCCGAAGACGTTGGCAACCCTTCTCCCATCGCCCGCGGCGCTTCCCACGGTGCTTGATGACGCTTTCTGTTTCGTTTTCCTTTCCGCTTCCGTTTCCGTTTTACTTTGAAACGGGATCTAACTCGTTCGTCGTTCTCCTGCAGGTTTCGAGGAATTTCGTCGCGCGGCGGCTTGGAGAGCTTGGCGCTTGGCGCGGCGACGGAGGCGCTTCGTCGCGTGACGCTTCAGACAACTTCGTCTCCCATCGCGTGGCGCTTCGGACGACGTTGGCGACGCTTCTCCCGTCACTAGGCGCGCGGACGGGGCATCGGCGAAGCGGGAGGAGCGGGAGGCGCGGGCGGAGCGGGAGAAGCGGCGTGTCGCAGCAACACAGCAGCATTAGTGAGCAATTTTGTGTCTCCTGGTAAGTGTTTGCAATTTCTGTTGAGTTTTGTCACTTTCTTTTCTCACATCTAGCATTTGCTTTCTGTCTTCCGTTTATTGAACTGTTTATTAGAATCTGTTTTCATATCACGTTTTCTCTTTGCTCTTGTTTGTCCAGCAGGAGCACGAGTAGGAGGAGCAGGAGAAGCGGGAGGCGCAGGAGGAGCGGGAGAAGCGGGAGAAGCGGCGTGTCACAGCAACACCGGCAGCATTGGTGAGCAAAGGAGTACTCTGCATCTCCCGGTAAGTGCTTGCAATTTCTGTTGTCACTTTCTGGTTTGTTAGCTTCCTTTTCTCATTTCTAGCATTCGCTTTTTGTCTCCCGTTTATTAGACTGTCTATTAGATTCGTTTTCAGATCACTCACGTTTTCTCTATGCTGCTGTTTGTCAAGCAGGAGCACGAGTAGGAGGAGCGCGAGCGCGAGCGGAGGGGGAGCAGGATCAACAACTTTCCATGGTAAGGTTTTCCTTCAAGTTTTATTTTTCTTCACTTCTACTAACTTCTGTTGTTTGTCTTGGTTTGTATAGCAGGAGCAGCTGGAGGGGGGGAGGTGGAGCAGGGTCAACAATCTCCCATGGTAAGACTTTTCTTCCAGTTTTGTTTCCTTTTTTTCTTCACCTTTACTAACTTTCCATTGTTTGTCTTGGTTTGTATAGCAGGAGCAGCTGGAGCAGGGGAGGAGGAGCAGGATCAACAACAACTTTCCAAGGTAAGGCTTTAGTTCCAGTCTTGTTTCCTCGTGTTCTTCACGTTTACTAACTTCCATTGTTTGTCTTGGTTCAAATAGCAGGAACAACTGGAGCAGGAAGAGGAGCATTATCAACAACTTCCCATGGTAAGATTTTCCTTCCAGTATTGTTTCCTTCTTTTCTTCACCTTTACCAACTTCCATTGTTTGTCTTGGTTTGTATAGCAGGAGCAGCGGGAGTGGGAGGAGGAGCAGGATCAACAACTTTTCATGGTAAGATTTTCCTTCCAGTTCTGTTTCCTTTTTTTTCTTCACATTTACTAACTTCTGTTGTTATCCTCTGTTTGTGAAGCAGGAGCGGGAAGTGGAGTAGAATCAGCAGTTTCCTTGGTAAGTCTTTCCTTCCAGTTTGCTTCTCTTTTTTCATTCACAATTACTAACTTCCATGTTTGTCTTCGTGTGTGAAGCAGGAGCAGCAGGAGCGGGAGGGGAGCAGGATCAACAGTTTCCTTGGTAAATCCGTCCTTCCAGTTTTGTTTATTTTTCTCCTTCACGTTTTCTAAAGATGATGTCTCTCTTGGTTGTGTGAAGCAGGAGCAGCAGGCGTGGGAGGGGGAGCAGATGCAGCAACGAGCGGGATGGAGCGTATGCCGCGGCTGGAGCAGACAGAGCGGATGCGGGATTGGATGGAGGATGCGAGGGCGGACGGAGCGCCTGCGGGAGCGGATGCAGCGGGAGCAGCACGAGCGGAAGCGAGTGCGGCGCGAGCGGATGCGGGAGAGGATGGAGCGGATGCGGGAGCGGATGGTGCGGATGCGGAAGCGGATGCAGCGGGAGCAGCACGAGCGGAAGCGAGAGTGGCGCGAGCGGATGCGGGAGCGGATGCGGGAACGGATGGAGCGGACGGAGCGCCTGCGGGAGCGGATGGAGCGTATGCCGCGGCGGGAGCAGACGGGGCGGATGCGGGAGCGGATAGAGCGGATGCGAGAGCGGAGCGCCTGCGGGAGCGGATGGAGCGGGAGCGGCACGTGCGGAAGCGAAAGCGGCGAGGGCGGAGGCGGGAGCAGCAGGAGCGCATGCGGGAGCGGCAGTAGCGGGAGCGGGAGCAAAGGAGGCGGGGCGACGGAGCGGGAGCGGCAGGAACAATCTCATCCCCCCCGCCACTCTCCCCCTCCCACCCTCTCTTCCCCTCATCCCCTCCCCCTCCCCTATCTCATATATGCTGGAAGAATTCAGCGGCATACGGTAAGGGAGGTAAGGGTTGGTCGGTCAGCATGTTAGGAGCGTTAGACAGATCGATAGGAGCGTTGGAACAGAGGTCATGGTTTTTAGAACAGGGGTGAGAGCCTCTGGGCTCGGTCGGTTGGGCTCGGTCGGGTTGATATCGGTCGGGTTGGGATGGGTGGGGTTCTCACTCGTCTCCTCCTCCATTCCCTCCCGTCAACCTGACAACCTTGCCAACCTGACAACCGCAACTCTGACAACGGAAGAATTTTTGGCCGAGGTGCTTGTTTCGTTGCCCATAACCCTGCCCACTGGCACTAAACCAAACCTTCCCTCCCACCATCCTTTGCCTTTACATTTCCCCCCCTCCCAAACAGGTGTTCCCGAGCGAATGACCTCCACCTCAACGTGGTGCCCGGGTGAACGCTAGGGGATTTTGCCTCTAGCGGCCAAGAGGGGTCAAATTTTGAAGATCATTTCGACTGGCAGTGAATCTTCAGAAAGCGTGTTGAACGCTTAGGAAAATATAAGAGTTTCCGAGCTTGTATGACTTGTAGATTTATAAAAGACCTTCCTGTTTACGACTTCCGCTCAACGAATTGGGTACAAAGTTTCCTGGACTTGCATACTAGTGTTGTATTGTACGGAATGGCACGAACAAAATATTATCAACCGCAGAAAGTGAATCCCGCGGCGCGAATACCTGCTCCAAACCAATGATGGTTCCATTGAACATCTCGTCAAATCTAAGCCGTAGGATCTTACCCATCACATCCCTTCACTATGCAGGAGTGGGATTATGCACCGTAAATACCGTTGGTCAAGCGAATCGCCCTCTGATCTTCCGTTCAGGCGAATCAACACTGGACAGTACTGTACTGGTGTCTGATCTAATCATACCAAAACTGGTTGTAATGCTACAATATATTTTCAGAGATCCAGCAACTTGCTGAATGCTATTATTTTCTAATATTAACAATAAACTCTGCAATCACCAGCGTCAAATAATAATATACCGGTACGAGCAAGCAATGTCAATTACCGTATGATGCTTTGTACTTTCAATGATATTTACAAGCGAATGGAAACGACAAGATGATCAAATGACTGTCCTGCTCGTCTAATCACACAGTATCAGGCCGGATATGAGAAAACGCGGCACGGAAATCAGCGAGATCTGAAGGCTGTTGTTCACGAAACTCCCTGCTTGGAAGAGGGTCGTCCTCTGTATTGACTGCACTGCTAGCAGCATGAAGGATCGACGGATTATCCATTGGTGCAGTGGCGGCGTTGCCATCTCCAGCAGCCTCCACAGTAGCGGCGGCAGCGGCAGTAGTAACCATAGTGACAGTGGTGACAGCGTCAGCAGTTGCAGCAGCAGTGCAATCATTAACACGGTCACCAGAAGTAGCGCCACCAGCACCAGTGGCGCCACGAGCAGCAGCAGCACCACCAGCACCACCAGCACCACCAGCAGCTGCACCAGCACCATCAGCAACACCAGCGGAACCATCGGCAGCACCAGCTACAGCACCACCAGCAGCAGTACCAGCAGCACCAGAAGTACCAGCAGCAGCACCAGCAGCAGCAGGAAGGAGGGCCAGTTTGGCCTGCTTGGATCCTCTCCGTCGAAACGGCTCATGGAAGGCATCGTGCAACCACTTGATCTGTTTAATGGGGTGTGGAAACAAGATGATGGGGAATTTGTTATGGTGATTATGGGGTGTGAACCAACACCAGCACAACCAGCAGCAGCAGCAGGCAGCAGAGTCAGTTTGGCCTGTTGGGAACCTCGCTTCCGAACAGCTCATGGAAGGCATCGTGCAGCCACTTGATCTGGTGAGGATGGGGTGTGGAAACATGAAAAGAGCCAAATTAATCTGGCAACTATGGTTTTTGAGGTGCCTCCGAAATGGCTCATGGAAAGCGTTGTGCAGCCATTTCATCTGGTGAGGATGGGGTGTGGTGCGGGAGCACAAACAGAGGCAAGTGAATTTGGCGATTACATTTTCTGAACATGCATCAAAGATTGGGTCATAGAAATCATTGATCTGGTGAATACGGGGAGCAGACACTTCTGGTGAGGACAGGGAGCAGAAACACGAACAAAGCCCAGTGAATCTGGAAATTATGGATTTTGCGGCATCAAAAAGACTGGCTCACGGGCATCGTGCAACCACTTGATTTGGTGGTGATGAGTTGTGGAAAAAAACACGATGATGCATTTTTACACATGAAACACAGGCGAGCGGAAAAGGCGACGACGGCATTTGAGAGGCCGTGCAGAGCGAACAGTCACTTGATCTGGCGGTGTTGGGGAACAGAACCATAGTCCCACATCGGTACTCCCATGCTAATTTTCTCCTGCCCCATCACCACACATACACAACAACCTCTGTACCGCACACCACCACATCAACACGCACCTTCTTCTCTCCTATCCCTGGGCACCGAGAGAGCTCGTCCATTGAAGCCCCCATAATATTGGCCAAAGTCTGATCAGGTGGGAGCATGGTGTTGACACATACACCTCTGTACCGCACACCACCACACCAGCACATGCACTCACCTTCTTCTCTCCTATCCCAGGGCACCGCGAGAGGTCGTCCATTGATGCCCCCATGATATTGGCCAGTGTCTGATCAGGTGGGAGCATGGGAAAGAAAGAACAAGGCACAATGAAGTTTGGAATAATGGGGGTGATATGGTACGGAGAAGAGAGCTATTCGTCCATTGATGCCCCCATAATATTGGCCAAAGTCTGATCAGGAGGGAGAGGATGGGAAAGAAAGTACAAGAAATGTGATCATAGAGCCTACTTTTGAGGCGCCTCAAAAGTAATGTGATTATAGAACCTGCAGGCCCATCAAACTTATTACAGAAGCATTCAAAGTCAGGGAGAGGAGAAGACAGAGTCTGGTCGAATGAGAGCGTGAGAGTTGAGATGTCTCGTCTGTTCAGAAGGTGCACGGGAAAGCAATCACAAGGCATAATGGGCGAATTTATATCCAGGCTTGTTGATAGCACAGCATGGAAGTTCCAGGCGCCTCAATCTATCTTGTTCTGTGCTAGGAGTTTCCTATAAGGCTGTACTATTTCGCTCCCTTCCTCCCTCGCTCACTCGTATGCTCATACATACACACAGACCGTCACCCACACACTCACTCACTCACCCCAAAGTTAGTCCCCAAAGTAAGAGCATCGGTTTTGTTGACATGGCGGATGGAGGTGAGGGCACTGGTGAGCTGGAGAGATACGGAGGAGGAGAAGGGGGGGGTGTGGAAGGGGGAGTGAATGGGACAGCATGGAAAGAGTTGGGTTAGAAAGCAGGGACAGAGCCACTAGAGTGAGAGCATCGGTTTTGTTTGCATGCCGAATGGAGGTGAGGGCGCTGGTGAGCTGGAGAGATAAGGAGTGGGGGGAGGGGGGGTTGGAAAATAGCAGCAGGGGGAGAGGCGAGTGAGGGCATCGGTTTTGTTGGCATGGCGAATGGAGGTGAGGGCGCTGGTGAGCTGGAGAGACCAAGGGGGAAGGTGGGATAGGGGCAAAGGGGGGATGATGAAAGGGCGGGAGAACTTGAGGGCATCGGTTTTGTTGACATGGCGAATGGAGGTGAGGGCGCTGGTGAAAGGAGATCCCAAGGGAGGGAGAGAGCCGTGAGGGCACTGGTGAGCTGGAGAGATGGGAGGAGATGAGGGAGTGTAGGGAGTGTTTGGAGGGATGGGGAAAGCGAGGGTAAGAGCATCGGTGCGGTTGACATGGCGGATGGAGGTGAGGGCACTGGTGAGCTGGAGAGTGGGCAGGGGGAGCAAAGGGAGATCAGAAGGGAGGGAGAGGGCTTGGGAGTGAGAGCATCGGTGCGGTTGACATGGCGGATGGACGTGAGGGCGCTGGTGAGCTGGAGAGTGGGGTGGGGATTAGTCACTATCCACTCGCATTCGTGTTGGCAAGCCGAGGGTGGGCAAGACAACAAAACTTCTCCCTAAAACCTTCCACGGGAGACATAATCACTCTTGACCTGCTCTTGAATGCCGCTTGTTGAGAGGGCCACCATACACTCGCACCCATTCGGGGTGACTTTTGAGTCGACTCAAAAGTCATCTTGAATGTCGTCTGTTGAGAGGGCCACCATACACTCGCACACATTCGGCCAGGCAGAGGGCAGCCAAGTCACCTCTAAAGCCTCTCAAATCCTCTCTGCTCAAAGCCTACCCGGGAGATATAATCACTGTCCACCCGCTCTTGAATGCCGTTTGCCGGCTTGTTCTCGTAGCTCTTGAGGGTCCGGGAAATGCACTCAATGTCCTCTTGCGCACATGTAGGCAGGCAGAGGTTGCGCAAGGCAACAGGCCCTCTCCTTACGACCTACCCGGGAGATATAGTCACTGTCCACCCGCTCTTGAATGCCGTTTGCTGGCTTGGGAGATGCACTCATAGGCACGCCGAGGGTGTGAAAGGCAACAGACCCTCTCCTTACAGCTTACCCGGGAGATATAATCACTGTCCACCCGCTCTTGAATGCCGTTTGCCGGCTTGTTCTCGTAGCTCTTGAGAGTCTCCAGGTAGCGTGCACACTCATTGGGACTGAATGGGTAGAAGGAGGGGAGGACAGTGGGGCGGCAGGCAGAGGGCGAAAGCACTAAGGGGGAGAGAGAGCAATGAGCTGGCTTGGTATCATAGCTCTTACGGGTCTCTAGGTAGCGTGCACACGCGTTGGGACTGGGAGAAGGAACAAAGGCAGGAAAGAAGAAAGGCAGACGGATGCAAGAAACGAGAGAGATGGGAGAGCAATCAGCCGGCTAGCTCTCGTAGCTCTTGAGGGTCTCCAGCTATCGTGCACACTCGTTAAGGCTGCTACTGAGGGCTGCAGCTGCAGGTGAGACAGCTTTCCAAATGATGCACTCATAAAGGCTGCTACTGAGGGCTGCAGCTGCAGGTGGCGTTGTTTCTGGATGTCTGCACACGTTAAGGCCGCTGCCATGTTCACTTGATGTGCTCAGTCAGTGCTACACAGCAGTTGCCCTTCTCTCTTACCATCCCCTCCTTCCCAAATGATCCATGTGACCCTGCTGTCTCGGTGATATCATGCAAGGGCTTGGTGACGTCATCAACGTCCACGTGGCACAGCACGATTCGCAGGCGGAAGCTCTTCTGCAGCTCCCTGATTGGCGGGAAGTGGAGTCATAGGTAAGGTCAATTGATGAAATTAGAAGGTAAAGAAAAACAGGCTCAGATGTACCGGATTGCAAAGTATAAATGATCAGGGTGCAGTAGATAGTATCGCAGGAGGACATAGTATCGCAGGAAGACATAGTATCGCAGGAAGACATAGTATCGCAGGAAGACATAGTATCGCAGGAAGACATAGTATCACAGGAAGACATAGTATCGCAGGAAGACATAGTATCGCAGGAAAGACATAGTATCGCAGGAGGACATAGTATCGCAGGAGGACATAGTATCGCAGGAAGACATAGTATCGCAGGAAGACATAGTATCGCAGGAAGACATAGTATCGCAGGAAGACATAGTATCGCAGGAGGACATAGTATCGCAGGAAGACATAGTATCGCAGGAAGACATAGTATCGCAGGAAGACATAGTATCGCAGGAAGACATAGTATCGCAGGAAGACATAGTATCGCAGGAAGACATAGTATCGCAGGAAGACATAGTATCGCAGGAAGACATAGTATCGCAGGAAGACATAGTATCGCAGGAGGACATAGTATCGCAGGAGGACATAGTATCGCAGGAAGACATAGTATCGCAGGAAGACATAGTATCGCAGGAAGACATAGTATCGCAGGAAGACATAGTATCGCAGGAAGACATAGTATCGCAGGAAGACATAGTATCGCAGGAAGACATAGTATCGCAGGAAGACATAGTATCGCAGGAAGACATAGTATCGCAGGAAGACATAGTATCGCAGGAGGACATAGTATCGCAGGAGGACATAGTATCGCAGGAAGACATAGTATCGCAGGAAGACATAGTATCGCAGGAAGACATAGTATCGCAGGAAGACATAGTATCGCAGGAAGACATAGTATCGCAGGAGGACATAGTATCGCAGGAAGACATAGTATCGCAGGAAGACATAGTATCGCAGGAAGACATAGTATCGCAGGAAGACATAGTATCGCAGGAAGACATAGTATCGCAGGAGGACATAGTATCGCAGGAAGACATAGTATCGCAGGAAGACATAGTATCGCAGGAAGACATAGTATCGCAGGAAGACATAGTATCGCAGGAAGACATAGTATCGCAGGAAGACATAGTATCGCAGGAAGACATAGTATCGCAGGAAGACATAGTATCGCAGGAAGACATAGTATCGCAGGAAGACATAGTATCGCAGGAAGGACATAGTATCGCAGGAAGACATAGTATCGCAGGAAGACATAGTATCGCAGGAAGACATAGTATCGCAGGAAGACATAGTATCGCAGGAAGACATAGTATCGCAGGAAGACATAGTATCGCAGGAAGACATAGTATCGCAGGAAGACATAGTATCGCAGGAAGACATAGTATCGCAGGAGGACATAGTATCGCAGGAGGACATAGTATCGCAGGAAGACATAGTATCGCAGGAAGACATAGTATCGCAGGAAGACATAGTATCGCAGGAAGACATAGTATCGCAGGAAGACATAGTATCGCAGGAAGACATAGTATCGCAGGAAGACATAGTATCGCAGGAGGACATAGTATCGCAGGAGGACATAGTATCGCAGGAAGACATAGTATCGCAGGAAGACATAGTATCGCAGGAAGACATAGTATCGCAGGAAGACATAGTATCGCAGGAAGACATAGTATCGCAGGAAGACATAGTATCGCAGGAAGACATAGTATCGCAGGAAGACATAGTATCGCAGGAGGACATAGTATCGCAGGAAGACATAGTATCGCAGGAAGACATAGTATCGCAGGAAGACATAGTATCGCAGGAAGACATAGTATCGCAGGAAGACATAGTATCGCAGGAAGACATAGTATCGCAGGAGGACATAGTATCGCAGGAGGACATAGTATCGCAGGAAGACATAGTATCGCAGGAAGACATAGTATCGCAGGAAGACATAGTATCGCAGGAAGACATAGTATCGCAGGAGGACATAGTATCGCAGGAAGACATAGTATCGCAGGAAGACATAGTATCGCAGGAAGACATAGTATCGCAGGAAGACATAGTATCGCAGGAAGACATAGTATCGCAGGAAGACATAGTATCGCAGGAAGACATAGTATCGCAGGAAGACATAGTATCGCAGGAAGACATAGTATCGCAGGAAGACATAGTATCGCAGGAAGACATAGTATCGCAGGAAGACATAGTATCGCAGGAAGACATAGTATCGCAGGAAGACATAGTATCGCAGGAAGACATAGTATCGCAGGAAGACATAGTATCGCAGGAAGACATAGTATCGCAGGAAGACATAGTATCGCAGGAAGACATAGTATCGCAGGAAGACATAGTATCGCAGGAAGACATAGTATCGCAGGAAGACATAGTATCGCAGGAAGACATAGTATCGCAGGAAGACATAGTATCGCAGGAAGACATAGTATCGCAGGAAGACATAGTATCGCAGGAAGACATAGTATCGCAGGAAGACATAGTATCGCAGGAAGACATAGTATCGCAGGAGGACATAGTATCGCAGGAAGACATAGTATCGCAGGAGGACATAGTATCGCAGGAAGACATAGTATCGCAGGAAGACATAGTATCGCAGGAAGACATAGTATCGCAGGAAGACATAGTATCGCAGGAAGACATAGTATCGCAGGAAGACATAGTATCGCAGGAAGACATAGTATCGCAGGAAGACATAGTATCGCAGGAAGACATAGTATCGCAGGAAGACATAGTATCGCAGGAAGACATAGTATCGCAGGAAGACATAGTATCGCAGGAAGACATAGTATCGCAGGAAGACATAGTATCGCAGGAAGACATAGTATCGCAGGAAGACATAGTATCGCAGGAAGACATAGTATCGCAGGAAGACATAGTATCGCAGGAAGACATAGTATCGCAGGAAGACATAGTATCGCAGGAAGACATAGTATCGCAGGAAGACATAGTATCGCAGGAAGACATAGTATCGCAGGAAGACATAGTATCGCAGGAAGACATAGTACGGACACAGAGGTAGTCTGGGTGCAGCAGGTGGTATCGCAGGGAGAGAAATAGCAGGATGATCTGTTATAGACAGATACAGTACAAGCTTTAATCACCTGATTCAGAAGAGAAGACAGTCTGGGTGCAGCAGGTGGTATCGCAGGGAGAGAAATAGCAGGATGATCTGTTATAGACAGATACAGTACAAGCTTTAATCACCTGATTCAGAAGAGAAGACAGTCTGGGTGCAGCAGGTGGTATCGCAGGGAGAGAAATAGCAGGATGATCTGTTATAGACAGATACAGTACAAGCTTTAATCACCTGATTCAGAAGAGAAGACAGTCTGGGTGCAGCAGGTGGTATCGCAGGGAGAGAAATAGCAGGATGATCTGTTATAGACAGATACAGTACAAGCTTTAATCACCTGATTCAGAAGTGAAGACAGTCTGGGTGCAGCAGGTGGTATCGCAGGGAGAGAAATAGCAGGATGATCTGTTATAGACAGATACAGTACAAGCTTTAATCACCTGATTCAGAAGAGAAGACAGTCTGGGTGCAGCAGGTGGTATCGCAGGGAGAGAAATAGCAGGATGATCTGTTATAGACAGATACAGTACAAGCTTTAATCACCTGATTCAGAAGTGAAGACAGTCTGGGTGCAGCAGGTGGTATCGCAGGGAGAGAAATAGCAGGATGATCTGTACTGTTATAGACAGATACAGAACAGGCTTTAATCACCTGATTCGGAAGTAGAGGTAGTCTGGGTGAAGCAGGTGGTATCGCAGGGAGAGGAAGAGGGCGCAGGAGGAGGGGGAGAGGAGATAGTCTGGCGTGCTCTTCCCGAACCCACCCCCATAACCCTAAACCGTTTGAGGAAGAGCGCGCAGGAGGGGGAGAGAGAGGAGATAGACGGGCGTGATTTCCCCGAACCCACCTCCATAACCCTGACTAACATTTACCTGATTCGGAAATAGAGGTAGTCGGGGTGCAACAGGTGATATCGCAGGAGAAGGGAAGAGAGGAGAAGCATGCTTCGTTATAGAGTAGCCAATACAGACTAAAATATACCTGATTCGGAAGTAGAGGTAGTCTGGGTGCAGCAGGTGGTATCGCAGGGAGAGGAAGAGAGCACAGGAGGAGAGGGAGAGGAGATAGTCTGGAGAAGCATGCTTTGTTATGGAGTAGCCCGATGCAGGTTAGCTTTTACCTGATTCGGAGTAGAGGTAGTCTGGGTGCAGCAAGTGGTACCGGAGAGAAAGAGCAGGATGATCCGTTATAGACTGATACAGTACAAGCTTTAATCACCTGATTCGAAAATAGAGGTAGTCTGGGTGAAGCAGGTGGTATCGGAGCGAGAGGAAGAGGGCGCAGGAGGAGGGGGAGAGGAGATAGTCTGGCGTGATCTCTCCAAACCCATACCCAAACCCATACCCCTGACTAACACTTACCTGATTCGGAAATAGAGGTAGTCTGGGTGGAGTAAGTGGTATCGGAGGGAGAGGAAGAGGGCGCAGGAGGAGGGGGAGAGGAGATAGTCGGGCGTGATTTCCCCGAAGGCCCACCTCACGTTCCTGATGTGAGAGAGCACGGGATTGCCTCTCTGCCGTGTAGTGTGGATATCAGAGGGGAAAGAGCAGAGAAAGAGAGATTCAGGCACTTTTCGGGCGTGATCTCCCCGAAGGCCTACCTCACGTTCCTGATGTGGGCGAGCACGGGGTTGTCCCTCTGTAGTGTAATGTAGATGTCAGAGGTAAAAGAGTAAAGAGAGAGATTTAGGCACTTGTCTGGCGTGATCTCCCCAAACGCCCACCTCACGTTCCTGATGTACGAGAGGACGGGGTTACCCCTCTGAGGTACACTACACGGCAGGGCACAGGGGAGAAAAGAGGGTTCTGTGAAAGGGGGAGAGGAGATAGTCGGGAGTGATATCTCCAAACGCCCATCTCACGTTCCTGATGTGCGAAAGCACGGGGTTGCCGCTCTGCCGTGCAGAGTAGATGTCAGAGGTAAAAGAGCAGAGAGAGATTCAGTAGCCACTAGTCGGGAGTGATCTCCCCAAACGCCCATCTCACGTTCCTGATGTGAGAGAGCACGGGGTTGCCCCTCTGCAGTACAGGGCAGGGCACATTAGAGGGGATAAAGAAGGGTGAGAGGAGATGGGCGTGATCTCTCCAAACGCCCACCTCACGTTCCTGATGTGCGAGAGAACAGGATTGCCTCTCTGAGGTATACGGCAGGGCACATTAGAGGGGATAAAGAAGGATTCTATGAGAAGGGGAGGAGGGGGAGAGGGCGGAGGAGGGGAAAGGGCGCAGAGGGAGGGGGAGAGGAGATAGTCGGGTGTGATCTCCCCAAACGCCCACCCCACGTTCCTGATGTGCAAAAGGACGGGATTCCCCCTCTGGAGTACAGGGCAGGGCAAATCAGAGCAGCAGAGCAGGGCAGGGCAGAGGGGGGAAAGAGGGGAAAATGCCCTTCTTCTTTAGTCCCAAACGCCCACCTCACGTTCCTGATGTGAGAAAGCACGCGGTGGCCCCTCTGCCATGCCATGCAGAGCAGAGGGGAGGCGGAATGGGGAAAGGGTGGGGGGAGAGGAGGGCGAGAGCATGGCACCAATAATAACACGACCATCCCTCATGGAACCAGGTGATTTGGAATCTGGTCTAGATTATTATTACTATTATCACTATTATTTACTGCATGCAGCTGAGATGATGACTCACAAAGAGAGCGTTTTAAGAATTTGTCACGCTTTCTTTGTGAGTCATCAGAGAAGTACCTGTTTCTGGCTGTTTTTAAGTCGTAACGCTTTCTTTGTGAGTCATCTAAGTCGCACCTGTTTTGGACTGACGATGATGCAGCTGCGATTGGCGGTGGTGAGATCTGTTCTATGAGGCGCCTAAACAGCAGACCTGGTAAGAAGTTCTTCCTTCCTCGGTTTGAGTCGCACCTGTTTTGGACTGACGATGATGCAGCTGCGATTGGCGGCCGTGAAAGCGAACGCGGCCGCTGCACTCGCCGCCACTTCGCTGGCCGGAATCGCCATGGCGGGCGTTCGCTGGACACCCTATATCGAGGACGAATCGTTCCGGCAATCCCGAGGGAAATTCACCTAGTGGCCTAAAATGACTCATAGGTTACCAACAGCTGCATCGCCGCTGGTCGGAAGCGCCATGGTGAGCGTTCAAAAAAGGGTTTGCTGGCCGCGCTAGGAGACGAATTACTCGCACTCGCCGCTCCTCTCTCGAGTGTTTTAGTGAAGGGCTTGGAGCGTGCTTGAATTTCCCTGAATGACGGTGCGTGAGTGACCCCCTTGTACGCCCTATAGGATGAATGTGGGACTGACGCGTCTGAACATGACATAAAATTGAACTGCCTTGCGACTTCCTCAGAACGTAGCATCATTTTTAGTTCCACTCTGGAAGTGCTTTAAAATTTCCCCTTAGACACTAACACTCAGGAGGACGATAAGACACTAGAGAAAGACATTAGGCTAACGATACAGATTATTCAAATCACTTGACAGTGTCTGATAGACAATAGCTCAGCGTATGTGGAGCAAAGTATTGCCTCTCATTGCATCAACAAACATTCAATATACAGCAAAGCACCTAGCTTTAATCTAAACGTGGTCCTCATGTCTATATACAATTGGCCAGTCCTCCATAATTGTGAAGCATGCTATTCACCTGCTAGAGGAACAACGGAAACAAGGGACGTCAGAACAAACACTGTGAGATGTGGTTAAATTCAGAAAACGATGATGCACTGGGGTTGAAAAAAACCGGTGGTGGGAAGATGGGCTGAAACCAAAAGAACATTACCGTTTCCCAAGCCAAGTGGATATGCTATTGAATAATGCGGCTGAAATGAACGTGACTGTAAGTCGTTGTAGGAACAATCCAAGAGATGGACACCACAGAGGCATGCCACTTCTGACAATGCTCCCAATAAATCTCCCCGAAGGCCGGCTTTAAGAGGCAATGGCACTATGGAATAGAGCGACTATCAAGCACGTGTAGCACTTAATGAGCTCCAACCCACAGCCCCTCCGGGAGGAAACTAAGGAGACAAGAGTCGGATGAGTCAGAACCAACCTTGCTTTCACTAATCATCGGCGGAATTAGCAGATTTAGAAGCCGAATTAGCCGCAGCACCACCGGACGCGGCAGCAGCGGCTGCTGCTCTCTTGGCCTTGGCCGCTTCGATCTTCGCGAGCCTCGCTTGGTGAGCGTTCACGAACTTTCCTCGATGCTGTCCCTTGCCGCTGATGTCATCTGCCTGGCAAAATACAGCAAGATAAATGGAGGAAATATCTAACAAATGAGGAATGATATAAATGAACATTTCGTCACAAAGTACACAACGGAATCTCGGCAGCTACAACAATGCGTGAATTCCATATCCCCCTCTCCGCGAACTCACCTCTCGCGCCGACTCTTCCGCTGCCGTTTTCAGACTCGCGACGGCCGCCGCTTTTCTGACGCTAGACATTGCGTTCCCAATTTCGCTGCACCAAATCTCTGCAGTGACTGAGATTTTGGCAGCGTTCCTCAGACGTCGTCGGTGAGAAATTACAGTAGAGAATTGGTAACCAAAATTCCTTTCCCGAATGTTGCTCAAGGAATGAAATCGAGAGCGACAGCAGAGGAAAATTCCTGAGAACGATCATTCCTGAAGCGGCAGGGGTACTTGGGCTGAACCTCCAAACGATCACACCAAAAATGATTGAACACCATTCTGCTAGTGAGCTGTGAACGACAACCTGAGCATCCCTGGCCCTAAAGGCATAAATAATACAAGGATGTAGAACAAGGTAGGATCTGAATGCAAGCCATGGCAGACTGAACCAGCCAGGTTGGGAGGACGAGCAACACTGGGAGGGCAGGAAGGAAGGCGAGGAGGATAATGTATTTTGGACTGAACCAGGCAGATTCGTTTTTCGGGGCTTCGCAATTCCGCCTTGATCCATTCTTCAGCAAACATCTTCAATACAAAACATTGATTGTTGTGAGGTACAGATAGCAATCTAGAAATGGACTCCGTAACTCACATAGAAATAAACTGAAAAACATATGCATTAGAGAAATCTAGCCTGCAATGTTTTCATAACGGCAGTTCCTACATTCATCCTGCCCATCTGGCGGCTTCTTTGATTACCCTTTCATCCACAAATGGTCGAAGCTGCCACATCATCGAGTACGATGCCAGGTGGGCAGCTGACGTGGAGAGGGAAAGATCCGCGGCAATAGTAAGCTGAATGGGGCACAATCGGGTTGGGAAAAAAAAAGGCAGAAAACGATGTGGCACTTGCGGTGTTCCTGTCGCAGGAAATAGGGAATGCCAGTTAGATAAAACTGTTGTAAGGCAACGAATAAACCAGACATGTATCCATATTAGGAAGATGAACGTCCGAGTGTAGATATTACAAAAGAAGAGAGGGTTCAAGCGAATTTGTACCTTCATTTGTAGATCATCCTTGAGCATCCCAAGCACAGCTGCCATCAGGGTTACCATGTTCGCTTGCAGCGTAACACTGCTCCTTATCCCTGTTGCTGCTCCCCTTGAATCATTCGTATCACTGCAAGAGCTCGCCTGACTTGGGCTGTCTGAGTCTTTAATGCAGTTGCTGCTATCAATACAAGGACCGGGCTCGCTGGTGGTTGTGGCAGCAGCAGCATCAGTACCAGCGGCAGCACCATCAACACTGCCACTATCACCATCATAGCTCATGAGCGGTTGAGCAGCAATAGGCTGGGCTGCTACATGCTGATTCTCCTCAAGCAAGCGTGAGGTGGCTGTTTGATAAATATCTTCCATTTCAAGCACTCTCCTGCATGTGTGGGGCGATAAAAAACATAAACACATTCACAGGTTTTCCTTCAGAAAGCATGAGGCGGCAGTGTGATTATGTATGTGATAGATATCTTCCATTTCAAGCACTGTCTCCTGCATGTATTGTAAACATGGTGACATGGTTACAACAGTAACACGATTACATACGTTTTAACATGGTTGCATGGTGCAATCTCACCGGATGACCGGTGGAAGGACTCTGAGCTGAGAGCACGGATGGTGGGCGGGGGAGGGGAGGAGAAGGAGAGGGGAACAGAAGGAAGGACGCGAGGATGCTGGACACGAGAGGGGACTCTGAGATGACTTCAGCGGATGTCCGGTGGAAGGACTCTGAGCTGAGAGCACGGATGGTGGGCGGGGGAGGGGAGGAGAAGGAGAGGGGAACAGAAGGAAGGACGCGAGGATGCTGGACACGAGAGGGGACTCTGAGATGACTTCAGCGGATGACCGGTGGAAGGACTCTGAGCTGAGAGCACGGATGGTGGGCGGGGGAGGGGAGGAGAAGGAGAGGGGAACAGAAGGAAGGACGCGAGGATGCTGGACACGAGAGGGGACTCTGAGATGACTTCAGCGGATGACCGGTGGAAGGACTCTGAGCTGAGAGCACGGATGGTGGGCGGGGGAGGGGAGGAGAAGGAGAGGGGAACAGAAGGAAGGACGCGAGGATGCTGGACACGAGAGGGGACTCTGAGATGACTTCAGCGGATGACCGGTGGAAGGACTCTGAGCTGAGAGCACGGATGGTGGGCGGGGGAGGGGAGGAGAAGGAGAGGGGAACAGAAGGAAGGACGCGAGGATGCTGGACACGAGAGGGGACTCTGAGATGACTTCAGCGGATGTCCGGTGGAAGGACTCTGAGCTGAGAGCACGGATGGTGGGCGGGGGAGGGGAGGAGAAGGAGAGGGGAACAGAAGGAAGGACGCGAGGATGCTGGACACGAGAGGGGACTCTGAGATGACTTCAGCGGATGAGCGGTGGAAGGACTCTGAGCTGAGAGCACGGATGGTGGGCGGGGGAGGGGAGGAGAAGGAGAGGGGAACAGAAGGAAGGACGCGAGGATGCTGGACACGAGAGGGGACTCTGAGATGACTTCAGCGGATGACCGGTGGAAGGACTCTGAGCTGAGAGCACGGATGGTGGGCGGGGGAGGGTAGGAGAAGGAGAGGGGAACAGAAGGAAGGACGCGAGGATGCTGGACACGAGAGGGGACTCTGAGATGACTTCAGCGGATGTCCGGTGGAAGGACTCTGAGCTGAGAGCACGGATGGTGGGCGGGGGAGGGGAGGAGAAGGAGAGGGGAACAGAAGGAAGGACGCGAGGATGCTGGACACGAGAGGGGACTCTGAGATGACTTCAGCGGATGAGCGGTGGAAGGACTCTGAGCTGAGAGCACGGATGGTGGGCGGGGGAGGGGAGGAGAAGGAGAGGGGAACAGAAGGAAGGACGCGAGGATGCTGGACACGAGAGGGGACTCTGAGATGACTTCAGCGGATGAGCGGTGGAAGGACTCTGAGCTGAGAGCACGGATGGTGGGCGGGGGAGGGGAGGAGAAGGAGAGGGGAACAGAAGGAAGGACGCGAGGATGCTGGACACGAGAGGGGACTCTGAGATGACTTCAGCGGATGACCGGTGGAAGGACTCTGAGCTGAGAGCACGGATGGTGGGCGGGGGAGGGGAGGAGAAGGAGAGGGGAACAGAAGGAAGGACGCGAGGATGCTGGACACGAGAGGGGACTCTGAGATGACTTCAGCGGATGACCGGTGGAAGGACTCTGAGCTGAGAGCACGGATGGTGGGCGGGGGAGGGGAGGAGAAGGAGAGGGGAACAGAAGGAAGGACGCGAGGATGCTGGACACGAGAGGGGACTCTGAGATGACTTCAGCGGATGAGCGGTGGAAGGACTCTGAGCTGAGAGCACGGATGGTGGGCGGGGGAGGGGAGGAGAAGGAGAGGGGAACAGAAGGAAGGACGCGAGGATGCTGGACACGAGAGGGGACTCTGAGATGACTTCAGCGGATGTCCGGTGGAAGGACTCTGAGCTGAGAGCACGGATGGTGGGCGGGGGAGGGGAGGAGAAGGAGAGGGGAACAGAAGGAAGGATGCGAGGATGCTGGACACGAGAGGGGACTCTGAGATGACTTCAGCGGATGACCGGTGGAAGGACTCTGAGCTGAGAGCACGGATGGTGGGCGGGGGAGGGGAGGAGAAGGAGAGGGGAACAGAAGGAAGGACGCGAGGATGCTGGACACGAGAGGGGACTCTGAGATGACTTCAGCGGATGAGCGGTGGAAGGACTCTGAGCTGAGAGCACGGATGGTGGGCGGGGGAGGGGAGGAGAAGGAGAGGGGAACAGAAGGAAGGACGCGAGGATGCTGGACACGAGAGGGGACTCTGAGATGACTTCAGCGGATGACCGGTGGAAGGACTCTGAGCTGAGAGCACGGATGGTGGGCGGGGGAGGGGAGGAGAAGGAGAGGGGAACAGAAGGAAGGACGCGAGGATGCTGGACACGAGAGGGGACTCTGAGATGACTTCAGCGGATGAGCGGTGGAAGGACTCTGAGCTGAGAGCACGGATGGTGGGCGGGGGAGGGGAGGAGAAGGAGAGGGGAACAGAAGGAAGGACGCGAGGATGCTGGACACGAGAGGGGACTCTGAGATGACTTCAGCGGATGAGCGGTGGAAGGACTCTGAGCTGAGAGCACGGATGGTGGGCGGGGGAGGGGAGGAGAAGGAGAGGGGAACAGAAGGAAGGACGCGAGGATGCTGGACACGAGAGGGGACTCTGAGATGACTTCAGCGGATGACCGGTGGAAGGACTCTGAGCTGAGAGCACGGATGGTGGGCGGGGGAGGGGAGGAGAAGGAGAGGGGAACAGAAGGAAGGACGCGAGGATGCTGGACACGAGAGGGGACTCTGAGATGACTTCAGCGGATGACCGGTGGAAGGACTCTGAGCTGAGAGCACGGATGGTGGGCGGGGGAGGGGAGGAGAAGGAGAGGGGAACAGAAGGAAGGACGCGAGGATGCTGGACACGAGAGGGGACTCTGAGATGACTTCAGCGGATGACCGGTGGAAGGACTCTGAGCTGAGAGCACGGATGGTGGGCGGGGGAGGGGAGGAGAAGGAGAGGGGAACAGAAGGAAGGACGCGAGGATGCTGGACACGAGAGGGGACTCTGAGATGACTTCAGCGGATGAGCAGTGGAAGGACTCTGAGCTGAGAGCACGGATGGTGGGCGGGGGAGGGGAGGAGAAGGAGAGGGGAACAGAAGGAAGGACGCGAGGATGCTGGACACGAGAGGGGACTCTGAGATGACTTCAGCGGATGTCCGGTGGAAGGACTCTGAGCTGAGAGCACGGATGGTGGGCGGGGGAGGGGAGGAGAAGGAGAGGGGAACAGAAGGAAGGACGCGAGGATGCTGGACACGAGAGGGGACTCTGAGATGACTTCAGCGGATGACCGGTGGAAGGACTCTGAGCTGAGAGCACGGATGGTGGGCGGGGGAGGGGAGGAGAAGGAGAGGGGAACAGAAGGAAGGACGCGAGGATGCTGGACACGAGAGGGGACTCTGAGATGACTTCAGCGGATGAGCGGTGGAAGGACTCTGAGCTGAGAGCACGGATGGTGGGCGGGGGAGGGGAGGAGAAGGAGAGGGGAACAGAAGGAAGGACGCGAGGATGCTGGACACGAGAGGGGACTCTGAGATGACTTCAGCGGATGACCGGTGGAAGGACTCTGAGCTGAGAGCACGGATGGTGGGCGGGGGAGGGGAGGAGAAGGAGAGGGGAACAGAAGGAAGGACGCGAGGATGCTGGACACGAGAGGGGACTCTGAGATGACTTCAGCGGATGAGCGGTGGAAGGACTCTGAGCTGAGAGCACGGATGGTGGGCGGGGGAGGGGAGGAGAAGGAGAGGGGAACAGAAGGAAGGACGCGAGGATGCTGGACACGAGAGGGGACTCTGAGATGACTTCAGCGGATGACCGGTGGAAGGACTCTGAGCTGAGAGCACGGATGGTGGGCGGGGGAGGGGAGGAGAAGGAGAGGGGAACAGAAGGAAGGACGCGAGGATGCTGGACACGAGAGGGGACTCTGAGATGACTTCAGCGGATGACCGGTGGAAGGACTCTGAGCTGAGAGCACGGATGGTGGGCGGGGGAGGGGAGGAGAAGGAGAGGGGAACAGAAGGAAGGACGCGAGGATGCTGGACACGAGAGGGGACTCTGAGATGACTTCAGCGGATGAGCGGTGGAAGGACTCTGAGCTGAGAGCACGGATGGTGGGCGGGGGAGGGGAGGAGAAGGAGAGGGGAACAGAAGGAAGGACGCGAGGATGCTGGACACGAGAGGGGACTCTGAGATGACTTCAGCGGATGTCCGGTGGAAGGACTCTGAGCTGAGAGCACGGATGGTGGGCGGGGGAGGGGAGGAGAAGGAGAGGGGAACAGAAGGAAGGACGCGAGGATGCTGGACACGAGAGGGGACTCTGAGATGACTTCAGCGGATGACCGGTGGAAGGACTCTGAGCTGAGAGCACGGATGGTGGGCGGGGGAGGGGAGGAGAAGGAGAGGGGAACAGAAGGAAGGACGCGAGGATGCTGGACACGAGAGGGGACTCTGAGATGACTTCAGCGGATGAGCGGTGGAAGGACTCTGAGCTGAGAGCACGGATGGTGGGCGGGGGAGGGGAGGAGAAGGAGAGGGGAACAGAAGGAAGGACGCGAGGATGCTGGACACGAGAGGGGACTCTGAGATGACTTCAGCGGATGACCGGTGGAAGGACTCTGAGCTGAGAGCACGGATGGTGGGCGGGGGAGGGGAGGAGAAGGAGAGGGGAACAGAAGGAAGGACGCGAGGATGCTGGACACGAGAGGGGACTCTGAGATGACTTCAGCGGATGAGCGGTGGAAGGACTCTGAGCTGAGAGCACGGATGGTGGGCGGGGGAGGGGAGGAGAAGGAGAGGGGAACAGAAGGA